TTTGCATCGTTATACCTTTCGGTTTCTTCTGCAGAACATGAAACCAACTGTGGACAGTTATTACTATTATTGTGACAATGGTAACGTTTATTTATGATCCCATCGACAAGTTGGAAATAGGTGTATTTCACTTAAAAGTGATCCCCGTGTGGGTTCCGGGGCCCTATTGTGGGGAAACGAGAATAGACCCACGGCCTACCCAAAAGAATGTCGCGAGAGTCGACTAATTAGGAGCTTTTTTCGAAGTCGGACTACATGTGCCTGAGAGCCAAGGAACCTAGTCTGCATGCAAATGAGTAAGACGTGTAAACCGGATGTGTATCCAACACTCAGTTTCTGGAACGGGACTAGAGTCCAGAAGTAGACGTACAACCAGTACTTTCCGCTGGAGTTTACAGCTGGTGAATACGAAGAAGAAGAAGAATTAAAAGTGAGTATTAAATAATCATTACAGAAGACTGTAGTACACTTTACATTATAATAGTTTACAACACTGCTACATTTATATATATATATATATATATATATATATATATATATATATATATATATAAGTAGTTAAAGAAGCCTGGCTGAATCAAATGTGTACAGAGATTGGGGAAAATCACGGGAAAGACTCACATTCCATGTACCAACAGATAAATATGTTAACAGGAAAGATGACACGTAACAGCACTGGATGTTTGCAATCAAAGGATGGTGACTTATTAATGGGACATAGTAATATAATTACCAGATGGACAGAGTACATAGGGGAATTGTATGATGATAATAGATCAGACGTAGAACTGCAGACCAACAATGATGGTCCACCAATAATGACTGCAGAAGTTGAGGATGCAATACATCATATGAAGAAAGGAAAAGCACCCGGGCCAGACAACATCTCACTGGAAGAAATCGAAGCACTGGGAAATTTTGGAATTGAAATAATAACTAAACTTTTAAATGATATTTATAACAGTGGGTATATTCCAAATGACCTTTTAAAATCCATATTTATAGCTCTGCCGAAGAAACCAGGCACTTTAAAATGTGAAGACCATCGCACAATAAGTCTTATGAGTCACATGACTAAGATTTTACTGAGAATAATTATGAGAAGAATAAGAAACAAAATTAAACCAGAAATCAGCGATGAACAATGTGGATTTGTAGAAGGAAAAGGTACAAACAATGCCATATACATCCTAAGGACATTGTCAGAAAGAGCTATAGAAGTAAAGACTGATTTGTACTTATGCTTCGTAGACTATACAAAAGCATTTGACTGTGTGAAGCATGAAGAAGTAATCAAACTGTTACAAAAATTAAACATTGATGGGAAAGATCTAAGAATAATAAAGAATATGTATTGGCAGCAAACAGCAGCTATAAGAATTAACAACTGTTTAGGTACGTTTCAAAGCATAAAGAGGGGCGTACGACAAGGATGTGTACTTTCACCTGATTTGTTTTCAATATACAGTGAATATATTATGAGATCTTTAATTGATATGCCCGGAATCGTGGTTGGTGGGCACAATATAAACAATTTACGTTATGCTGATGACACAGTCTTGATAGCAACAAGTCAGAAAGAATTACAGGAAATGATAGACATTGTGGTGTTAGAAAGTGGAAGAATGGGCCTCAGTTTGAATAATGGGAAGACAGAAGTAATGGTGGTATCAAAGAAACAAATTATACCTAAATGTGTAATAAAAGTCAATGGTGTTATTTTAAGACAAGTACAGAAATTTAAGTATCTGGGCACATGGAAAACATCAGATGGAAGATGCATAACTGAAATAAGAAACAGAATTGGACAGGCAAAAACTGCATTTTATAAAATGAAAAACATCTTGTGCAATATATCCTTGTCATTGAGAGTTAGAAAAAGAATTCTTGCTTGCTACATACATCCAGTTTTAACATATGGATGTGAATCCTAGACAATCGGTAGGCAGGCCAAACAATTTTTAGAGGCCTCAGAGATGTGGTTTTACAGAAGAATGCTTAGAATACCTTGGACAGCCAAAAAGAGCAACCAAGAGGTTTTAAAAGAGGCGGGAGACCGAAGACAACTTATCACTGACATCAGAAGGAGACAGTCATCATTTTTCGGCCATGTTATGAGAAGAGGGAAAATAGAACATGTTGTGACCACTGGAAAGATCTGTGGAAGGAGGGGTAGAGGAAGACAACGAGAGAAGATGCTTGACAGTCTTTTTGCATGGCATGGAGGTGTGTCGGCACACGAACTGATACATGCTGCAGGAGATCGCGGATTATGGAGAGGCATAATCGCCCACGCCAGTCGGCAAGGCACCCGATGATGATGACATTTATATAGACTACGTCCTAGGCGTAATAGTTTTCGAGTGCATTAAATCTACAGATTGAAAATGTTGTCATTTGTAGTGTGGGCTCGGGCCACTGGCCCGCGACGGTCTCCACGTGCAACATTTTGGCCCGGGAGCAAACTTAGTTGAATTGCCCTGGCCTAGAGTGTCTTTAATGTTGTGATCCATTATTTTTTAGGGCCGTAGCTGATCTTTTGAGATGTAGTGTCTGTGGTGATATTTGATCTTGTTGTATTCTAACTAGATGACTAAGCCGCTTGATCTGATGTTTCTCGATGAATCTAGTAGAAGGTGTCGATACCACAGTTTGTCTGATATCTTTATTTCCTCGATATCAGGTGGTTAGGTTGGTGGTTTTATTCTAATTACCACAGACATACATTATTTCACCGACACGAGGTGCGGCTCCATCAAGTTAGTTACGTGCCCTTTACATCAATTTGCAGAATCCGCCACATAATTTTTTGCCGGTTGCAAGTTTTCTATGCAAATTTACGTTCAGTAGTTTGCCATTGCTAACTCAATGGTTGGCACTCGTTGCCAGTATCAAAACCAACGCAAGGCCGTCTGCTGCCAAATCGCCTGCACCTATTATCCAAACCGGCATCCCAGCATTTTTTTAAATCATACCCCAAAAAAATACACACCAATGTGAAATCAAACAATGAAAGCGGTACATTCACACAGAATTGTTAATTGCCTCCGATAGAATATGTCAAGTAGGAAATAATTCAAAATTCTTTGCAATAAAAATTACTGAGGATAAAAACTAGGAGTAGCTTCCGAATGTCAGTAACGAAATACTGTAGAACATTATTTACTGGAGTGCAGGAAAAATGAACTTCATAGGATATCCCTAAGTGAATATAGAATCCACTGCAATTATCATATGACCGTAGAAAACATTAAAATAGAGAGGAAATTACAGCCCGTTTCAAATCTCACGCACACTTTAACAAATATCTCGAAAACTCCAGTACAGATCGACACGAATTAGTGCGTGTGGTCTTAGATTTGCCATGACCTAATCATTTACAATTAAGTTCTGCGGTTTTCTTAAATAGCCATTTGTCTAACTAATAATTATCGGGATCTCAGTAAAAATTGCAGTAATGGTCCAAACAGTGAAGTCTGAAAATAACCCACGACCCCTGAGCGAGACAAATTTATCCCCGTCGAACAGTGGCATGGATTTTGTTTCGTCGATGACGACTGCTACCGAAAAATCTGTTGTTATGATCCTACATTTTAAATATACAGTGCGAAATGTTGTGAAATCACAATCCAATGACGATCATTAATGATCTATAATTAGAGAATCTTTCAGTTTTTTAATTATAGATTTGTAAACCTAAATAATCTCATGTCTCGCAAAGGAAGAAAGAATGATACAACGGGCCATAAGGACGGTAGGAGCAAGGCTTTTGATTGTTCTTGTTTATTCCCCACCACACAGTGCACACTGTGACTGAATGGTGAATGACTCAGTAAAAATTAAATCACAATTTGCTGAGCAGAGCAGGAATCATGAAATTAAATAATAAAAATGAAGTTTTTTAAATGACAAACCTCAAAACAGTACATTTCTTTTAATTTCATTGAATTTTCCTATTTAAATATATACATCATTCTGCTTGTTCCATCCTTTGTCTTTCACCACGTTGGGTGTCGAGAGAGACTCAAGGTTCAATCATCTGGTTCCTGACTGCTGCAGCTGCAGCCAACTCAACCATAGACACTTGTGGCATTGATATTGTTGTAATCACGTTAAGTCGTGAGTGCAGAGACTGGCCAGCTGGTGCTGCAGAATCAGAAGTTCAACAAATGATTCATGACAATTATCGCCCAGGTGATGTGATTATCTATACAGATGGCTTTATGTTGAGAGGCAGACGAAAATGCATGGGCTTTCATAGCAAAGGCGAATTGACGTCGCCTAGTGCATATAGAGATCTTCTGGAATTCAAGGTCTCTTTCCTAGCAGGCAGGCTGTACTTTGGGTACTGTATATTGCTTGCAATATTAAAACTTTTAATAATCTGGCAAGTTAATGATTGTCCAACGGATAAACATCATGGCACATGGATGTAACCCATAAATGCTCCATTCTACTTCTAACTCAAGCCTGAGTCTGAAGAATCTCAGTGCGGTGCACAAACTCTGTTGCACCGGCGATGATACTGAAATACTTTGGGTAGATTTTTAACTCCAAATTTTGCCCAGGCAGCATTGTTAGGCTCCTCTTTTTCTGATTTCCAACTGCCAAGGTATTTTTTACATGCGCAACAATACACACGGGCATCCGGTTTTACTACCTAGAGGTCAGGGAAATTACTAGAAGTCTGTGTGAACAAAATCCCAGCCTTCACTGGGGTTTGAACTCAGGGCCTCCAGACCTCAAGGCGGATGCCATACCTAACCTGTTCAAGTGGAATGTGATCTTAAAAAAATATTGGGCTAATTTCTTATGCATCTGAAGGCATGACCAGTTTTTTTTTTTTTTTTTGTATGTTACATTTACCTACTTAAACCAAAATTATATTTTTTTTTTTTTTTAAACTTGTCACTGTGTATACTTTTCATTATAGTACATGCTCAAACCCATGACTTTGAAAGCTTTAAACACTTTATTTATATGCATATATTTTTTTTAAGGAAAAAAGCCAAAAAGTGTTAAATTGTCAGAGGAAAATACTGGTGTATCCAGACCTTTGGAAAAATCTGCAGAACTGATAGAAAATGTTGAAACAGAAAGTCAGACATTGTCTTCATACTCTTCGAAGCAACTGACATCATCAAGTAATAAAAGACTGTCGAGAGAATTCTTTGATGTTCCATGTGTTGATCTAGCTCGGGCTCTTCTTGGCCAGTACCTGGTTCGCAGGTTAGGGACTGAACGTGTCAGTGGACGAATTGTGGAAACAGAAGCATACTTGGGTTAGTCTCTCAGTTTTGACAACTCTATCTCAACTGTATGTTACTTTGTATACTACCATTCATATACATACATACACACATATATATGCAGAGACGCTAACTGCCTGCTGACAAAATCACACGAAACATAAACCTAACAGCTCTTACAATATCCTTCCCAAAAGAACCTTAGTAACAAAAAAAAACATGTGCACTTGAAAAGCAAGCAATGAATTCCACAAATAAACAACTAGACCTTCAAAGGGCAAGGCAACAGCTCAACCCCTTAGCCATAGAGATCTTCTCTTTTTAATATTTAATTTGTGATACTTGCAAATATACTAATATAATGCAGGCAATGGCCAGTATGCCTATATAATAGCTTTCGTGTTGGCTACAACTTCATAATGTGTAGACATGGTGAGTGTGACTGTTTTTTGTTTGTTTGTTTTTTGCGATAAAAAACACAATTTTTGTAAAACTGTGAGGTCATAATCATGCGCCATGTGACTGTTTCAACAAAACCCCTCTTTTTATGGTCATAGGCCCCCCCGTGTGGGTTCCAGTGCCCTACTATGGGAAAAACAAGAATAGTCCCACTGCCTACCCAAAAGCATGTTGTAAGAGTCGGCTAATTGGGAGCTTCCTTCGAAGTTGGAGTGCATCTGCCTGAGAGGCAAGGAACCAACAGTTAGCATACAGATCTGTCAAACGGATGCATATGCAATCCTTAGGTTCTGGAACAGTACTGCAGTCCAGAAGTGGATGAACAACCAGAACTTTCCATCGGAGTTTACAGCCGGTGAACGCGAAGAAGATGGTCAGAGGGAAAGAGAGCAGTTAATTCTATCCTCCATTTTTATTTATTGATTACTTCCTTTCACATAAACAAATTATCTGAACCTAAAATAATGACTTGAAGTTAGTAAAAAATACATATGTATATACAGGTGTACATAGATCAGTTGTTTACAAATTTTTTTAGTGATCTGTTAACTCTTGAATTTTGACAGACTTGGCCCACATTAATTTCCCTTTACATAAATGGCAGAGGGGGTGGTGTACAAGAAAGGCAATAGAGAATTTAATATACTTCTAATCGCTATAGAAGTATATATGCATATCTTATCCCTATAGAAGTATATATCTTTTTAAAGAAAAATAAATGTACATTTTGAATCTAATAATAAGCATATCTTTAATTTTGTTATAGTTAGTAGGAAAGAAGAATTCAGCAGGTGTTAATTTCACAACAGCAACATTTTACAAACAAATTCCTCACTTACCATGGTTTTGCAGCCAAAAGAGTATGAACATCCAGATTTGAGAACAACACTTTATTGCTGTTGAATGCTAAGAAGTAGAAGATTAATAAAATTACTTTTGTCTTTAATTGCAGGGCTAGAAGACAAAGCAGCACACAGCTACAAAGGGAAACGAACAGAGCGTAATGAGGCTATGTTTATGCAACCAGGAACAGCTTATGTCTACAACATTTATGGAATATACTGCTGCCTCAACATATCAAGCCAAGGTTAGTACTAATCTCCAATATATTAATTCATCAACTACAATAATTATATCAGAATAGCATGGACCAAGAAGGAAATAAATACTGACAGCCTAAAAGATCTGAACATTAAGGAAGATTGGCTGGTAAACAGCATTGTGTCTCGGAAACTGAAATATGTTGGCCATATCAAGCACCTCAGCAGAATGGAAATAATAATAGCAGAAAACTTGATACCAAGAAATAGGGGCAGGGGAGGACCAGCATGAAAATGGGCACATGATATTAGTGACATGTAGATTAAGAAAGTGCATTAGGTGGGAGAGTTTGTGAGAGACCAAGTTTTTTTTATGCAGACTGTGATGAGTGTGGCAATCTGCAAAGGACCTGCTAGATGATGATGAACTACAATAAATTACTGACTGTGCTAAAGTTTGTAGTTTATTTCATCTTCTATTGCTATTGCCCTTTAAATTATAGTTGGTATGATGTGTTGTGGTTGACGTCTAGGCTGTGATATCCGAGTCTTTTGAGCCCTCACATGCAGTTTCAGCAAACCCTAAATCTCCTTTTTTTTAAAACATATTTATGAATCCTATCACCCCAAGAAGTCTAAATCTAGTCACTTTCAGTTGTGACACAACTGTGTGTCACAGGCCCGATGTATTGTCATTTCTGCAGGGACCTGCTCTCATAAATCTTTGAAAAATTCTATTGGTTCTGCATGGTATTTAGGAGGCCCGGATGTGAATATAATAATAAAGCATTCAGAGGGGTTTTCATGCAATTCCAATAGCTTTTTAAAGCCAGGTTGACTTAGTTTCCCTTTAAGCCTTAGTTATAAAGGTCACAGAGTCACAGCTTGAGTCAGCTGATACATATTTGTTTTAGGCCAAGGGGATGCATTCCATTTATTGATTCACTCTTTGTATGTTCATATATGTAACTACATTATCATTTTCAGGATGAAATTTTTTTATTTGAAGCTCCACCCTGGCTTTTGCCGGGAGCCGCAATATAGGCAGGCCATAAATATGGCCAAATGTCTGAACGGCGATCCTCATCCGCATGGTGGCACTTTGTGTCATTGTGTGTTTATCGCTTGTGTGATGTCCTGGTGGAGTAGAAAGTCAGTCAGTCATTCATGTTCAAATTGATTACTTCCTTTCTATATTTTTTCTTTAAAACATTTTTTTTAATGAAGTTCTGCAACTATTTGTTACCTGTGTAAAATAGTTGTTTTTTTTGGAAATTCCCACGAGTAAATGACCCATTTATTTTAGCGTTCAGGGAGCGAAAGGAATAAGGACCCATTTGGTTATTTTTTAATGCTTCACTCTGTTCTTATTTAATGAATACTTCCTTTATATGTTTCAAAACAAAATTTTAAAAACTATAGATCAATCAAATTTTTAACCATTTATTAGTTACATATGTAAAATAATTGTTTTAATTAATTTTTTTAACAAATTTTTAAGGAGTCATATAACACTCCTTTTTTTTTTTTTTGTTGCATTCATGGGTTTTAGGGTTTAGGGCCCATCTAAATAAATTTTTTTTTTTTTTTTGCAGTAGGCAATGGTACACAGTACCAGCACCTTTTTTGTTTAGGCATTATGGTTTTTTTTTTTTTTTTAATCACTACTTTAATATATACTTTGTAGTGAGTACTAGCACTTTTTTTAAAGACACTTTGTGGTTAACATGAGCATCTTTTCTATGAAAGAAAAAAAGCTCTAGTGATGCATACTTATAGTGGGACCTAGATTATGTGGTCTAATACTTGTTACCGACAGTAATTGCTGTGGGTTTGCTTATGCCTATTTATTTTTATTTTTAGGAAAAAGTGCACAGGCAGGCCCAATTTTAAAAAGAAACAAAATTCCAGTCTGTAGTGGGGTCTCAGTGGTAAAGTTGTTAAGCCATTTGTCTCATGCTCTAAAGATCATGGATTTGTTTAACAGACTGCATCATTCATTCACTTCAGGAGTGAAGATCCCTTGAGATCGTTGCTGGAGCTGTGGAGCTGCTTTTTGCAATGCTCTCAGCAAGTGGCTAGCTGTACCGCAGGGAGAGACCACACCATATGGGATGAACCCCAGGGCAGTGAAGTCAGTCCTCTGAATGTTAACTTACTTTAACTTTATTGTTAGTCTGACAGACAACATTTAATTACATTGAATTTAGGATGATGTTCATTTTCACTAAATTGTGTGGTATATTGGTTCTTTTAAATGCTCTGTAATTTATCATTTCTTTGTGCAGGAGAGGGATGTGCGGTTCTTTTACGAGCTCTGGAGCCTGTACAAAACATTGGAATTATGAGGACAACCAGAAGCAGTAATTCTACCAAGAAGCAAAAGGATAAAGAGATGACAAATGGGCCTTCAAAACTGTGCCAGGCTTTACAAATATCCAAATCGATGTTTAATCAGATTGATCTCAGTTCATCAGATCTCATGTGGCTGGAGAAAGGGGATGATGTTGACAATGATTCAATCATCAGTTGTCCCAGAATCAATATTGGCTATGCTGAAGAATGGAAAGAGAAGCCTCTCAGGTTCTACTTGATTGGAAATGAATGTGTCAGTGTAAAGGATAAAGCGGCAGAAAAGCAAGCAATTGGGACAAGGACAGTGATATAGCATATAGTATCTATTTATCTGTCTGTAAACTTTTCATATTGATGTTGACAAAAGAGTCATTAATACAAGCAATAGATTGTATAGTATATTGCCTTGCGTATTTTGCTGTGTCATCGGGTGAATACTATAGTAACAGTTACATAAATAACTCAAATAAGCAAATCCTTTATAACTGCAGAACTGATCGGCGCCTTAAGAATTGAGTTGCTGAGCATGTTCCTATATGGGTGGAAAAGCAATAAAAAGTACCAAAAAAAAAAAATGAGAGTCCCAGCCACGAAGACCATCCCTCCACAATAGCACGCCATGTTTTAAAATCTGGACACACTGTAACCAAGGACAACGCGTTTCAAATCCTTCAGAGGCAGAACGCTGAGATTTCTTGAAGCTGCCACAATTCGTTAATTCTGACCTGAACTTTGTAAATAAAGATATGATTCTGGCATTGCGACTACCCTGGTAAAACAGGCAGTTGCATTAAATTGTTGTTGAATTTGTACTTCGGTTATAAAGGATTCACTTATCTGTTTCATTTAACTCCTGCTGTAACTTCTTCTTTGTTGACCGGCTGTAAGCTCTGGTGGAAAGTCCTGGCCGTTCGTCCATTTGGAATTTGGCTTTGTGGCAGGGTCTGAGTTTTGCGTGTACATCTGTTTTACTGACTTATTTGTGTACCGTTGGTTGTTTCTTGCCGCTTGGGCAGATGCACTTCAAAATAAGTCCCCTATTAATCAACTCCTGCAACATGTTTGTTGGTATGGTAGTGGGTCTGTTCTCCCACATGGGGAGAAGCTGTAACAGTTAGCTTCTTTTGTCCTTATTTATGCAGACAAAGAAGACATGAAGAATGCACTTCAGACAATATATTGTTCAATTAGTTGTTTGTATCTTCAATGTTAAAATGTACCCGTGCAATATTTCAGTGCAGACTGGGATTGGTTTTATTTATGGTTTCATTTTTTTTTAGTGTGCAGTTGCTTGAAGGTGTCTTAAGGCTTGTGAACACAATTTCATAATCACTTGCTTGTTAGGGGGGCAGTTGGTCCATTCTTGTTTTCTCAATAATATTATCCCATAACCCCCATGGGGAAAACTATCAATTTTGGGATTAGTTTGCTTTGTCATGAAGAGGACATGCCACTAACATTTAGATGCTTGCTGAGCATCCAACCAGTTTTTTCATACAACAGAGGGTTGATGCTTGTACATACTGTGACTGTTTTTTTTTTTTCACATGTCAGAGTATGGGAGTTCTTTTTCTTCGCGTTCACCAGCTGTAAACTCTAGCAGAAAGTTCTGGTTGTTCATCAACGTCTGGACTGCAGTCCTGTTCCAAAACCTGAGTGTTGCCCGTGCATCCATTTTACAGATCTGACTCATTTGTATGCAGACTGCTGGTTCCTTGCCTCTCAGGCAGATGCACTCCGACTTTGAAGGAAGCTCCCAATTAGTCGACTCTTATGACATGCTTTTGCGTAGGCAGTTGGTCTATTCTTGTTTTTCCCTATAAGAGGGCCCCGGAACGCACATGGGAAAGTATGGAGTTGTAATATAGTGTCTGACTTTACTTTGAGCTGGAGACAGAAGAGACAGCATGGTCACCTTATCACATAATGATGCGCTTAATATATGTGAGATCGTGTCTGTTCAAGGTCATTTTTTTAGGGCGTGCATCTTCCCCATAGAGGTATATGGATGTGAGGATTGGACCTGCTTGTATTATTAAGAATTAAAATGCAAAAAAAAAACAGATTCTCAGAACAACTGTCCAAGAAGAAATTAAATACTGACATTCTAAAAATTCTAAATGTCAAGAAAGATTAGCTTGTAAACAGCATCTTGTCTCCGAAATTTAAATATTTTGGCCATATCAAGTGCTACAGCAGATTAGAAAAAATAGCAGCAGATGGTATGGTGCCAGGAAAGAAGGGCAGGAGTCAACCAGCATGAAGATTGGCACAGGATATGAGTGACATCTTGGGTAGTAAAAATGCACAAGGCAGGAGATCTGGCAAGAGACTGCGTTTCTTTCAGGAAGCTGTGATGAGAGCAACATTTTGCAAACTGAAACACTGGTCAAACCAAATCTGCATATCTGAGTTCTGGAATAGATTTGCCCCCACACCCAAGCCTTATGGGGGGGGGGGGGGGAGGGGGGAGAGACTATCATCGTTCAACAAAACGAGGCACTTGCTGGGATTAAAAACCTGATTCTACAAATTGGGTCACTCGTCTGATATCAACAAAAGGCTTGAAATCCATACTGTATATTTAATCATTGATAATTTATGTACTTATGTGAAATCTCAGGACTGTTGTGATATGATTAATAAAGGAATCAGGTGTATATTCACTATACTGACTCCTTACTAGGTTTATTTAACCTTAGGGTGATTTTAGTTTTATAAATCAAGGTCTTGATTTAATTTACATTTAGTCTAGATAATTCTGAAACTAGTTTAGGACCTCGAAAAAGGAATACCATGTGATGGTTAAATGTATTAGATTCACACTGTTGGAGAAGAAGAATGGAGATGCATGGCACATGCAGGTACTAATTATTGTTATATATAATTCCCCATTACTAGTAATATATTTTCAGTACTTTTATGTGTGGCCTGATACTTTTAATAATTATTTTCCACCCTTCCCAACTTCTTAACTGTATTGAATGAGATTTAGCAAATGTACTCATTCAGAGTTAATCTGGTGTCAGTGTTTAATATTTTGTTAATAATGTGACAGGTCGGAAATCTATTGTCATCTATGATTGTGTTATGACAGCTATCCAAGCATCCAGTTATGTTGATTGAGATATGTCCAATCCCGGTTATATTCAAACTTCCTAACTCACATGTTATGAGTTTCACACCCATGTAAATTATGATGTGAACCCATGTGGTTGAAATGAGAATATATTTTAAAGTGTGACCATTTAAGCATAATAACCTCTGAAAGGAGTACTAATGTAAAGAGAGCAGAACAATTCACACAGCTGAATGTGCTCTCTCAAGTGATGCTAAACCCATGCGCTTTGAAATAATATTCTCGAGAAACATATGGATGGAATATTTATCCAATCATCTTCCATCAGGAATGTAGATTCTTTTCAGTAAATACCATTCTTTACCCCACTCAAGAATGTGAACACATGTTACTACCCTACTTCATATATGTGTGTGTAGTGTAACAGTATATGAGGACTGGAAGCAGTGTGGCCTTCAGTGAGAACTTTCCCAACTGCTTGTACAGGGACTGTTCAATTACTCTAGTCCCAGGTGAAGCTCCAGTGTGGCTGCTGGTGTCAGATTGTTTAGACTGTACTAGAAGATTCGACCTGCCTGAAGTGTCTCCGAGGCTTAGCCACAAGCTCACCTAAGAAGCACACCAGCTATAGATAAGTGGACACATTGATCCACTAAGTCTGGGACTACTTTTATCACCCTAGCCAGTCTGATGATTAGAGTGACTTTTCCAATTAAATGTTATAGTTGTTAATGTTTCTTCCAGTTTTGTGAAATTCATTTTAACTGTAATCAGTGTATGACAGTGAACAATAGCTACTATAATTTAACTATATAAATATACTATTTATATAAGGCATTTGTTTTTAGTCTCAGTTTCAGACTCCATTGTAGTGTGCTAGCAGGAAAAGGAAAAAAAAACGGAAGCTAGGAGGCTAAAGAAAATAGTGATTAGGACAAAAGTAACAGTTCCCCACAAAACAGGAAAAGTAGAGAAAATGGATTCTTCTCTGCATGGGGTCCTAGAATATCTCACCAAGACCCAGACACTGGATATCTGAGCAACTCTATGTTACTCACATTAACACACAAGATGGCTACATACACCTAGACAAACCAAGTGCATGGACTACATATCTTAAATTGAATCAAGGAAATGAATTATAATCATCACATTATTTTACTGAGTAAGTATATTTCACAGATATTATATATACAAAAACCAACATGCTCGACAATCTAAAGTGCTAATCATCTCCAGCTAACAAAGACCTCAACACTGCCAAAAAAATGAAACATATTAACATGTACTTCAGCTTCAATGTGCCACCAGACCAGTAAATCGCTTATAGCAACCTGCAATCAAACTATCTCCGAGCGAGGATACACACTGATGAGTCTACCTACACGTTTAACTACTAGAGACAAATTCAGATTTAACCAAAGAAAGGTACCACCGCCGTGAACTCAGCCAGGCAACCGGTCATCCTCCGCAATCGCCCGTACCCACGCTGTTTAACCGAATGTGCGGAGCCACAACAGCTTGTTGGGTCTCCAGTCCTGAGGACTGCAGGTTCAGTCCGGAAGCCAAAATGAAACCGGTTTTGGTTGAGTTGCCCTTTTTTTTTTACATAGTGGCCACACTTTTGGCTCGCTTTCAATCAATCAATCAGGTGCCGTCTCCACAATGAAGGTTGGCTGCAATGGATCTCCAACAAGCCCTGTCTCTTGCCCTTAATGTACACTCACTCATACTGCTGTTTGTCCATATCTTGATGTTCTCGACCCACTTGTAACGCTGTCTGCCTCTTGCTCGCCTACCTTGAACCTTTCCCTCTAGAATGATCTTTACAATACTGTTATGTCTTTTAATGTGGCCAAAATATTTCACTTGTCTCTTTTTTATTTCACCTAGCAACTCTCTTTTCATTCCCAATGTCCTCAGCACCTCTGTATTTGATAGCTTTTGTTTCCATGAAATACGACCTAATCTTCTGTATATCCACATCTCCAAAGAATTGATACGATTTTCCAGTTGTTTGTTCATTGTCCATGTCTCTGTGCCATACAGTAAGGTTGAGAATACATAACATTTGACAGTTCTCATTTTTAATGTATTGCTTATTTCTCTTGATGTCAGTAACTTTTGCATGTTGAAAATGTTTTTGACCATCCCTATTCTTTTCTTGACTTCTGTTTCACTTTTGCCGTCATGTGTTATTACTTGTCCAGGATATAAGACATTTTTAACTTGTTCCAATTTCACCCCGTTCACTGTGGTATTCAGTGTTAGCTGATTATTTTCTTTGCTAAATATCGTGGTTTTTGTCCTTTTCAAATTAATATCTAATTAGGCTCGCTTTAAGCTAATTAAATCATCACCCTCCGTTCTCTGGCGTTCTGCCACAGTAGAGAAAACAAGAACAGACCCACTGTCTTCCCAACAAACGTGTCGTAGAAGTCGACTAATTAGCAGCTTCTTTCGAAGTTGGAGTACATCTGCTCGAGCGGCAAGGAACAACCAGCTGCACATAAGTAGGCCCGAAAACAGATGTACAAGCAAATCCCAGGTCCCTACACAAAGCCAAAGTCTAATTGGACGAACAACCAGGCTTTTCCGCCGGAGCTTACAGCCGGTCAGCAAAGAAGAAGGCGATGATTTTTGTTTGTTTACATTAAATATGACATATACGTCTGCTTATCCACATTTTCAGACTTAATTCCTAGTTGCTTGTTCAATGTCCAGGTTTCTGCACAATACAAAAAGAAATCTGTGCGTGTGTACAGTAAAGTGATAGTCCTCTTTACTTGGATAATATATGATAAAATAATGAAAGTGCTACCTGGGTATTATTAACTAACATTTTTCAAACCGTCTTTAAAAAGGGTGATAACAGACAATGTGAAAACCACATAGTCTTATTTTCCTCCTCAACGTTACTGGGACAAATTACTCTAGAATTCTCGAGCAGAGACTTAAACGTCTGTCTGTCATAGTGAGATCAGGCCCAATGCAGCTTCAGAGCAAACCGAAGTACTCAAGACCGTATCTTCACAGTGAGACAGAGGAGTGAAAAAGCCCTTGAGTGAGGTGCATCTATATTTTTGGATCTAGAAAAGGCATTTGATAAGGTACCCTGGAGCAAGCTCTGGGACTTCTTGGCAGGGGAAAAACATCACAGCACCGCTGATCTATGCAATACAGTTTCTACAATAGCTGCAGAAATTATGTAATATCGGTAGACCAAAAGTCAGAAGAATTTAAGACCACTAGTGGTGTTAGACAAAGTGATATTCTCTCACCTTACCTCTTCATTCTTATGATGTCACCAAGACCTGTAAGAAGAAGACAAAGAAGTACTCAATTCAAATACCTTGGGGTTGTATTAGCGGAGGCATTAAAACCGAAATGGCTACAAGAAAAGCAGCTGCTAAGAGACTCTTCCAGGCCATAAACCGAGGGTTTCTTAGCAAAAGAGGAGTTGTGCAAAAGTCCTGACTTACGAGTGTGAGTCATGGGCAATGACAACAGCTCACAGAAACCAGCTTTGGGTCTCAGAAATGAGATATCTTAGAAAAGTGGTCAAAGGGACAAAGTCTGCGATCAGACAATACGTCCTGATCCTTACAAACCGAAGTAGGTCAGTCACAGTTGCGATGGATTGGACATGTATGCAGAATGGCAGAAAATCGGCCACCTTAGGAGGCTAAGAACCAGGGAACTAGACCTCCAGGGTCTGCTGAGAAGACAACATCTGACAGAGGAGTGGAATGGAACAAAGCCCGAAAGAAAACTGCGAATAGAGACGTCTGGCAATCTCTCTGGCAAACCTCTACACCCCAAGGTAGAAGAGGAGCGACTAATTACGTAAGTAAGTATATTTCAAACCCATTATAAAGCTTAAAACACTCCCCTTTGTGCTATCAGTGAACGATTAGCACGGCTCTGCGATACCCAGGGGCGCCGTTACCTGGCGCTTCTGGCTCCTAAAGCCCCCCCCCCCTCCCAGCATGTGGGCTAGGTCCGTCCACATCCGGCTTTAACTTTATAGCCTAAAGATGGCCGTGGTCCGTCTCACCCCCACCCACCCCATTCCTAGAAAAATTTGCAACAGGGCTAGGTGTCCCCCCTCCCCAAACTTTCCAACATGCCCGCCGCGAAAGAGAAAATGGTGGGGAGGGGGCGGCGCGCTTAGCTTACTCCCGGGTAATTTTTCGCCAGGAGGGCAGGTGTTGTTTAGTAGATTAACGGTTAAAATAAAATAATTAACCATTGAATATCGTGGGGAAAGGGGGGGGGGTTATAGGGGCCTAAACTTGGTTTAAATGCGCAATAATAATAAGCTAATAATATTGTGATGATTATTATTGTTATGTGCCGAATCTTTTGGTAAAGAATCGATTGCTTAAACAAATGTTTTAAAAGAAAATGTTTATGTATGGGCGGAGGTGGGGTATCTACTCGCTAAACAACGATGTGTTGAAGGGGGAGGCTAAGTCACACTTGTAAAAAAAAATGGGAAGCTCAAAGTTCCCAGTTTAAAATGTTTCATTGTATTTGTTTACGCGTACAATTATCCTTTATTCAAATATGTTATTAAATTTAATTGCCATTTATAACATAATAATGACGATAGTAATAACGACAATTAATTAGTATTGCGCACTTAGACAAGATCTACGCTTATTCAGCGCCCTTCTCCCCGGGTCGCCCATTGGCTCACCGGTTGACGACCTAGTCACCGGTCGGGACAGTATTTGGGACTCAGGGCTGCCAATGGGATTTTTTTTTTTAAACCCAGCTTCGCTAAACAAAAACGCAAGCAATACATAGACAATGAACAAAAAAAAAAAAAACCCAGATTGTTGAAATGTACAAAATTTATACTTACGAAACGAATCATTTACCACTTTTATATAGGAATATATTTAAAAAAAAAAAAAAAACAGATTTCCCTGAGGCCTCTAAGAAAAACCCAGATCTGGAGGGAAAACCCAGCATTGGCAGCCGGGTCCGTCTCCTGTGATCGCATCACGGCGATCTTGAGATATAAATAGCCTGAAGATGGGCGTGGATCGCATCAACACAGCTGGAGTCCTGTTCGGGGCTATTGGTGGCACACAATGCTAAGTCATTTTATTTGTTTGCACATAACATAGTCGGGAGTCGCCATGCGTAGCGGCTAGACGCTCGCGTGCGGATCGAAAGGTCGTTGGTTCGCTCCCTGGCGGAGCCGTTCTTTTTTCAAAAATAACTCCCAGGTCGACCCAGACTTGAGTGGGTACCGGGTGCAGTCCCGGGAAGTATAGGCGCTGACCACATCACCCAACTTGTGCCGATTGGTCTATAAAAATATAGGTCTAGCCCTATATGCCCTATACGCCTAAAGGTGTGGAAAAGGGACCTTTACTTTTTACATAACATAGTCACAATTATAACCTAAAACTTCCCTTTCGGAGATGCTGATTGAAAGTGCCGATTTTTTTACCAGCAAAGCACCTACCTACCTATCTCCACAAACATGTCGGCACCTCTGACAGTAGTGCTGATATTCAGTCAAAACTGATTGAGTATCACGCCAAGTTGAATCACGAGCCATCCTACGTTCCATGGCCTCGTAAACACTGAATCGACCAAGAAAAAAGAGCCAGCCATGCATACGACTATAAAATCATGTGATGTTTTTGTTATCCGTCAACGCAGAGTCGTTCTGTCCTTAGTTTGAAACAACGATCACACATTAAATCACAGCTGTATCTGGAGAAGGCGGTGATCATGAGTAACTGGGAAAACAAGAAGTCAATAACGTGAGTATGATAAACAAATAGACAATGTAGTGATTGGCACTCATAGAAAGAAGTAGTATGTTTATTAATGAAGTAAGTAGTAACGGTCGGCTCTGTGGCTAAGTCGATGCGAACGCTTCGTAATGCCTGGATGTCGGGTTCGATCCCAGCTGCGGGCCATGCGCCTTGCGTTGGTTTCGACAGTGGTATCAAGAAAGCCGACCGTTCCGGTAAGCAATGGCAAACTACTGGACGTAAATTTGTCTAGAAAATCCACACAACCAGGGGTTGTTGGGGTTGGTTCTGCAACGTTCTGTAAAGGATACGCAACTAACCTAAGTAGTAAGTAACGATTAACAGTGAAAGTACTTCGTTTACTCCGAGCCGCGGTAGCCAGGCAGTTAGACGCCAGACTAAGGGCAGGGCTGCCAATGGGATTATTTTGAAAAGCCAGCTAAGCTGAACAAACAAACAACAAAAAAAGCAATACATAAGCAAAGAACCAAAAGAGGTACCATTAGTATCGGAACTCTTCGCTGGCTGCTGAAGATGGGAACGGGGCGCTTATGGGAATGCCCCGAGTGCTGTGATGTCGGTTCTTGAATCAAATCAAATCAAATCAAGAACCAAAAAAGGAAAAAAAACCTAGATTTGTTAAAAATTACAAATTTGATAGTTACGAAACACAACATTTACCCACTTTTAAATTGGGATAAGCCCGGCTCTCTAGCGTAGTTGGCTCAACCGGATTGCGCGGTGACCAGGTGACGAACTCCTTGTGGTCCGGGTTCACTCCCGGAGGTAGGCAGAAAAGCCACATTTCTCCCAGATTTACGGTATTTACAATGGAAGGCCTTAAGGTTGCGATATCCATAATAACGAGCCTAAGGGTTAACAACTCATGGCTTCTGGATACTAAAACAAACAAACAAATTAGGATATATTTTTTTAAACCCAGATTTCAAAATTTTAACCCAAGGCGTCAAATAAAAAACCCAGATCTGGGGATAAATCCGCAGTAGGGCTAATTTTTCTAATAGTATGTGTTTAACTAAAATGACTAGGGCTGTCAGTTTAATCCAGCCTATAATGTATACCTGAAATATTATGTGAAGTAAAGGCAGGCGGTGTTATATCCACCACTTTACCCACTGAGTGATAATCTGTATTTAAACAGAAATGTGGGACTAGCTCCAAATGTCCAATACGACAATGGCGTGATAATGGTTCATTACGCAATTTATTTAACTGGTTTATTATTGTTAGTGGGACCCTGGAACCCATGCGGGGAAGCTATCTTTTGCTTGGAGATCCCTAATTAATGTCAGCCAATCCATGTGTGGGTTCCGGGGCTCCATTGTAGGGAGAACAAGAATAGATCCACTGCCTACCCAAAAGCATGTCGTAAGAGTCGACTAATTGGGAGCTTCCTTTGAAGTCGGAGTGCATCTGCCTGAGAGGTAAAGAACCAGAAGAATGTTTTTTTTTATTCTTTAGCTGTGGTGGTGTAAAGATCAATTTCGGTTATCTGATTAGACATCTACTACGATATAAAGATTTGTGCAAGCGGGATACGAATGATACAGGCATTGAGGTGGACTCATGGGAACAAAATGTCATGAACCGTATTGTAAGGAGAGAGCGGACATCCGAAAGGAAATGAAAATGAAGAAAGAAATGATAGCAGAAAGGATGAGAGCTGAACGTCTGAGCAGAAACAAACACAAATGTTGCCAATAACGGTCCTAAACTCCCATGCTATAATTGTGGAAGACTTTGCTTAACGCGGGTGGGTTTTGTAGTCACACTCATATCCCTCCTCATAGCTCAGTATAACACTATCGTCTGGAAAGACGGAAAGCTGCCAATGACGTTGTTATTGTTATCTTAGTGTTACTTTAGCTTGGTTTTTTTGTCTTTATGGAGGTCCTTCGTCTCAGTTTTAAAAAAAATACAATTCTGACTTATTTGTGCATTAATGGTCTGCGATTAAACACCAGCGAGTAAATAAAAGCCACAGTTTAGAGAGCATGCATCTTCCCTGTAGCGACATAAGGATGTGAGTAGCGGACTATCTCGCAGGTTTTAAGAAAGAAAATATATGCTTTTGAGCTGAAATGCTACAGAAAGATTCTCAGAATACTGTTAGTTAGTTAGTTAGTTAGTTAGTTAGTTAGTTAGTTAGTTAGTTAGTTAGTTAGTTAGTTGGGTTATCCTCATTGCACTCCGGACATGTCCATAGGTGCTCAGATCCTCCCCTCAGTATGAACCCCAACGTCCGATGGCTAAAAGTACCAGTTCTATGTTGATTAACAAGTCTTCTGGCGTAGCTGGTGTGCGTCTCGTTTTTTGCTATGCCGATCTTAATTCCCAAGTCTGCCATTCTGGCGAGTGATGTGGATTCACTGCCACCAAAGTCGTCTATCCTTCCCATTTCTCTGAGGGCATTGATAATATCAGCATGATCCATAGGCTGACCGTCGGTAGTGATAGCGGATCCAGCCAACCTGTCAGCTCTTTCATTTCCATCGACGCCTGCGTGTCCCGGAACAAAAATAAAGGTGACTCCACGGACAGTGGACTTCTGTAATGATTCAAGCCATTGTCTTCGCACTGAACCTGCCTGAACCCTCCGGATCATACTCATTGAATCACTGAGTATACACACGCGGGTGTATTTTTGTGTTTCAAGCCAGGCAAGCGCTTGTGTCACTGCCATCACCTCCATCGTCATGCTGCTGGTTGTCATGGAGAAGGCGCCGTTGGCTTCTTTGACTGTTCTGCCCGCTGAGCGTGCTGTAAATGCCCATGCGCTTCTTCTTTGGCGTATAACGGATCCGTCTGTATAGATTATTGCATCTGCTTCGTCTGAATTTTCAACGATGAGAGCGCTGACCTCTGCATTAACAGCAACAGGATTCTCTTCTCTACATCGCCTGTTGAGTGAGACAATACAGGAAAATGTACAAATAAACGCCTGAGGCACAGGTATCCATTCTGCACCAGGTATGATGTCGGTTAGGCTGCATATTTGCCTAATAACATCTTCTGCCCGACCTAGCCACGATTTCCCCCTCTTCAGTCTGTCGCCCTTTTCACTAAAAAGCGCTTGATGCAGTGGGTGTTTCTTATCAGCACATATTTTGAGATATGCCCGAGCCCTCCACATCCTGATAGAATACTGTTAAGAGACGATGACGTCATGTGTCTGTATTATAGTTTCCCCTAATTATAACAGACATTCTACTCTAGAGTTACTTAATATAGTTCCTGAAGTTTGAGACATCGGGCGGTTAAATCAGGTCTTGCTTCCAGCAGCAGAAAAAAATAACTCAACCAAGTTAAGTGAGTTTTATTAAAGTACGATTTACCCATGCTCTACTGAAACTCCCGGGTGAAGTGGAGACTTTAAAAATAGATACTGACGGAGTTGGCAGAAAAGGCGTTAGGCCGTCTGTTTGCTCTGGAAGCTGGGCTGCGAAAGCTGTCAACGATCCAAGCGTAGTTCAAGACAAAAGCTGGAAAATTCCTTCCGCGAAACAGGCGGTAGTTCAGCTTATAGAAAAAGGCTTCCCTGCTCTTAGAAATCACTTAACTGTAAGTGAATTCATCATATAACTCACTCCCAGTAGATTCAAGATGGAACCAGGCTATTTTACCCACACCCTGACCTATATTTGTCAAAAAAGAACTGTCTACTTATAGAGAAAGGTCCTTTTTTGAATACAGGTGATTTACCTAGGGTGTACAGGATGTGGAAGACCTTAACGCCGAGGGGTGTTCTGGCTGGTCATGCGACAAATACCATGGACAAAGAAGAAAAGAAATACACATTGAAAGATCTGAACATCATAAACGATTGGCGAATAAACAGCACCTTGTCTTGTAAGCAGATATAGTTTGGCCATATCAAGTGCCACGGCCGATTGGAAAAAAATAATAGCAGAACACGTAATGAAAGGAATGAGGAGCAGGGGCCAACCAATACGATAATGGCTACGGTACATGACTCCTTTGGTATGAAAGTGCATGAGGCAGGAGAGCTGGCAAGAGATATGGTTTCCTTCAGGTATACATAACGAGAGCGTCGTTCTGCAAAGGGCCTGCTACAATATGAGATGTGCCTTATTTGTATGCAGAATGTTGTTGCCTCTTATGCCGATGCACTCCTACTTCGAAAGAAATACCATTAATTATTTGACTTTTGCGACATGCTTGGCTTGCTGAGAATGGGGGTAGACCCCCCCCCCCCCCCCCCGCCAATTTTAGGGCCGCGGAAAACGCGCAGGAAGGCCGAACTATGTGATATAAAGCAATGTAGGCGATTATCTCGCTTTTAAAAAGACTAAATATCTCATGCGATTTATATCATTTTGTTTGTTGTGCAGTGTTCATCATTTTTATGCGGTTTTTATTTTTTTTTTTCAACAGGCATTCTTACATGTCAGCTCAGACTTCAAATGGTCAGACTCTACCGCCACCGCCGTCTGCACCACCAGACAACAGCAATTTAATAGCCGCAACGTTGCCAGTGTCACAGTCATACGGAAATGGCTTGAACCAACCAACAGTGTACGTCACTTACCCTAGTACAGACCAAGTCTCTAGCGTGGGGACCATACACCGCATTCAGTACAATAAGTCTCTGGTAGAAGCTTATCTACTTGGAGCATCGCCGTTTGGGATTCTAGGCGCTCATCATTTTTACTTACGCCGCTACTCCTGGGGCATACTTTACATCTTCACCTTTGCTCTTTTAGGATTTGGCTACCTTATCGATTTGTTTCGTATGCCTTGCTTAGTCAAACACGCAAACAACAAGATTAAGAATCCCGAAAAAGACGAGAAGACGATTTCAGATGCCTATACTCTGTGGTTTCCGTTTGGCCTTCTCGGGTTCCACCACTACTACCTCGGAAACCACGGCTGTGGCATTCTGTATACTCTTACTGGCGGTCTTTTTGGGATTGGATGGATCGTTGATGCCTTTAGAATCCCAGGCTTGGTGAGAGCTTCCAATGAAAGCCAGTTTAATCAAGCTAAGGCCAAAAGTGCTTGTGTTGCTGCTGGTTTAGCACTTTGCCCATTTGGCATCCTTGGAGCACACCATTACTACCTGAGACGTCCGATATGGGGGTTGGTGTATACATTCACTTGCGGTCTAATGGGATTTGGTTGGCTTGTTGACTTGTTCAGGCTTCCGGTACTTATAAAGCGCGCCAACAAAATTATATTAGGAAACTTAAATGGCAATTTGAAAACCCTTGATGATGCTTATATTTTGTGGTTCCCCTTTGGGATGCTGGGATTCCATCACTTTTATTTGCAACGCCCTGTTTGGGGGTTTTTATACTTCTTCACTTTTGGGCTAGTAGGAATAGGGTGGTTGGTTGACATGTGTCGGATCCCTTACCTTGTCAAACAGACCAATGCGAAAATTGAAGCTGAAAACGAGCAACGCCAGTTGCTATCTGGTTCTGCTGGTCACACGAATACGCCATCGGTGTATGTCTCAAGTTTCAGTGGACCAAACGCTCAAGGTAAGAGTGCGCTTCGTGCATACTTTACAGACGTGTGTTATATATAATGTCTGATGCATGCACATGTATATACATATGTATGCTCGGTTATATGTAAATGTACATGTTAAAGTGTGCGTACTTTTGTACAGACATCCCGGTTTTGTTTTGTTTTTATTTGTCATTTTCTTGGGTGGTGGGAGAATAAACCCACTGCCTCCCTATCAAGCATGTCGTAAAATGTGACTCCTCGGAAGTTGGAGTGCATCTGTCTGAGAGGCAAGGAGCCAATAGTCTGCATACAAATTAGCAGATGTGTAAAACGGATTTACAAGTAAAATTTAAGTTCTGGAACAGGACTAGAGTCCAGAAATTGACGCACAACCGGACCTTCCCGTCGAAGTTTACAACCGGTGAACACTACGAAAAAGAAGAAGTGAGTAAAAGTAAAGATCCCTTTCACGCCTTTAGGCGTATCGGGCATATAGGAAGAGTGCCCATATTTTTACAGACCATCAGCACTCGGTGGGTAATGTGGTCAGCATTACGCCGGGAAAAAGAAGAAGACTACAGCATTAATCTCCCGTAAGTTGCGAATTTTTCATTAAGCGGTGGATAGGCTATCAAAATAATCACTACACATCGCTACACATATGAACTGATTTTCAAAAAATCTCTACAAGTGTGTCATTTACTGTATTTTCTAATTTTCAAGTATACATAAATCCTTAGTTTAAAAAAAAAAATACGCCGCTTTAAGAAAACAGCAGTATCGGTGCAACTGTAAATTATAGAATCGTAAGAACATGGGAAACTGCGGCTACGTGCAAACATTCGTGCTGATCTGTACATGAGTTTTTTTTTTAGATATTTGTTAGTGTGATCGCGCTAAAAAGCACTATAGCATCTGCGCTCGTGATTATTTCTTCAACTTCAAAGCGAAGTATGGAACATGCGATATCAACGGCATTGCGAAATACCCTCGTAACCTTGTGCCAAGGTCAAGCGGCTTGTCAACTACCAATTAGAAGTGAGCTAGTGTGTGTATGTGCAGGATCTGGGGAGACTAACGCCGAACTAACCTGAATTATAGTTATGACTTTCCTGGCTAGTTTAAACAGTGGTACTATTTTAAGGCATTCTTATGCTAACATTTACAGGATACCTTCATGGACTACAGTTAACACTTTCTAAATGTTTTCTAATTTCAGGTTATCCCAATTACAGCGTGGGGAATCCAACAGCTCCCATTCTCACAAACCCGCCGCAGTTATTTTTTAGTTATCCACAAGCTGCATATGGATATCCACCATCTTTCCAGGAGCATCCAAACAACGCTGTTCGTGCCATGGATGCCAACGCCCCACCAGCTTACAGTTGGGATATGGGTTCAACAACCATAGGTCAACACCTGGTGGCAGATATAGCTCCGCCCCCATACCAGCCAGCAGAACCGGCCTGTGCTGGCCACCAGGCAGAAGATCTACCTGAGAAAACGGGGTATGCCGGGGAAACAAAGACGCCAAGAAATTGATTCCGGCAGTCCTTTAACCTTTCACCAATCACCGTAGCTGCACAAGGAGAGAAATAAACACTATGGAAAATTACGAGTGCAAAACTTCCAAAGAGGCCACCAGGAATGCCAGATTTATGAAATATGATATGACCAAATACATAAATTTAAAAAAACGAGAAGAGTTTATCACACAAGATGCGCTGCTTGAGACAAGAAAGATTCGACAAAGGTTTTTAAGATGTTCATAACTATGTTTTCCTATTGTGCATTTAAATAGTGAAGACATAAACATTATACTGCATATTCCACTGTATCATTTGTGTGTGCTTTATTATGTTAATTATGCACTACTATACAGAAACGCCCCATACAAGTTTCGGCAAAATAAATGTACTACTTCTTCTTTGTGTGATCGCACTCTAACAGACCAGTCTTGTGATAAAAGTGACTGTTTATTACAGTTCCCCATTAGTTCCATACAGCTGTGAGTTGGATGCTGTCTCACTGGGCCAGTATTTCCTTCCTAATTTTGCATGCAGAGCCCACAATGGTGTACTACTTAAATGAATCCTATAAACGTTACTGTAGAGTAGATATATATGAACAAGCACAAAAGACTAAAACACAAACGACTGTCCTTTCGTTCTATATACATTGAATTTTATATGTTAAACTTTTCAGTTCATTCATTTATTGTCGGAAGCAAGTCGACATGTTCAAATATTTAGGAACCTTTTAATATAAATGTCTATGACAAATCCTAAATTTATTGAGAAGAGTTGTGACGGAACCTGTGCTAAACTACATCAAGAGACAACTTTTACCACTACACACTTCTTGTTCACCTTACTTTTTCCTTCAATACAATTTTTATAACAGTGTTATCTTTTATAATGCAGCAGAAATAGTTCATTCTCTGCTAAGTGTATACTTCATACGTTTGATTTCAACTGTTTGCCCATATCAGAAGGAGGCAATCTACATTCTTTGGTCATGTGATGAGAAGGAGAAAACTGCAGCACATTGGGATGGTGAGAAAGTTGGACAGACAGAGGGAGACCAAGAGAGAAGATGCTGGACAGTCGTGACCTTCGAAAGTACTACCCACGGTCTCAGTCTGACATCATGGCTTGGAAAATCCTCTGTGTATGTGAAAGTACATGAGACAGAAGGTTGAGGATAGACATGACTACCAACGCCACACAGCATGGACTTTGAGGTGAAGAAGTTTGTATTCACACTATATACAAAACTTGTTATGTGCGCCATAATTTTTTTTAAGCGGTTGGTGGAGTCTAGGAGGATGGACTTTCTTAACTCTTTGAGTCCCAGGGGGTTTAGCATAAGAGGCCCAAAAGGTAGTCAAGAGAGAAATAAAATCGGCGCATCTTGCATTCACTGGGCTTCTGGGTAGTAACCTATGAATGTATGATGAGTTCCTTGGGACTGAAAGAGTTAATAATATATTGAAGCTCCTTTCTTAGTGTTTGTTTATATATTTCATATTATTTTTAAAATGTATTTATTTGCTGTTCAGCACATAATATTAACATATTTAAAATGAGATTATTATAAGATGATAATGTTATTTTCTATTATATTATTATATATTTTTAAGTCAAAGTGTCTGTCTCCCAACATCCAGATCAAATATCTGAAACGTTGATAAGACTAGTGATTTTATATGGCTCTGAATTTCGAAGCACAACTAAAAGAGATGAAGCCTTTTTACAGGTTTTCAAAAACAGAGTATTAAGACAAATCTTTGGACCCATAAAAGATGCAAACAGCGGCCAATGGAGTGAGTAGCAACAACGACAGTCATAATCTGTTTAAATCACCACTGATCACTGGTATCATGAGAACTAATAGACTGAAATGGTTGGGGCATATTGAAAGAATGTCAGATGACAGAGAAGTAAAAAATGTACACACAAGGGAGCTGAATGGCCGTAGACCACAAGGCAGACCAAGAAGATGATGGAGAGATAATGTCCAGAGAGACCGGCAAACACTTGGTGTCACCAATTGGAAATAGAAGGCCAACCAGAGAGATGAATGGAGGCAGGTGATATCTGCAGCAGCGATGAATCTGAAGGGCTCGGAATGCTGCAGAAGAAGAAGAATTGCTATTTTACTTTTAATAAGGCTTGGGCACCTGCAGGCTACATGATGTATAACTGTCTGAGCCTGTAAACTGTGTGTGTGAATGTTCCCTTAGTGTGCTCATTTACCTCTCAAAACTTGGGTGTCCCTAATTTTTTTTAGTGGATGACTTTTCTGTCTCATTGATGGTTCATGTGCAAGAAAAATTTAGAGCTAATTTCTACGATTTTATTTTGGAAACCTGTACATGTGTAAAAAATAGTTATAACAGAAACATTTTAAAAGTATAAAGTTTAAGTCGAGACTGTTGACTTCATAGCATTGGGTTTTTCCCATATGGCTCAGTCTTTCACTGCAATATGACTAGCAGCCTGTCAAGTGTCACACAGAGCATGAATTCCGTAGCTCATGCAACAGTCCCCAGAGATCTCATAAACAACTGCACTTGTGAACTGAACGACACGTATGTGAAACTAACCCATGAACTTAAGAATGTGCAACAAACAGGTTGACCACTCTGCCAACTGATACATTCTGTCTTATATCACACAATGTTGAGAAAAATTATAATCCCTGCTAGTTGGCAAGTCGCTTGATGATGACAACTTTTACCTGACATTGTGTTACATATTTACACACTTGAATCATGATGTCACAATGATTTACGTGACATCCATGTACAGAGTTATAGCACCCAGTTCATGACATGACAATTTACTTACTGGATAAACTATTATATGTTGAAATACCTAGTGCACAATGTGTGTGAGCTGAGAATTGACATCGCTGTGAAAATTCCCATAAGCACTCTGTCCCCATCTTCAGCAGCCTGCCTGGATTTCCACGTTTAATGTGATCAGCAGCAGTTTGTTTGCATGTTCGCCTTGTCTTTCTACGACCGCGTAATACCTACCACATTACAAGCTCTTCCGATATACCAAATATGCCTAAAGGCGTAAAAAGGGATTTTTTCTTTTTTTCACTTGTCTTTCCTCTGAGTGATGAGTCCTGGCCAGAACAATAGCCATTCCCAGCTACACAATTCTCTCCATCTATTTGTGCTTCTGCACGGTTCACTCACTCCTAGCTACATAATTCTCTCCATCTATTTGTGCTTCTGCACGGTTCACTCACTCCCAGCTAGATAATTCTCTCCATCTATTTGTGCTTCTGCACGGTTCACTCACTCCCAGCTACATAATTCTCTCCATCTATTTGTGCTTCTGCACGGTTCACTCACTCCCAGCTACATAATTCTCTCCATCTATTTGTGCTTCTGTACGGTTCACTCACTCCCAGCTACATAATTCTCTCCAGACTTATGATCTGTTTGTGCTTCTGCATGGTTCACTCACTCCCAAAGGGCCATGACCACATCTAGCTTGTCACACATCAGTTCACCAAAAAGTGGTGTAGAACCCGCCAGTCTGTCTGCCTGACTAGGGGGTCCTCTGTGGCAAAGTGGTCAAGCCGTTTGTCTCATGCTCTGAAGGTCCGGGGTTTGTTTCACAGCTGTGTCATTCAGCTCACGAGTTAAATTTTTACAGAAATCCCTGGGGATCATTGCTGGAGCTATGGAGTTTGTGCTTTGTGTGCTGCTCTTGGTAGGCGGATAGCCATTTTGCAGAAGGAGACAGTGCCCTATGGGATAAAAGCCGATGCAATAAAGTCGATATTCTTGAGTTTAACCTATTAGGAAGTCTGCCTGTTCATTTCTCAACGCCCTTAAGAAAATACACAAACAGATGCTAACTACCCAGGACTTATAAAGAAATGCTTGCTACTCTGCATGAATCATAATTGTTGAATACACTCAGTTCACACTGAAACATCAATACACCTTGGAAAAGGGGGGGGGGGGACAATAAGAAAAAGTCATATGTTTACTTGATTTTCTTTCCCACCAAATTCTTTCCTGAATCATTTTCACTCAACAAAAACAAAATTCACCCCTAATGACACATACATGCACATATATGTTTCACTTATACTCACACAAACTTGTTTCCTTTTATTTACTATTAAAAACTCAACTGCATAACTCAGTGTCATATTTTTATTGTATATTTTAATAAACTGTACACTTAAACATTAAAGATTTCACTCATAAGGTAATTAGTTAACAACCATTATTTTCCACAGGAGTTAACAACCAATGATCGCTAAGAAGAAGAAGAAGAAGACATGTGGGACCAGTTTCTTCTAGCAAACTGTAGTGTAAAACAGAGTAACTTCTGATATTATCCTGCAAACTGAGAATCAAAAAAATGTGTGCCAACATCAGTCTGGAGAGAATTATCTAGCTGGGAGTGAGTGAACCATGCAGAAGCACAAATAGATGGAGAGAATTATCTTGCTGGGAGTGAGTGAACCGTACAGAAGCACAAATAGATGGAGAGAATTATCTTGCTGGGAGTGAGTGAACCGTGCAGAAGCACAAATAGATGGAGAGAATTATCTAGCTGGGAGTGAGTAAACCGTACAGAAGCACAAATAGATGGAGAGAATTATCTAGCTGGGAGTGAGTGAACCGTGCAGAAGCACAAATAGATGGAGAGAATTATCTAGCTGGGAGTGAGTGAACCGTGCAGAAGCACAAATAGATGCAGACAATTGTGTAGCTGGGAATGGCTAGGGTTCTGGCCAGCACTCAACACTCAGAGGAAAGACAAGTAAAAAAAGTGAAAAAAGAAAAGATCCCCCTTTACGCCTTTAGGCATATTTGGAATATAGGAAGAGAAAGTAATGTGGCAGGCATTACGCGGCCATAGAAAGACAAGGCGGACATGCAAACAAACTGCTGCTGATCACAGCAACTCAGTTAAATTACAGAAGTAAACTTTTAACACAAAATTGACATCAAAAGCAAAACATACTTTAACATATGGTTCAACAAATGCTTTAGATGACTTAAGGAGAGATTATACAACCAAGACAAGACAGCAAGAAGTAGATAATGATACAAGTGGGAGGACAAAATCAAGAGACGGATGAACAGCAGTTTGAGAGAGTGTTTAACTGACAAGAGACAGAGTGTGCAAAAGATTTCGAGAGATTCATCATAGCCAACCTTCATTGTGAAGATGGCACCTGATTGATTGTCTATGCATCTGTCTCATGGCTAGGATGATTCACTGATAACTGTTACTGTCTGCAATGACTCAGCTAACAAATTTACTGCAGAACTACAAGGAACACTAGCTTCCTGTGCAACTACTGGCTGGGTTTGGGTTACTGTCGCAGGACGGCTTTCATCACAGTCCCGACCAGAGTGTTTTTTCACAACTTTCTCTTCTATGGCTTGATCACAGCAACCATTATCCTCAGTCTCACTGTCTCCATCACTTTCGTCATCCTCTCCTCCTTCACATTTGTCTGTACTCGATTTGTTGTTACCTTCATGTTCACTATCATCTTCCTCTTCATCACTGGGAAGCAACAAAAAAATACTGACTGAAAGTTGGCAACAATAACATAACAGACGACAGATTACTCACAAGAGAAAAAAAAAACATACAAATACCTAACTACACATAAATATTATCAAAAAAAAAACTGAGATCTGTTCACCACATAGTTATACTGCATTCTTCTTCTTCACCTTCACCAGCTGTAAACTCCAGCAGAAAGTTCTGGCTGTTCGTCCACCTCTAGACTTTATTCCAGAACTTAAGTATCACGTGCACATCCATTTTTTTTTTACAGATCTGACTTAGTTTTAGTGTGTTGGTACCTTGCCTTTCAGGAAGCCCCCACTTAACTGACTCTCACTGCATGCTTGTTTATGAGGCAGTGAGTCAATTCTTGTTTCTGCAAACTCTCAATTAGTCATCTTTTATGACATGCTTGCTAGAAGGGTGCTGGGTCTTTTCTTTTTCATCCTATAATGGGACCCTGTAGCCCACATGGCTGACGCTCAACACTTAAGGGAAGGGCGAGACAGATATACATTCAGACAGTTACTAGAGCCACCGGAATTAGAAATCTTCATTTGCTGCTAAAGATGGGGATGGAGCAATTATAGGGGTGTCCCGAGTGCTATGATGTCGATACCCTATTCAACAGCCTACATGGGGACAATTGTAAACTGATTTTGCAAGTAATTCTTTTATGCAGTTGTCAAAATGTATTCCCCCAAAAAGCAACAGGCTTACACATAATTTGCAACTGGTATAATTTTATAATATGCTACAGTGGCATAGTAGCTAGTGTATTTGCCTTTTAAGATAGTGGCCCACCTTCAATTGCAAGAAGTTCCCTGAGTGGGTTCCATTCTAGGGGTTAAAAAAGAATATACTCACTGCCTTCCTAACAGGCATATAAAACAAGGCAACTGACTACTAAGGGGAGTTGCTTTTAGAGTCTGTGCATCTGCCAGAGAGGCAAGGAACTGTCTACATATAAATAAGCCAGATCTATAAAATAAATGTGCCTCCAAAACTGAAGTCCTGAAACAAGCCTAAAGCCCAGAAATGGATGAACAACCAGAACTTTCCACCAGAGTTTACAGCCAGTGAATGCCAAGAAGAAGAAGCATTGCCCAAAATGACCAGATCTTTCCTGATCAATAACATTCTGGTTTGGACACGCAATGAGGAAAGGAACTGATTATCTGACACGATATGCTGTGGCCCTGTTTACTAACTGAACAGGTTCCACAGCCAAGTGTTGAAATTGGTTAACTGACAATACAAAACATTGGCAACTATGAACCTCTTTTAACTACAGTGAAGAGGTGAAAAATTCAATGGTATGGACATGTAATAAGATCTAACAGCCTCTCAAAAACAATACTCCAGAGCTAAAAAAAAAGGGAAAGAGGAGAAGAGGCCGACTAGAAAAAAATCTGGTTACAGAACCTGACTGACTGGACAGGCCTGAGGCATGCAACCATGAAGTCCATCGCAACTGACTGCCAAAGGTGCAGAGAGCAGTTTAGACAGTCAACAGAAACTGGTGACCTAACAACATGCAGTGTTACAGGACGACGATGATGATGATGACAATAAAAAGAACCACATTTACCTTGATGATTCAGACAGGTTCATTGGTCGATTGGGATTGAAATGCTCCAGCTCTAAGTCCACAACACTCCAGTCTGATGATCAACAAGTATATAATATGAACAGAAATTAGAAATAGGTGAACATATCCTCAAACAACGCCCCCCCCCCCCCTCTTTCCCTTTCAATGATTTATTACCTCAAGATTTTATAATACTCTAAATACAGTATTAATTATTGTCTAAGTCACAAATGGTTGGCTGAGTTGCTTTGTTTCTGTTTTGTCTAAGTCATAATTGGTTGGCCAAGTTACTTTGTTTCCTTTTAAACTTGCTAACAGCTGGTGGGGGTTTTGCAGCTGAATTTCGCTACAAGATAAGGAAGCCAACCAAAGGCCAGCACTTTTTAGTTGCCTTACATGAAAGCTTAGAAAGTTAATGTTACTATTATTTGCTTTACCTAAAAAAAACTTTTTAAATACTTTCTTCTCCTCTGATCCTTCTGTCAGAAAAACTTTTATCAGAAGGCCAGTAGCCTTAATGACATTTATTGAGCAGTCTTTTTTTTTTTTCATCGAACACCGGCTGTGAATTCCAGTGGAAGGTCCCGGTTAATCGTCCGCTTGGACTTTTGGCTTTCACCTGGACCTGATTTTTGCGTGTACAACCGTTTCTCATTTCCCTGCCTCTTGGGCAGCTGTACGCCGACTTCGAAGGAAGACGTCAGGCCTATTTCTAGGGTGACTGTGGCCATTGTTTTGTGTGGGTCGAGACGTTGCCTGATTTGTGTGGTGTCCATTTTGTCTCCTTCGCCGCAGGTATTGCCCCCAGAGTACCCCTTTGGGGCAGCCCCCTGTGGAACAGTTGGCCCTCAAGGGAAGGCAGGGGCAGATCATGGGCATTCCCCGCCATCCAAGGAGGCTTCCATGCATGCAGAGCCGGCACATATTGCTCTGATTCTGGGCTCACCCAAGGAATCGTCACGTCCTGCACATGCCTGCTTAACCTCACAACCGTATCAGGCCTCCCACTCGACAGGGGCTGCGCCCTCTGGAAGTCAGCGGGGAGCAGCCCGTGGGTTTTGGACTTTTGTGACCACACAGATAGGTACATTAGCCTGACAGAATTTCACATCCTGAATCAGGCGTATCGTAATCAGTTTTGTCCCAACACTCGGGCGAGTGGGGTCTTTGGGTGTGGATGTTCGGTCTTTTTCAGTTCAGTGCAAATTTTGATGGTCAGATTTTGATCCGTAAGATCTAGTTTTGTCGGACATTTAGGCTTAGCCATCCGATGGATGATTGCTGTTGTGGTGTACCCCAGCGCGGTGACGACGACACTAAGGGTTAACCGAGGATGTACGTGAATGGCCAGCCTATGGATGGTTGTTGTTGTGGTGCACCTCAGCACGGTGGCGACGACACTGAAGGCCAACCGAGGATGTACAAGGATGGCCAGCCTATGGATGGTTGCTGTTGTGGTTGTACCCCAGCGCAGTGACGACGACACTGAGAATTAACAGAGGATGTGCAGTGAGCAATGATCTCTTACTCAGCAGTCTTTTAACCAGGGGTTGTAATTTTAGCTGTATGTTTGTCAACCCTACTCATGTTCCTAATGAGTTTTGATAACATTTTTCACCCAAGCGTTTGGGGGCAGGCTGATGAGAGCCACAAGGACACATCATCTCTGGGGGCCGCCAAACTCCGAGATCCCCTGACAGCTCTGTTAATGCTCATTTGAGACATTATCCGTGGCGCACAACGAGGACGTGCTGTAGGGATCTTGCGTGAGGTTCCGTACAACCAGGATAGTGAAGGACTGGCGCCCGAGTGACGTACGGAGTATCTCCTTATACACATCATGTTGGACTTAACTTCCCCTCACGCCTGTGACATAAATCACCGCGCCACATTGAGCAGTCTAAATCTCCCTGTGTATTATACAGCTTTGTCTTGTTTGAGGTTGGAAAATACCAGATTGCTTCTCTGTTAGCAGTGTCTCAAGTTTACAGTGTTGGTGTAAATGTTTAGCATTTTCAGGTGCCAAGCTGCAAGGGCACATCTTTGTGTTTCCTACACTGAAAAACTTACATGTTGGCTGTTTAAACCAGCTGCGTGACGACCAGGTGACAAAACTCCTTGTGGTCCAAGTTCACACTAAGTGGTAGACAGAAAAGCCACATTACCCCCCTCCACCCCCCAAGATTTACAGTAATTATCATGGAATCAAGGCCGAAGGGTTGCGATATCCATAGCACCAAGCCAAAGGGTTAACAACTCATGATTTCTGGATCAATTAAAAACAAAACTTATGATGTCCTAACTAATGGAGTAGAAGAGTACATGTATGGGTTCCAGAACTCTATTTTGGAGAACAAAGAATAGATCTACAGCGCCCCTCCCAACAAGTGTGTTGTAGGAGGTGACTAAATAGGGGTGTTTGCTTCAAAGTCAGAGTACAATTGCAAGAGACCAGCAGTCTGCATACAAATAAGCAAGACCTGTCAAATGTATGTGCACACAAAACTCAAGTTATGGATCAAGACCAAAGTCTAAGAGTGGATGAACAACCAGAACTTTCTGCTTGAGTTTACAGCCAGTAAATGCAAAGAATAAGAAGTGGAAACTAACCTTTGAGTTTATCTTGTTGACTGTCGGTCCTCAGACTGGCCAAAACCCTCTCCTGTTCAGCAACAACTTCCACACTGGTCTGACAGGATGCATAACCCTCCAGCAGACCTTGATTCACCGTATAGAAGGTTTTGCCCCATTTGAACTTTGACAGAAGTCTGTCAGCTAGTTCCGGAAAGCCTAGATAGACATAAAAGAACCATTTACACAATAGGTCCAATGATTAATATGATACATATTCCTATATAAAGTCAAACATTATAACAGAAAAGATAATTGGACTAAACTCTACTCATGTGGGTTGCAGGGCCCAATTTTGGGAGAGAGAAAAAAAGAACAGACCTGTGGCCTCTACCTCCAGACAAGCATGTTGTAAAAGGCAACTAATTAGAGGTTCGCTGAAATGAGATGTGCTGGGCTGAACAGCTAAGCTGTAAACTACAACATAGTCTGCTAACTGCCCTGTTAAGCACAAACATAGAAGAAGAAAGAGGATTAAGCTCTGTTCTGTTTCTGTGTTATCATCTTTTCATCTCAATTCCAACCACTATATAATGTGTTTTCCTACTTTTCCCCTTTGGTCAAAATATTCGATAGACTGTGGTTGTTTCTCATTGTGTATTTAACCTAACTGAAAAAAATGGTCTCATGGTTTTGTTTTCTTCTACTCAACTGGGCTTATGCTGCAAAATTACAAAGGACTGAAAGTTATAAACTGAAGGTAACAAAGCTATTCTAACATACCAGCTATCAAAAGTAGCTTAGAGGTAAATCATCATCATGTGCTGTACATATGTGCTCTGTGTTGCTGGTAAGCTTGACCACTGTTTGTCTTCTGTGCCCCTTTGGCAACCCATTCAACATTTTCTTCCTATGACATTGACACACTCAACTTACTAGTTGTCACAACCTTCTTCAGCCCACCTATCTGACCTATTTGTGGGATTCACAGGAGCAGACAGATTGCAGCTAAGAAGACTGTACCCATTTCAAATTTTGCTGTTGCATGTACACTAGCTGTGAACTCTTCCTTTTCTTTTTTATGTTTATCAGCTGTAAACTGTGGCAGAAAGTTCTGGCTGTTCGTCTACCTCTGGATGTTAGTCTTGTTCTAGAACCTAAGTGTTGCGTGCACATCGGTTTGAGAGATCTGACTAATTTTGCTGGTTCCTTGACTCTCAGGCAGAGGTACTCCAACTTCGAAGGAATGCCCAAAATTAGTCAACTCTTACAACATGCTTGTTGAGGAGGCACTCGGTCTCTTCTCGTTTTCCCCACAAAGGGGCCTGGAACCAACACAGGAAGGCTGTGAATTCTGGCAGAAAGTATGGTTAAATTTCTGCATCTGTACTTTGGTCATGCTACATAAGATGTATGTTTTGTGTGCATATTCCTTTTTCAGGTATGGCATACTGTATGCAGACTGGTATTTCCTTGCCTCTGAGGCAGATGTGTTCTGACTTTAAGGAAACATCAATTCTATTTACACTGGCTAGACTACCCTGTTCTATGATGAGCACTTAGAGGCATAGAGGGATCTTGACCAGTATGAGCCACAGACCTGGGGCACGATGTCAGGTGGTGACACACCTCTGCTTCCATATCTATATAAATTTACAGTTCCCTGTATGGGCTATGGGTCTAATTCTTACCCAAAAGCATGTTGTAAGAGTCAACTAACTGGGAGCTTCTTTTAAAGTCATAGCGCACCTGCCTAAGAGGGAAGGAAACAACAGTCTGCATACAAATGAGTCAGATCAGTAAAATGAATGTGCATACAAAACTCCGGTTCTAGAACAGGACTAGATTTCAGATGTGGACAAGCAACCACAACTTTCTGTTGGATTTTACAGCCAGTGACCATGAAAAAGAAGAAACAAAAGTGCTCCCTTCACAAACTAAGCATTACCTGTGATGTACAATGTTGCTGCAAAGGCTTCCACACAGGACAGCTTGCAAGGACGGCCATAGTTGATAGGGTTGGCAGCAATGAGATATGGCAGCAACCTAGCATGGTCACCCTTCATTCGAGAAAATGGAGTCTCTTGTAATTTGGCCCAGCTACAATCAACAACTGCCATTCCATGTTTTTCAATAATTGACCTACATAAAAAAAAAAAAAAAAAAGACAATCAATAATTAAGGACAGAAGAAGAAAAAGTGGGAATGTCACAGTGTCGAAAGATGATAACTTTACACATGTAAGTGTTAGCAGGTAACAATTACACTGGAGAGGGTATTACATTTCATTGTTCTAATCGCTTCAATGTTAAGAATATGCGCCTGCAGCTAGCATTGTAGTACAGATAACTGATAGTTCAAGTTTCTGCACAAATGGCGTAAGCATGCAGCAAGCATTTATTTATCTATGTTAGAGTTGTCGAGTGGCATTTTTGTAATATATAGTATCCTTTACAGGACGTTGCAGAACCAACCTGAGCATATTTTGGCTGTTGTGGTTTTTCTGGGCAAATTTATTTCCATTAGTTTGCCATTGCTTACTGGACGGTTGGCTTCTCGATACCACTGTTGAAACCCAACCCAAGGCCCGCAGCTGGGATCGAACCTAGCACCCTGGCATTACGAAGCGTGTTCACAACGCCCAAGCCACAGACCCTATAAATAGTAGTAATAAAAGTAAAATAAATTTTCTTTGGTAATGGAAAGTGTAAGCAGCGATTCTGGCCGTTACATGCATGCCTCGCCAACAAATTATTATATGCAATTATTCAATCACACTAGCTGAGTACTTACTTCAATCAATAGAAGCAGCTGCTGCTGCTGTCATCCATCTTCAAATTAAGCATATACCCCTAGCCAAATCACAACTGGCTGGATTTTGCTGGAAGTTTATACATGACTGTCTCATAAGACATGCAGGACAGACGACAATGTTACTATTCCTTGCTTTCCTTATAGACCACAATAATACAAGAACAAAATCAAGGCTAGTTATAAAAAGAAGAAAATAAAGAACCCTTTCTGAGGCAAGTGGCAAATTGGCCATATGATGCTAGACTCATATTTTGGTTAATTTTGAAACAAATCTCTCTGGATGCAGATTCGAACCCAAGACCTTCCGGCTGGCATTCTAGCATCTAGCCTCTATGTTACAGTGGCTCCCTTTTGTTAATAGAAATAAATTTATAAATAAAAAAATAACAGGTCTCAAACATGCAAATATGAAGTTTATTGCATCTAACCTACAGTGGTGGAGGGAACTAATCAGACATTCGACAGCAATCAGTGATATGGGATCATGATGATGATGAATAAATCGGCAGCTCTATTTGAAGGAACCTTTTCCATGCCTTCAGGCATATGGGTAGACAGTGCTAGACCTATTTTTTCAGCTCAACTGGCACTTGGTAGATGACATGGGCAGCTTTTACTTCCCAAGGCTATACCTGGTATCATTTTAAGGTTCAAGTATACACTGGATACGTACGACCAAAACTGGAGTATGGCATAGGAGCATACTCCACTGCGGCCAAAACAAACCTACACAAACTGGATAAAATACAGAACACTGGTCTCAGAATCATCACTGGAGGTATGAGAAGCACACCAATTAATGAGCTGGAGGCAACTTGTGGCCTCCAGAGCTTGAGCCTTCGAAGGGAAGAAAAGGTGCTTACCCTAACAGAAAAATTTTTACGCATGAACAACCACCCCATGCACAGAATAGCAAATAACAAAAAACAGACTCAAAAGACAAAGCTTTCACCATTTATCAAAACTGTACTACAAAAAAAAAACCAGTGACATCCTTTCTAAAGATCTTTCAACATGGGAAATGATCCAGGCATACAACATAGACCTACAGCCTAAATACACAGTCACAACAACAATTCCAGGCATAGACAGAAAGGCTGAAGAATGTGACCTAGTACTGCGTGCAAAGACCCTTGAACATGTCTGCAAAGGTTATCCAAAACCCAAATGGACACACGTATACACCGATGGATCATTGGAGGGAGCAGACAAAAATGGAGGAGCTGGATCGGTCATCATGCTGCAAGATGGGACCACAGTAGAAACGTCATGCGCCTCCGGAAGACTCTCAACAAACTTCAGAGCAGAGCAGCAAGCAATTATTGATTCAGCCAAAGTGCTCAAGGAAAGAAAAATTAAAAGAGCAAAATTGTTTTCCTTTGTGACTGTATGTCAGTCCTCCAGGCGACTCATAGGGATCCACGAGACAACATAGAAAGAGAACTGACCCATCAGCTAAACAAACACAGAAAACAATCAAATCGTTCTCCAGTGGATCCCAGCTCACTGCGGCATACCAGGAAATGAGCTAGCAGACAAACTTGCAAAAAATGGAACAAAGAAGAAACAACACGCCCATTCATTGTCATTACCAGAAATCAAAACACTTATCAAAAGAAAATACCAAGGATTGTGGAGAGAACAAACCAACAGTAAACATCCACAAGACCCTATCAGCAGACTCAACAGAAAGCAACATACAACAATTTTCCGTCTACGAACAGGACACTGCAGGCTCAACTACCACATGCATAAAATAAAGATTGTGCAGTCCCCACAGTGTGCCTGTCAGACAGGACCACAAACACCTCAACACATTCTGCAGACCTGCCCACTCTACCTGCAACTTCGAAAAGACACCTGGCCTCAAGAACAGAGTGTGCAGAGCAAGCTATGGGGAACCATGCAGGACCTGCAGCTAACATGCGAGTTCATAGAGGCAACCCACCTTATGGTCTGATCTGAGCATACAAAACCGAACGCAAAGAAGAAGAAGAAGAAGATTTTAAGGTTGGGTCAACCTGGGAGCCAAAGTCTTCTCTTTTTTTTTTTAGTGCGGCACTGTTTGTATTTTAAACCACAACCTTCTGATCTGCAGACGAACATTTAGCCACTTCACTATAGCAGTTCCCTTGATAAAAGTAAAATAAGTAATTATTCATAGCAGTCAACTCACTTGTCCTCAGGAGCAACACACTTTGCTCCCATAGGTGACAGAATCAGCCCACTGAACCTGTGATTCAAACGAAGTGTTTTCACATAGCCCATGCGGCTCAACTTCCGTCCTGTGCACTTTTTAGGGTCACACTGTTCAAGATCCCACATTGCAAGAGGCACTGGGAATTTTTTCTCTGACAGACTCTCAGTCATGGCCCCTGAAAATGTTATTTCTGTTATAGTGTTGATCATTTTAAAAAAAAAGTTAACTACTTAATGTTTCAGTCTCCTGTGTGGGTTCCGGGACCCCATTGTGGGGGAAAACAAGAATAGACCCACTGCCTCCCCAAAAGCATGTCGTAAGAGTCGACTAATTGGGGAGCTTCCTTTGAAGTCGGAGTGCATCTGCTGGAGAGGCAAGGAACCAACAGTCTATATTCAAGAGAATGAGATCTGTAAAACTGATGCACACGCAACACTCAGGTTCTGGAGCAGGACTGCAGTTTAGAAGTGGACGAGCAACCAGAACTTTCCGCCAGAGTTTTCAGCTGGTGAACGCGAAGAAGAATGTTTCAGTTACATCAGGTAAGTGCTTATGTTCCTGTCACCATATGAGATCAGATCCCTCTTGTTACATGTTGTCCATATTGACATCCTTGCACATGGATCCGACCCATTGTGTTCCGTCCTCTGATGCAGCAGGCATCTTCTTCTTAGCGTTCACTGGCTGTAGACTCCAGCAGAAAGTTCTGGCTGTTCATCCACTTCTGGCCTTTGTCCTTGTTCCAGAGTTTTATGTGCACATCTGTTTGACAGATAAGTTTATTTGTGTGCATACTGTTAGTTCCTTGCATCTCAAGCAGATGCACTCTGACTTTGAAGGAAGCACCCCTAATTGTTCAACTTTTACAAGCTTGGTGGGTGAGGGCTATAGATAGTGGATCCATTCTGCCCCCCCCCCCCCCCAATGGGCCCCAGAACCATCATTGGCAGCAGTCATCTGTCTCCACGTTCAAACATATAAACACAATTTGCTTGCTATAGAAAATGCAACTGCCGTGTGAGGGGTGAGTGTTTCTGTTTTTGAAAGGGTCGAAGAATGTAAGCTGGCCTACAATTTAACTTTAACCTTTCGGAAATAAGTTTGGTTCGTTCGTCTAGTGGGAGCTGCTTAGGTCCCTCTTCCCCACTGTTTTCGTTGTGTAGGTGTCCCTGATATATTAACAGAACATGAAGAGAATTTACACCCGGGAAGATACCATAAGTGTCAGAACTACATTCAATGTGGAATTTATTTATGGTTGTGCAGACTTTTTAGAATTCTCAGTCAGTATCGAAAACAGATAACTTTAATTTGGTGACACCAAATAATGGAATCCCGTCAAATTCCGAACCTGGCATTCGTTCAGTGAAGCCTTCGGCTTCAGTACTTTCGACTTTGTTTTGATGTAGTTGTCTTCGGTCATGTTTATTATGATGAGAATGAGGTTTTGCCCCTCCTCCTGAATGTGTCTGATACTGCCGTTTCGTTTTCCCCATGTTTATGATTCTCAAAACTACTTCCGGGTTATCTTAAACATGCGCGTCATTGACTTCTACTACTTCCTTTTCCTTTCCGTTCAGTGGATTCCGTAAAGGAGGTAGGCGATGTGTACTTTTTCTTACATATCCGACATCAATCCTATGAAATAGTTGTTTATTTCTAAACCAGTTGTAGGATATTCGTGGGTTCATGTTCTGACTACTGTATGCTCATAATTTTGTATTTTTTGTACAAACATTTGTACGTTTTAAAAAAATATTAAATATCGTTGAACAGGTACCACCAAGTATTCTTGGGAAGTTAACATTCAGTGTTCATAAAATAATTTACCAAATATTTACGTTACAGTGTAACAAATATAAATGTGCTTTTGCTTAACGTTTTTACAGCTATACCATTAATACATTTATGTCTTTTTTACTAGTAGCATACAAAATTGTCGGACATTGTTCAGCGGGCTTATCAAGCCATGTTTGCTTACCTCGTTTTCCCATCGTCTGTTCTGGTTTGTTTTTCACATGTTGAACGCTAATTGATAATTCTTTTGCAACTTTTCGCCTTTATTAATTTTGATATAAGCTAAATCCCGCTGTATATGAAAGTAACCACACTAACTTGGTGTCTGCACAGTTCTTCATTCAAGCTCTAAATAATATTATCCTGCCAGGTTTTCTGATTAGGTTGTGAGAGGAAAGAGAAGTGCCTGGGGTTTCGTAGCGATAGCCAGTGGAAAATCTTTAGTGCAAGACAGCCTATCACACGACACCACGTCTAGCATGAGAAAAGAAGTGGAGGTTTAACGGCAGCTCTCTGGCGGCTAGAGAACAAAATGCATACACATGTTGTAATTGTAACACACTCCAAAAATATGCTGAGAAAGGTGAAAAGGATGCTTCGAGCAGAGTGGCAAGCTTCACTGGTAGTGAGCATACTTTCGATCTTTTCTCCTGGTCCTGCTGGCGGGGTGAGTAATGAACAGGCAGACAGATTAACTGAATCTGCACCACTGGGTGGTGAACTTATGCATGACAGGGCAGATGTTGTCAAGACCATTTGGGAACAAGTAACGGAATCAGTAGAGAAACACGATTATTATGGCCTGGAGAGAATAAGACACCTGAGTGTCACCAGAGGGGTTGGCAGACTCGCTACACTCAGAGAAAAGGCATATAACCAGATTGTGACCAGTGCTTTAAGTATTGGAACTCTGCTCTGGCTGCTAAAGTTTACGACTGAGCATGCATGGAAATGCCCAGAGTGCTGTGATGTCAATTCTTGACTTAACTATTATCCTGTCGTCTAAAAAAGTGTACTTAGATTCTACTTTTAAGTGTTTTGTCCTAATACTATCTCATTTTATTTTCATGATATTGCATTACTGTAATTTGCAGTTAAAAAATTGTTTTAATAAATTTTCTTTGCAGACACAATGAAGACGATTAACACATCCCACTTAGTGAAGGTTCCTGACAATGGTAGGTCTTGCTAGTAAAGCTGCTAATGTGTGTCGAATATTTTTTTCAAAAATTGATTTGCTACATTTTAGAAACTAAATTTATCAGATTTTCCCAGTATGGGTTCCATATTTTATTTTAGAAAAGACTTCGTCACCGCATCAGCAAGCTTGATGAATTGATGTAAGAGGTATGCACAAATCAAACCTATTGACTGTAAACCACAAATCACAGTACCAACTGCACCCTCTAATGGTGCAGGTGATGTTCTTTTCAAGGGAGAATGAAGAATTTAAAGTTATGTAACTGAATGAAGATTAATAAGAGGCTTCAGCACACTTGTAAGCATGGATGCTTCTGTGGTGCCATTCAAGTGCTAGCTTGCATGTCATGATCAGATGTTTCTAATGCTTGGCTTCTACTTTGTGAGATGATCATAAAGCGCAGTAACATTGACTAACAGCGGTTTTAGTGGTTGATTGTGAGAGTTTGGCACATGTTTGACATTTGTCAACTGCATTTGCTCTAACTTAGGCACGGCATATTTGGAATAGATTTTTTTTTATTATTAGTTAAAACAACTATTTACCACTGTTGATGCCAGAAATTGTTGTTTGCATTGTTTTCACTCTAAATTTTTTATTTTTTTTATTTTCAGTGACTGTTACTGTGAGGTCACGCAATGTTACTGTCAAAGGACCAAGGGGAGTCCTAGTTCGCAGCTTCCGCCACCTGCCAGTTGACATTTCATTGTCAGCTCCCAAAATCCTGAAGGTATGTTAACCTATTTCATTTTGTGTTCTCTGTTTGATTTGTAAAAGATAAAATTAAAATTGTAAAATGGACTGCTTCAGTCCTGCGTACTCCATCTGTAACTAGAAACTGGCTTTTTTATAGATATAAATTTTGGCTTTCCTTTGAACTTTGTCCACATATTATGGTACCAATGGGTCATCTAATATAAATATAAACTAGGAATAATATTTAGTAACAAAGAAAGTTTATCACTAAGGCTGGACCTTCTCACCAATGATAGTTGGTAGTTAAATGTGGAGGTTGTACAAAATACTGCCCACAAATCTATGCTGTCATTAAATATGTAGTAAACACACGATTAGTCTCACCTTGGTAGCGAAGCTTTCATCTCAGTTGCACCTACAACCCTTCAGTAGTTGTGAATTTAACTTTGTGCGCTGTCAGTATGATGCACAACTGCATGATCATAGATGCCATTGTTTAATTTATCGATGTTGCTGGAGCCTTGCCAAGCATCAGTAAGTTCCATTGTCGCCGCCTCTTTCCTTTGGACAACTTTAAACCAGCAGTGGTTACTTTCTTACATTACTAGCCTCACAGCCTTTTGACCGTTGTGAACATAACCACGGATATAAATAATACTTTTACGAAACATTGAGGCCCTGTTATGTATTTTTTAACCTACAGTGTACACCTGTTATTTAGAAGTGTCGACATTTAATGTCTAGTTTATGCAAAATGGTTAATGGGAAAAAATTCCTTTCAGTGGGACTAAACTAGTGGATCAAGAGGTGAGATATAGATGCTAGCATTGGAAAGAAATTTGACACGTTGAGAAAAACCTAGTAACAGTAAAGCCAGAATTTCTTTGTAAAGGAACATACAGAAAATATTAGCATCCTTCCTGAAGTCGAGAAAAATTTAAGGTGAAATGGTGACATGAAGTGGGTTTGACCTGTGTTCTACTGAATACTTTTCTAGGTCACATTATGCACCAGTAAATAGGTTAGTGAGTTGATCAGTTACAGATTCCATTTCTTCAATTGTGTGTTATATGCATGTTATTTTTTTAAATCTCTTGTTACTTGTTTCACTAGGTGGAAAAATGGTTTGGGAAGCACAAAGAGTTGGCTGCTGTCAACACTGTGTGCTCTCATGTTCAGAACATGATCAAAGGAGTCACTGTGGTATGTATTGTTACACACACATTTATATTTAGATACAAATGAGTTAAATCTAGATTTCATGAGTTTTTACTGCTGCATATTAAATTAACCTAGTTTACATCGCTCACTTAATATATCCTCAATCACCTTCTCAGGCAGCCAGCAAAGAGTTTACAAGCTGATTACTGTCTGTATCTGTTTTCCCCCTCTGTGTGGATACTTCTAGAGCCTCTCATAGAGCGTTTACTACATCCGCTATCATGAAAGGAGCTCACCGCATGACTGCGCTATCTTGTTAGTAGCACAAACAGTTCTGATCATGCCTTCTATCTGGGTCTCCTGTTTTCAGCCACTGTCTCTTGCTATCCCCTTAGGCTCCATGAAGAAGGTGTACGTACCATTTTATATGCCTTCCAATTCCTTTATTTAGCTGTGAGGTAACATTAGCAGTCCCAAACCTTCATCACCAAAATAACTAGTTGCTGGTAGAGTATATAGAGCCTTTTTTTTTTCTTCTATGCAAAATGGCCTAGGCGCAATAGACATTTCAGTCTATTGGCTAGCAGTCGCGTTTCCAATTGTGCACATTTTTCAAAGTATTGTGGATTAGGATAGTCATGATTGAGTAGCATTTATATCTTTAACCCACTGCTTTATATAAAATTTACACTTTTTGAGATCTTGTGTAGTTGGTAGTTTGAACCTAATGTTCGCTGTGCTAACAGTTTGGTGACTACTGACTGTACCTTGTGGACTAAACCACGTCATTCCACAGTGAAGGTTGGCCACAGTTTACCACTGCTGCCTTTGAGAAAAAAAATGAGACCCTAGCACTGTGCATCTCCTGTATCGGCCTAAAACCCAGTATTTAAAAAAAAAGAACATTGCTGCGAAATAGTTAAAACACATTCAGTAATCTCTTAGCTGCGGACACACAACAGTTATTCTTAAAGGTTAGTGAGATGATCACTGTAGCCACAGAGCTTATGCTTTGTGCACAGATCTCAGTAGGCGGCTGGACTACAGGTGGAACCAGTAAAGTCAGTCCCTGATTTGAACCCAAGTTTTGCTTGATTGTAGTTAAATGTCTCATATTTATTTTTGCTGGAAAAAAAAATTGAATATATGTCTGCTTGATTAGGCTGTCACAGCTTTAGTGCAGTCAGTTTATTTTACTGTTTGCTTTTATTATACTTTAAGCTATATGTATTTTGCTTATGTTCTAGGGATTCCTATACAAGATGCGTGCCGTGTATGCTCACTTCCCCATCAACGTAGTCGTCTCTAATTCCAACACCAAGGTTGAGATCAAGAACTTCTTGGGTGAAAAGTACACGCGCCATGTTGACATGTTGAAGGGAGTTTCATTCAGGGCATCTGGCAACAAGGATGAGTTTATCCTGGAGGGGAATGACATTGAATTGGTCTCCAGATCAGGTTTGTAGTTTATTGTGCTTATACCTTTTCTTTCCTAATTTTTCCACTTTTGATTGAAGTCTTGTTTATACTTTCTTGCTCACTTGCCTTTATTAGGCCTTCCCCTCCAGATTTGCAGCTGTTGATTTTAAATATCTTTTAAAAATAATAATTTTCATAATGTTCGCTTAGCCTAAAAAAGATGTGGCAGAACCAGAACTTTTGCATAATATACTGCCTGGGCTACCAAAATGTACAATATTATTGGGTGCTTTTGTATTTTAAAAAATTGTGATCTTTGTATGATACTGAAAGTATTCATTCTTTTCCTAATTTTTATCAATTGGAATCTTTAAGAATGTAAATTTTTAAAGAATGCATATAAATATTCTATCAAAACATGTACATGTCAACTTGGTTGTTTTTTTTTTTTCTTCTTTTTTAGCTGCCCTTATCCAGCAGTCAACAGCTGTGAAGAAGAAGGATATCCGTAAATTTTTGGATGGTATCTACGTGTCTGAGAAGACAACTGTTGTTCAGGCCTAGACTTTTTGAGAAATAAACCTGATTAAACATATGACACTTATATTGTTCTTTCTTCACTTATTGCATGTACTCTTATTTATTTTTGGCCGAATGTTTTTAGTCCTAGACAGACAGCAAAGCTATAATAAAGTCATGATGATTTTTTTTTTCTAAACGTTTGTGTGTGATTGTCTTCTTCCTTTTCATCTTTCCTCCTCAGTGTTTAAAATAATCTGCGGCATTTGAGTATACTAAATCAATACATTCTCCAGACTGTCCACCTTCTGCAGTCTTGTTTCTTTCAGACTTGTTTATCCTTGGGTTGTGTGCTTCTAGCAAGTTAACAATAAAAAGTTAGGCTGGTGAGAATATCCATTGTTGAAAGAATTGGGGCATGAGTCACAAGACAGTGAAACAGTGACTATGAACAATCTCTCCCCCCCCCCCTAACCAGTCAAAAACTTGCTTCTTAGAATTTTTTTTATGGGGGATTGACTGCAGTCCTTTTCCCGGAGCATTTTTCTTTTATGCTATTTTTTTAGGGAAAAAGCTAGCTAGCGGTGCTTTTCTCTACATTTATCATTGGCATTTGGAATAAGACTTCGGTTTGCAAATAATACACCCAGGGTTCAACCAATTGATAGTACTTTACTGGTAGTTTAACGCTAGTTTTCTTGATCAACCAATTTAAATTTGCCATTTATAACTGCTTTTCTTTGAGAGAAAAAACCTGCCATTTACTGCCTGGGGGGGGGGGGGGGGGGGGGGGGGGGGCAAGAATTTATGGTCGCATGGCTAGTGTTGTCACCCTGACAGGTGAGGATTTCATTTTGCCTCTGGCAGGAAAAAAATCCCCAACCTTAGAGTATTTGAACCCGACTTGCCGCTTAAGAGCTGTGTACTAACCATTTGTGATCAGCCAGTTCTCTCTTTTCTTAGCAATATATCTTTTATTTTACCAATTGCCGCAATTTCTTTGATATAGAAACAGCTGGACTTTTCACAATTTAACTCCTACAATGTTTCTTTGTCACAATTTTGCAGCCCTTGGTACTAAAACAGGGTTGGCTATATTCAGCTAAGTTGACTCCGTGGCCAAAATTTTCAGAAATGGTGATTGTTGTCACAGGCCAGAAGCCACAGCATAGACAGACAGTAAATGCAATACAATCGGTGATGTTCGGGCCACTTGCTCTGTTTTCGAACCACTCGCACTTTTTTGGACATTCATTGCGCTCCATGTCAAACCATCCAGCATCTTTTCTCTTTACGGTCACTATTCCAGTTCCCCCTCATCGCAAGAATGTGAATTGTCTTATTTCTGATGTGTGCATCTATACAACCACATCACTGCAACTATCAAATAATTTTTCACTTATCTACCAACTGTCTACTTTCCCTTTAACAAGATAAGATTTTTATATATTTCAAGGTCTCTTGTCCAGATGACATTTCATATAGTGCAAAACTGTTTACAGTCCATTACTTAAAATTGCATCCACCCACAAACTTTAATAATGAAAAAAAAAGTCATTATCAATTTACATAAATCATTATCATTTGCCACATTTGTTTGGTTTGTCAGCTGTTCTTGATCGTATAAAAGGTTCATGAAATATGCTGTGGAGTCTCTTTGCCTGTGAAGAAAAATATGAAATATTTGTCAGGCGCAATAACTTTTAACAATCTGACATCAGTAATAAGGAATGCAGCAGGGCTATTAAACTGGTGGAATGTTCCTTCTATGTTCAGGGCCCATGATGATTAGTTAAATAGCCTTGGAATACAGCATAGTTGTAAGTTAAAGGTCATTTTATTATATACCAGAGAGTGAAGACTGGCTATCTCCCTAGATCACAAGGGTTATCTGCAGCTGTGGTTGCTTAGAGGCTAGACCACTGACTTCTGACCCAGATGTGACAGGTTCAATTCAGCACCACAGTGGAATTATTTTCTCTTCTAAAAATTGTGAATATGGGTTCTTCCAAAATGAGACAAATCTGCTGTTCACTTTCTGTCACCATAGTAGTCACTCTGCAGCTGACTTTAGTGTCTATGTTGGTACCTATGAGATCATGTTTGCATGTCTTTATAACAGGGTTAGTAGCCAAATTTGTAAATTAATTTCAAGGTATTCTTAGTTGTTTTTTTTTCTCCCTAAGGTTGTGTCGAGGGTATACTCAGTAGATAGTATTTTTGCTGTATTTAAGGGTGTACTGAGCAAACATACTTTATTCGTAGCCATGTGGCACAGATATAGTATTTAAAAAAATTTTCTGAGCAGGGGGGCGGGCCTTAGGTACAGCGAGTGCCTATTCTGATTCCCATGCTTGGCTGTCAGCGATCGTCTATTTCTTACACTCAAGACCAAGATCATTTTTAAAGGGGGAAAAAGTCTGTCTTGACCCGATTCCCAGAAATAACTGTTCCTATTGTTAATACTACCTCATTATGAAAACAGTTTATGTACCAGTGAGCTGCTTCATTTTTGACATGGGGAGGGGGGATACAGGGGCAAGAAGGAAGGGGGTGCTAGCACCCCTGATGTGGGGGGGGGGGGGGGGGGGGGGGGGGGGGGGGGGGGGGGGGTCGCTGACAGCGATCAGTTTTAAGGATGTAACCTTAACCTCAAAAAGCCTGATTGCTGAAAATCACAGCATCTTCCGTTTGCTAGTTATCCACGTCCATGTTGCGATGTGAAAAAATTCCAGGATTTGTAGGTAAAGTTCCAGGATCTTCGTCAGTTTTTCCCTGAGAGAGATCTTGAGGCCAGCTACAGACCCTGTTATAATGTAACTTTGGCCTTCTTGTGAGTGAGTGGCTTTCAACCTTCCTAATGCTGTGATCCTTTAATGTGGTGACGATCCCCAAAACACAATTACACTTTCGTTGCTACTTCATAAATAACTTCAGTGAATATGTTTGTTCTTGCCTGGATTATGCCAAATGGTCCAGGCATCCAGATATTAATCCTTAGTCTTCTTGCTCTTGCCCAGAGTTGCAAATCCCTTGAAGTCGTCGAACTGCACTAGTCGGTGATAGGGTTCACTACTCAGTATTCCGGACCAGACTGTCACAAGTGGCAGCATTCTGAAACTTCCTATTCCACTCACACACTTGCTGGACTGACAGGCAGGCATCACCATACTGGACCTCTATTCACCGATGAATACTTCACTCATTTTAAAAGAGGACAGCTGTTCCTGCTTAGTGCATGTCAAAAGTGGGGCGGCCATCTTCAACTGTCATCATTCTTACCTGTACCCCTGATGGCTCGTGCTTAACACACTTGCCATCCTTAACAATACTGACAGGTTTCAAGACAATGGCATGGTTCATCATCAAGTGCCTTGCCAACTGGCATGACGATCATGCCTCTCCACAATCTGCGATTTGCAACTATGTGTACCCCTTCTGATACCCCTCCATGACAAAAGACTGTCTAGAATCTTCTCATGCTGTCTTTCTCTGTCTCTCTTTCCACAGATCTTTCCAGTGGTCACCACATGTTCCATTTTCCCTCTTTTTATAACATGACCAAAAATTATGACTGTCCCTTTGTCTAAGTTTTCTTCGAGCGATCACCTCTTTCAAAACATTTCTTAGCTTTCTAAGGATTCTTCTGTAAAACATCTCCAAGGCCTCAAGATATTGTTCGGTTTGTTTATTAATTGTCCAGACTTCACAGCAATATGTTAAAACTGGCTCTATTTAGCGAGAATTCTTTTCCCAACCTTCCATGACGTGGATTTTTTGCACAAAATGTTAATTTTGTGAAATGTAGTTTTTGTCTATCCTATTCTGTTCTTTATCTCTGTGATACATCTTCCATCAGATATCCATGTGCCTAAATACTTAAATGTCTGTACTTGTCCTAAAATAATGCCTTTGACTGTTATACATTTAGGCACTATCTTTATCTTTGAAATCACCATTACTTCTGTCTTTCCATTGTTCAAACTAAGGCCCATTTTATCACTTTCTACTACCAATGTCATGGTTTCTGTTGTAATTTTTATCGCTTTTATGGTTTTCCTTTCCTCCCCCCCAACTGAAAGAAACATTTTTTTAGAACTGCTACTGCTTGCACAATAAAGCACCTTTCAGTGTTGTAGAAATCAACAAAGAATGACTCTTATAGTACCTTCTGGGGTCCAAAGCCTGGGCACAAAGACAGATCTTCGCTAGAAGCTTCAATGATACCAGTCAGACTCTGTTGAAGTCAAAATTGGAAACGTTATTTCAGCACGACTGGAGAGACAATTCTGTAATTTTATGGTACATGATAATTTTTATCCAGCTCTCCCTTGTATAGTAATTTTATAACTCTTTATATTATTCTCCCTCTTGTCTTGTTTCCAGTTGCAATATTTTAATTAAATTGCTTGTCTGTAGCACTGCTGTAAAAAACAAAACTGCGTGGTCTCGAGGCTTGGACTTCTAGTAATTCCCCCTGGTCTGTGGGTAGTGAGATCGGACACCCATGTGCATTGCGGCACACGAAAAAAAAAGAGTAACCTAATGGCGCTGCCCAGGCAAATTTTGTGTTAAAAATGTCAGGATCCTCGCTGGTGCTACAGAGCCTGTGCACTGTGCTCAGCTTCTTTGGACTCTGGCTTGAGTTAAAAGAATGGAGCACTTATGGGTTGCTAACTGTATGCCATGATGTTGATCCATTGTTCAAACCTTAAAACTGGGATAGTAACAGCTAAATCATTCAACAGAGTCAAGTTTTGTTTCCCCATATACAGTGGTTTGAGATAAGCTGCAAAGGATAGAAGTGGCCTGTATTTATGCTTGATCGTTTTCTTCTTAAATTGTCCTTTAAAGGGCGTTAACATGTTGTGTGGTGGTTTACAGCTAGGCTATGATATCTGCGCTTTTTGGCCTAACACATCCACTTTTAGCAAATCCTTAATTAGTCAACTTTTTACAACATGCATGTTGCTAAGGAGTAGTAGGTCTATTTGTAACAGAAGCCACATATAATTGAACATGACAGAAACCGAGAAAGACTTTACCCCAAAGTGTGATAACAAAGTGGCACAATCAGTTCTGTTGACCGACTTCACTCTGGTCAGGCAATCTGTGAACTTTGAAAAGGAAGAATGTCAGTAATGGAAAACAAACAAGGCTATAATTTGAGTTTCCTAACTCATACTGACCTCTATTAACTGGAGAGTGCAGTGAGAATCACAATACCATGATTCCTATCTTTAGCATTATGCACTATTGCAAAGCGTGATGCCACATTTTCCAGTCTTTCTTCCCATACCTCTGGTTCCCAATGAGTCTCTGGACACGTAAAAGTACAGAAGGGGCTCTTCAAATACAGAGGCTTTGAAGCGACTGTAAATAAAGAGTTATTGAGAGAAACAAAAGAGTGACAACTGAAATATTTTGGCCACATTAAGAGCCATACTGGACGGAAAGGTCGAGGGCAAGACAGCAAGTGGTAGGCAATGAGACAAATATCTCAACGAACAGCAGTCTAAGAGAGAGTACAATAAAGACAAGATACAGAGCAAATTAAAGATCTGTTGTAAACCACCTTTCACTGCGGAGATGACACCTGATTGACTGATCTCTTGTCTCACTTCAATCTGAAGAAATGTTACAATACACAGCAGTTTTGTTTTAATGAAATGCATTTTAACAAATGTTTCTGTTTTAATGTCTGGCAGATTTTCTTAGAACATTTACAACTAACAGAGACAAAGCTTTAAAAACTTTTCAAAACCAGGGTCTGAGATGATCTTTCAATCCATCAAAGATGCCCATGGAGAGTGAAAATCAAGGAGGAAATTCATAATCTTTATTTCAACGACCACAATTACTAGCATCCTAGGGGCTAAAAACTAGAATGGCAGACAAAGAGAAAGAAAAACTGCGCACACAAAAGAGATAAACTAGAGTAGCAGAATATCAGGCAGACCTACAAACACTTGGAATTACCAACTAGAAAGAAATTCAATTACAGAGACGTGATTACACATCTTCCTACAGATAAATAGCGATGCCTAAGAAGAATACTTGGCATCAAGTGGCGGGGCGGGTATTACAACAGCCTTCTCAATGCTCAGTCTACAAAGACAGGCGTTTGGGCCACACATGGAGGATGGCAGTCCCCAACCTCTACTATGATATAAAGATGCTTGAAGGTGGGACATCATTAATACCGTTATTGATGTGGACATCAAGAAAGGAATGAGAATGATTGCAGAAAGGAGGAGATCTGAGAAGAAACAGAATAAACAAAAATGTTGACAACAACGGTCTAAGTAGAAGACTTTTCTGAACGCTGGCCTTGCTAGTCACACTCGCCATTGCCCATGGGCTTGAGTCCCATGCCTCCTCATGGCGCAATAAAAAGCTTATTGTCTGGAAAGGGAAAAGGTGCTAATCAATTACACATCTTCAAAGGCCCACAGTAAACATTATTGGACCTATGTTACGCCACTGACACACCACGGATGTGGTGCTAGATCTATATTTTCAAACAGATAGACCAATGAACAATTGAAAGATTTTAAAATTAAATTTAAATTTTTCATTCTGGTGTCAAATCGGTGCTGTTGTCCCCATGTGGGTGCCTGGGTCCTGTTGTAGGGAAAACAAGAACAGACCCACTGCCTACTCAAAGGCATGTCGTAAGAGTCAACTAATTATGAACTTCCCTTGAAGGGAGTGCATCTGCCTAAGAGGCAAGGAACAAACGGTCTGCTAATTCTCTGGAACCGGAGTCCACAAGTGGACGACCAGCCAAAACTTTCCACTGGAGTTTACAGCCGGTGAAAGTGAAGAAGAAATACAAGTGATCTTCAGAAGTACCAATGTGTGGAGAACAACTAAGGCAATTATTAATAAACTACAAAAATTAATTAACTTATGGCTGCATTAAATGGTATGATAGAATCACTAATGTAGAGCTGTGGGAGAGAACTAAACAAGTTCCAGTGATGAAGAAAAGACGCTGGTACTGGACAGGACATATGTTGAGAAAACCCGAGAACAACAGAATGACTTTTACTGAAACCCACAGTGGCATAGAAATAAAGGAAGACCAAAAAGTACACGGAGAAGGGAGCTAGAAAGTGAAGTTGAAAGATGGGGAAGGCTGCACACGATAGTGAAGGATAGAACAATATGGCTTGAGTCTATGCTCCATTTGGGGTTAGGAGGCAGAAGAAGAATGAACACTCAATTCGTTATGTGGTAAATATTTCCTAGCACACATTTTAGGTTTACACGACAGAAGATGACAATATACTGGGCACATCCCGAGATGAAACAGTAAAGAATCACACGCACTGAAATGGAAAACAAAAGGATTAGGGAAACAAGGACATTCAAAGGAAACTCTAAATCGGGTCTTGCTGGGAGAGGCCAAAGGATTCCATCCATGATATCGAGACTATGAACCCTATGTAACAAAAAAGACGATGATGGATGATTTTAGGCTGAGTAGACCTGGGAGTCAAGGTCAATTAAAAAGGTCAATTGGCCAAAGTATTGAACCAAACGCCTGACCTGAAAGTCAACAGCTAAGTATCTAGAAACTGTGCCAGCAAAGCTCCCCCCATTACCCATATAAGGTCAAGACATTTTCAGAAAGGTCTGGTTTTCATGAAAATAAGGAATACTAACAACAGGAGAAAATACTGGATGTGTTTTTGTGTGGAATGGAAGATGACGATATCAGAACTCATGCGCAGAACTCACGCAGTTCTTAAAGAACAACATTGTTTAAAAACACTGCTTGCACCGCATGACATGGCACATAATGACGGCGGCATGTTGTCTACAATACTGGTGACATTTAGAACATAATATCTCAAACTGTCATGCCGAACCCTGTCAAGTCATGATACTTCAGTGGTGTTATCCACTGAGTGTAACACATATGGCAGCCTCACTGTAAACAGATGTTGCCGTGTCTTTTGAAAGAATGAAAAAGAAATTACACATGGAATGGACAGAGGCAGACTAGCCTCTTCTTTCTTCTTCATGTTCACTGGCTGAAAATTCTGGTTGTTTGTCCGCTTCTGGACTTTATTCTTGTTCCCGAACTTAAATTTTGCATGCTTGTCCTTTTTACAGATCTGACTTATTTGTATGCAGACTGTTGGTTCCTCACTTCTCAGACAGATGCGCTCAGACTTTGAAGAAAACACCCCTAATCAGTCAACTTTTATGACATGCTTGTCACGGTAGCAGTAAGTCTGTTCCTTGTTCCCCTACATTGTTGCCCCTGAACCCACATGGAGAGGCACACTAACAATACATACTTTAGCCATGAAGTTCTCCTCAGTTTTCTCCATGATGGCTTCAGGTGGCTTGTTTTCAAATATTTTATAAGTTTCCAGATAACGTGCAGCTTCCTCAGGGCTGTTGGAAACAGGTGAAAGGCAATAATAGTAATTGTTAACAATAGGTACAGTAAAAGTAAAGGACCCTTTTCCCTGCCTTTATTGCATATTGGGTATATAGGGCAAGACCTATATTTTATAGACCAACAGCACAAGACCTGGAAGACAAGGTTTTTTTTTTTTTTTTGAAAAAAGTCCAACCTTCCGATCTGCAGCCGAGCGTCTAGCTGCTACGCCACGGCGACTCTCAAACAATAAGTAAGTAAAGGAAATAAAGGACCCTTTTTTATATCATTGGTGCATCGGGCATGATGTTATTTTTTACAGACCAATCAGCACTTATCGCCTTTACTTTCTTGTGCATTAGCTGTTACCCATATTTCTGTGCGGATCTGAGCCCAAGCTCTTCAGGCCAGGATCTAGTTACTATGCTATCACAGTTCCCAATTGTAAAATTACCACTAATATATCAAGATCATGGCAAGAGGACTAAAATGGCTGTTTACCGCTCTACCTATGTACCAGTCCTGACCTATGGGTGTGAGTCATGGGCAATGACAACAGCTCACAGAAGCCAGCTGCAGGCCTCAGAAACGAGATATCTGAGAAAGGTGGTCCAAGTGACAAGAAGGGACAAAGTCTGCAATCAGACAATACGTCAAGATCTTGATACCCAGTCCTTACAAACCCAAGTGGATCAGTCACAGTTACGATGGTTTGGACATGTATGCAGAATGGGAGAAAATTTCGGCCACCATGGCAGGCATGGGAGGCTAAGAACTAGGGAACCAGACCTCCAGGACGACCCAGTACTGGGAAGACAACATCGGACAGTCCCTAACTGACAGAGGACTGGAATGGAACAAAGCCAGAAAGAAAACCGCTGATAGAGACGTCTGGCAAACCTCTACATCCCAAGGTAAAAGAGGAGCGACTAAGTGAGTATATCAAGGTCAGCCAAAATTATTTGTATGGCCTGGAGCAGTCCAGTTTGAGGAGAAAATTTGTATCTCAAAATCTCAAGGTGACTATTGCATTCTTTAAGTGTATTCGGGGTGACGTCTGAAATTGTATCATCATGAGGTGAGTAACATGGCACTGTTTCATCGATCCAGTGGCTTATTACATCATGTTTCAACAAGCATTTTTTTTTTCAGGTTTGCTATTCCTAGCTTTTGGCTGGGCCCAGCCTACCTACAAGGTTTTTACTCTCTCTTTGCCTAGCCCCCCTTCCCCACCCAAGGGTCCTCATACTCATACAAGGATAGCAAGTACAGTAAAAAAGTGAAGAACCTTTTCCATGCCTTCTGGCTTATTGGGCATATACAGCTAGACCTATATTTTATAGATCAATCAGCACTAGGTGGCCAATATCACACTGGCTGCCTGTACTTCTTCCTAGGATTTTACCTACTATCCATTTAAGGCTGGGTCAACTTAAGAGTCAAGGTTAATTCTTTTAAAGCCCATGAACCCACGACCTTCAGATCTGCAGGTGAGCGTCTAGCCATCACACCACAGCAGGTCCCATATTGACTGGAACACATGAGTAATAATATACTGTAAACCCTGTGCACTGTTTGAGACTGATTGAGTTGAAAAAAACAAAACAAATTATAAGGAAAGAAAATATCACTCTCACATTTAAAATGCATAATTTCACTTATAACAATGTTAAATGTGAAACAAACAGATGCAGACATTTAACTTATTTCTGTAAATGCTGTAATGATCAGACCTGAAAGCCAGGACCAGTGTGCAGTCTGCTAGCAAACAGATTTTTGCCAGGTCTTTGAGGATGTGATGAGATTCTTTCTAAATAAAAACAGAAACATGATATTAAAATGATTATAATCAAAAACAAAACAAGAGTTGAGTAAAAAAAAAAACCAATATCCTAACACTTGAGACATTTCTATAAAAAACACTTGCGTCTCCATCTTCAGCAACCAGCGCAGATGGTACCAGTAATAGTTTGATTGTATGTCTGTCTTGCTTCTTCTCTGAGTAGTGAGTGTCAGTTATATCCTCTGGTCACTCCCGATTGCACCATTCCCTTCAGGTTGTCTATCTATTGTCGTCTTTACTTTTACCGGGTTGCAGCCCAGTGTCGTGGTTTAAAATATTTGTTTTGTGCCTCTCGCGTGATTTGAGTGGCAGTTTTCTGGATCTTCTGGCCGTATTCAGCTACTCCATCTATCCATTTTTTCCTGGGTCTTCCTCTGGCCTTTCTTCCCGATGTTCTATTGTTAAAGGCCTTATAGGCAATCTGATCCGGTTGCATTCTTACTAAATGGCCAAACCACTTCATTCTCTGTCTTTCAATATGTTCCATGCATGCTCTTGTTCCAACTTTGTCTCTAATGCTGACGTTTGTGACTCTGTCTCTTCGTGTATTGTTGGTGACTCTTCGGAGACATCGCATTTCACACGTAGTTATTTTTTGCATATGTTCCCTTCAGGTTGTAAATGATGTAAATGAGCTTCCACACTGTTCACTCGCTCCCAAAGGGCCATAGTTAGTTAGTCGATAGATTATCCTCTTTGCACATTGAACCATTCAGTCCACAAGTGTTTAGATCCTCTCCTTAGTAAATATAATAGCGACACCAGTTCTCTGTTGGTTTCTTGTTCTTCTTTGGCTTCCTGCATAGAGCTCTCGTCTGGCCACACCCCTTTTAACATGATGTTCTTGCAGTCTGGTCACTGTTGCAGATTCACAGCCCCAAAGGGCCTTGATAAGATCTAACATGAAATACATGAATTTACCACTAAGTGGTGCAGAACTAGCCAATCTGTTTTTTGCCCAACACAATTAACATATAAACTAAAAGAAAGCAGACTTACACTGACAAACTATAATAGTATAATGGCAACAGAACAAGATGACAAAACTAAAATGACAGTTACTGCAATTACTAATCTAGACTGCTATTTGTGTGCCTTTTAAATTCTATTTCTGATGGTCAATGGTTTAATTACCATTATGGTTGATTGTTAAAACATACATGGGAGAATCCAGCCTTAAAAAAAAATACCAGGAAATGTCTGGAATGTTTAATCTTTGATTGTGTTCACCAACTGTAAACTCCATCAGAAAGTCCTTGTTGTACATCCATTTCTGGACTTGTGTTTTGCATATACGTCCATTATTACAGGCCTGGCTTATTTGCATGTAGTCATCAGATTAGCTGCCTATCAGGGAGATGTACTCCAATGACGAAGGAAATGTCAATTTTATCTCTGGGATGACGGTAGCCAATCTGAACCCTTTCTTCGCATTTAGTAGGACTCTTGATCGAAAGACACATGGATCATTGCTTGTCATGTCATAGGCGCATGTACTTCACTCACGGACCAATGAGTTCTCAATGGATGTTTACATCCATATAAGGGGGGGGGGGGGGGGGGGGGGGGGCACTCATGAGTCCCAGAGGTTTTCTCCATGATCCCTGCTATAATGTGGTAAGAACCCAATCTTTAACATAGTTTGACTCATATCACCATCTAAAAGCCACAAGAATGGTCTTTTTATAAATGATACACTGTGGAAATTATCCCTGGAACACAAGGATTATGACAGACCCTTCATTAATATGAATAATCTGTCTACGTATTAAAATACTGCTAGCTGTTTGCTCTCTCTTGTTGTACTCCACCAGGACAACACACAAGCAATAAACACCTGATGACAAAGTGCCACCATGCGGATAGGGATTAACCGTGCAGAGGTCCTAGAAACCCCTTTCAGCCATTAGGCTATATTCAGGGCCCCCAGCAAAAGCCAGGGTGGGGTTTCAAATAAAAAAAAATTGCATCCCACATGGAGATGATGAACATTACTATCTGTTTGCATGTTTCCTTTTAAAAAAATGTTTACACACTGAACACAAAAAGTGGTAACAAAATTTATGTCAAAATGGCTAGAGGATACTTACAACATCTACCAGGACAAGCATGATCCGCAGGTCATAACTTCTACCTAAGAGCTTCAGCCTCTCATGGAGGTAATTTGGATGTAGCTGGTGGTAACGCAAACTGAAAATGTAATTATTTCCACTTTATCAATGACCCATCCCATTCTTATAATGATCAATTAGGACACTATTTTTATTCAAACTGTGGTCCAGACAGTCTGCCATATGCAGTAGGGTCAATCAGAACTCTAATTGTCCAGACTGAGGTGTCAATGTAGTTATCCTTTATATTAACTTTTGCTGTTGTTGTGTTCGTAACTGCACTTGTTTTAAATTCAATGACCCATCCCATTCTTATAATGATAAACATCCTCCCAGATATCAAGCTGTGAAAATCTCAGCACAGCACTGCTGACACTGTTACATCTGTGAAGATTATACTGTGCATAAAAAAGAATCATCTGCGAACATTACACTGCGCATATAAAAGAATCATCTGTGAAGATTACACTGCACATATAAAAGAATCATCTGTGAAGATTACACTGTGCATAAAAAATAATCATCTGTGAAGATTACACTGCACATATAAAAGAATCATCTGAAGATTACACTGCGCATATAAAAGAATCATCTGTGAAGATTACACTGCGCATATAAAAGAATCATCTGTGAAGATTACACTGCGCATAAAAAAGAATCATCTGTGAAGATTACACTGCGCATATAAAAGAATCATCTGTGAAGATTACACTGCGCATATAAAAGAATCATCTGTGAAAATTACACAGGGCATATAAAAGAATCATCTGTGAAAATCATACAGGGTATATAAAAGAATCATCTGTGAAGATTACACTATTCATATAAAAGAATCATCTGTGAAGATTACACTGGGCATATATAAAAGAATCTTCTGTGAAGATTACACTGGGCATATATAAAAGAATCTTCTGTTTGAAGATTACACCGGGCATATAAAAGAATAATCTGTGAAGTCTGTTGAGAAGCTAGGCTGTGATATCTGCACCTTTCAGTAAAAACAGCCATTTTCTGCAAAATCTTAATTCTTCATGTTTAGAATAATTATTTTAATTAACTGCCTTTTCAGGGAGACAAGTTAGAGGGGGAGTAATCTATGCACTCCACCCCCTCCCCCATAAAATGGACCTTAGGTTATATTTTATAATATATAAATTCACTTTACCTGAGAAATAAGGCACAATTAGCTGGTCCCATAACATAGTCAGGCACTATATGTCCATATTCCCATGGTACATTGCGAATTGACTTCAGAATTGGGTTTCCTCTCTGTAATTCAAAGATTAACAATAATGTTAAGCAAAGATACTCAAAAATAATTTTAGATAGAATGTATCACACTGAATTTTTTTAGTAACAGTAAACTCCAATTATTGAAAATAATCACCAACAACAAAGGCATCCAGTTAGGCTTCCAGAGAAAGAGCACAACAATAAATTGATAGAGCTTTTCCCAAAACATAATCGTTCTCCTCTTCTTCTTCAGTTCCAGCCAGGTGATAAATATGTTTCAAGATGCAGAGGTGGTGAACCACACTTGTGTCCAGGCAATATCAACCCTTCTGAATTGTTCTGTTCTGATCCTATTTGTAAAGACATTTTCACATATCTCTGTGATCATTCTAGAAACAGGTTTCCTACCGTGGGCCTGGCCAACATAGGATCAATGCCTCCTTCGAGGGTGGAGTCGAGGAATCAACAGCCTGCACACAAATTGCCAGACCTGGAAAAAGAATGCACATGCAACACTCAGTCCAGTGGGGGGAACAGTCCATGGACCCTGGAAGAAGACCTCAGTCCAGAGGGACGGGTGAAAGTCCTGGAACAAACCTCACCTCCTGGAAGAAGACCTCAGTCTAGAGGTGGAGAGTCCTGTGGACGAAAGTCCTGGAAGAAGACCTCAGTCCAGAGGTGGACAAAAGTCCTGGAAGAAGACCTCAGTCCAAAGGTGGACAAAAGTCCTGGAAGAAGACCTCAGTCCAAAGGTGGACAAAAGTCCTGGAAGAAGACCTCAGTCCAGAGGTGGACAAAAGTCTTGGAACAAGACCTCAGTCCAGAGGGGGACGAAAGTCCTGGAACAAGACCTCAGTCCAGAGGGGGACGAAAGTCCTGGAACAAGACCTCAGTCCAGAGGTGGACGAAAGTCCTGGAACAAGACCTCAGTCCAGAGGGGGACGAAAGTCCTGGAACAAGACCTCAGTCCAGAGGGGGACGAAAGTCCTGGATCAAGACCTCAGTCCAAAGGTGGACAAAAGTCCTGGAAGAAGACCTCAGTCCAAAGGTGGATGAAAGTCCTGGAAGAAGACATCAGTCCAAAGGGGAACAAAAGTCCTGGAAGAAGACCTCAGTCCAGAGGTGGACAAAAGTCCTGGAACAAGACCTCAGTCCAGAGGTGGACGAACAACCAGGACTTTCTGCCTCAGCTTACAGTGTTGAATTTTGAAAGCAAGAAAAGTATGAATAAAGAAGACTAGCAAAGTTATCCAAACTGTGAGAATCTTCTTTTTTCTTCGCATTCACCAGCTGTAAACTCCAATGAAAAGTTCTGGTTGTTTGTCCACTTCTGGACTTTAGTCTTGTTCCAGAATTTGAGTTGTAAACTCTAAAGAAGTGGACACTGAGAAGAAGAAGACTATCTGAACTGTACCTGTCTTGGATTTACAATCAGTGATTTGAAGAAGACTATCTGAACTGTACCTGTCTTGGATTTACAATCAGTGATTTGAAGAAGACTATCTGAACTGTACCTGTCTTGGATTTACAATCAGTGATTTGAAGAAGACTATCTGAACTGTACCTGTCTTGGATTTACAATCAGTGATTTGGAAGAACCTGGTCTGCTGACTGTGACAGAACTGCAAAACAAAAACAAAATATGCAGATAAATAACAAAACTGTATTTCACTATAAATGAACGACAGAAACTCTTTTATACTGAAATAATATTGGAATAGTTACAGAGCTGGAACTCTCTTACACTGGCATAAAGGAATAGTTACTGAGCTTTTGTAGTCATTAGTGGATTCTGTATTAATTTTTTTATCATTGCAAATTATTTTGCATCTTTTTGTGCAACAATACAAATAGAGTTATTCATCACTGTTTGAGTTTAGACAATTATTCAGGGTTCACTCACACAACGAGGTCTCTTCCAGGTTTTATAGTTAATATTTGTCTTTCCTATCCAGTCAAAGCAATCATTTGATTGTATTCATAAAGTGTTTTACAAAGGCTTTTCCTTTAGATACAAGGGTGCTAATACTCACCAAAAAGTGTCTTCTTCCTCTGTGTTTATCCAAAGATGTACATGCGCTGAGCCCGTTTACAACATGGCTGCGATATTTGTACCTTTCAGCCGACACATCCAGCTTCTGCAGGCATTAGTAGCCCTCCCAGGACAAGCGTTTAAACAAGGTGTCATTACTCACAAGGTGTCTATTACAATAGCTTGTAAAAACAGAATGATGCTTCCAAAAAAGTGCTGGTACTTGTACTGCCAGAAAAAAAAAAGGTGCTGGTACTGTGTACTGCCAGAAAAAAAAAATGCCCTGTCCATTACCTTTACTTACCCTTCTGTGGCTGTATCAACATCATGAGTGTTTTCTGGTTGTACTTCTTTTGTAGCCTTATCTTTTACTGAAACATGTGAGTCCTTTTGGTGGGGAAATATCTTAGAGCTGCTAGCTTCCTGAGGTGTTGAAGCTGCCAATGGTAACAATGGTCGTGTTGCCGTCTGGCTAACATTTGACAGCTGCGTGCTGTCCCGAGTCTTTACTGTCGTTGTGAAACTGACATTACTGACACTGTTGTTGGTTGCTGCTGCCAAAGTCTTCACAGGTGATGGGTTATCTGATGTTAGTTCTTTTCTCCGCTTAAAAAGGGATTCTGGTGTCTGAAATGTATTCAGTAAATAAATTTTAATTTATCATCACGTAGCAGGTCCTTTGCAGAAAGACATTCTCGTCACAGCCTGCCTGAAAGAAACTCAGTCTCTTGCCTGATCCCACTTGCACTTTCCTTCCCAAAGACTCATGATATCATGTGTCTATCTTCGCGCTGGTCAGCCCCTGCTTATCTTTCATGTCACCATGTCTTCTGTTACTATTCTTTCCAGTCCACAGCGACGCTTGATATGGCAAAAGAATTTCAGTTTTCAAGACAAGATGCTTTTAACCAGTCAAGCTTCTTTGATTAAAAAAAATTTAACAGTTTGTATAATAAACTTACTGCAGCAAATTAAAAACAATCTGGGAATTAGGTGATTAAAAAACATTGTAGCTGCAGCATTCACGAATAGTAAGTAAAGGATCCATATCGACAAGTATAATGGGCACATAGTATAGTAAAGGACCCTTTTCCTGCCTTCAGGCCTATTCGGCCTATATTTTATAGACCAGTCTGCACTCAGAGATTTAGTCAACATCATACTGTCCGCCTTTACTTCCCAGGAATTCACCTGGTACCCATTTAAGACCGGGGACCAAGGTGATTTTTTTTAAAAAGGTCTGGCTAAATGAGGATATGAATCCACGGCCTTCAGATCCGCAGACTCCCAGGTCGACCCAGCCTTGAGTGTGTATCAGGTGCAGTCCCGGGAAGTAAAGGCGGTCGGCGTAATGCTGACCACATCACCCATCTGTGCCGATTGGTCTATCAAATATAGGTCTAGCCCTATATGCTCTATATGCCTAAAGGTGTGGAAAAGGGACCTTTACTTTACTACTACTAAAGGATGGGAGCCTAGATCAATGAAAAATTCTCTGCCTAGAGAATTTATGCATGATCACAGCTGAACTAGCACATAAAAGATGAAAGACAAGGTTATTATTTTTTATTTAAAATGGGCAGGATTATTCCAGTCTGAAATCAAAACACTCACCAAAGGAAAATACAAGGAAGTTTGGAGAGAACAAATCAGCAGTAAGTAAATATCCACAAGACCCCATCAGCAAACTCATTAGAAAGCAATACACAACAATTTTCCCTCTAAGAACAGGACACTGCAGGCTCAACTACCACACACATAAAATAAAGGCTGCACAGTTCTCTCAGTGTGCATGCAGGCCTTTCCACTCTACTTACAACTATCTAAAGAAACCTGGTCTCAAGAGCAAAGTGTACAGAGCAAGATATGGGGAACTAAAGGACCTGCTGCTGACATGCGAGTTCATAGTAAAGGGGCAAGCCACCTGATGATCTGATCAGAGTATACAAAACCAAACACAAAAAAAAAGAAGAAGAAGACTTTATTCTCCGTTATTTAAGAACCACATGCATACTTCAATGAAACTTCTTCTTCTTCTTTGCGTTCACCTACTGCAAACTCCAGAGCAAAGTTCTGCTTATTCGTTCACCTCCGGAATTAAGTCGTGTTCCACAACCTGTGTTGCATGCACATCCGTTTTACGGATCTATCTTACTTGCATGCAGATTTTTGGTTTCCTTGCCTCAGATGCACTCTGACTTCGAAGGATTCCCTCAATTAATGAGTCAACTCATGCTAGTACTAGTAGTAAAAATAAAAGTAACTCATACGACATACATGATACACATGCTTTTTGATTAGGAAGGCAGGCAGTGGATCATCATGGGTCTATTTGTGTCACCCCTCCCCCCCCCCCCCCCGCGGATAATTTAATGAATAAAACAAATATACCCCTATAATTAACAATACAAAACAGCTTATCTACAATCTATTCAGACCTTTTCAGAAACAACAGTTTCCATTTCATCCAGTGTGGGTATTTTAAATCGTTTTGGGGCCTCCATGTTTACAATTCTTGTACTGTGTAAGGGAGGCGACTCCAAAGTGGTTACCGCTGCTGATAGTAACTTACTGTTTTATATATATTCACAAACTTAGTTAGTTAGTTAGTTGGGTTATCCTCATTGCACTCCGGACATGTCCATAGGTGCTCAGATCCTCCCCTCAGTATGAACCCCAACGTCCGATGGCTAATAGTACCAGTTCTATGTTGATTAACAAGTCTTCTGGCGTAGCTGGTGTGCGTCTCGTTTTTTGCTGTGCCGATCTTAATTCCCAAGTCTGCCATTCTGGCGAGTGATGTGGATTCACTGCCACCAAAGTCCTCTATTCTTCCCATTTCTCTGAGGGCATTGATAATATCAGCATCATCCATAGGCTGACCGTCGGTAGTGATAGCGGATCCAGCCAACCTGTCAGCTCTTTCATTTCCATCGACGCCTGCGTGTCCCGGAACAAAAATAAAGGTGACTCCACGAACAGTGGACTTCTGTAATGATTCAAGCCATTGTCTTCGCACTGAACCTGCCTGAACCCTCCGGATCATACTCATTGAATCACTGAGTATACATACGCGGGTGTATTTTTGTGTTTCAAGCCAGGCAAGCGCTTGTGTCACTGCCATCACCTCCATCGTCATGCTGCTGGTTATCATGGAGAAGGCGCCGTTGGCTTCTTTGACTGTTCTGCTCGCTGAGCGTGCTGTAAATGCCCATGCGCTTCTTCTTTGGCGTATAACGGATCCGTCTGTATAGATTATTGCATCTGCTTCGTCTGAATTTTCACCGATGAGAGCGTTGACCTCTGCATTAACAGCAACAGGATTCTCTTCTCTACATCGCCTGTTGAGTGTGACAATACAGGAAAATGTACAAATAAACGCCTGAGGCACAGGTATCCATTCTGCACCAGGTATGATGTCGGTTAGGCTGCATATTTGCCTAATGACATCTTCTGCCCGACCTAGCCACGATTTCCCCCTATTCAGTCTGTCGCCCTTTTCACTAAAAAGCGCTTGATGCAGTGGGTGTTTCTTATCAGCGCATATTTTGAGATATGCCCGAGCCCTCCACATCCTGATCCTTTGGTTCATTGTTGGAAAGTCAAGTAGATACCTCATTGCTCCACAGGATGTGTCTCTAGTACATCCCAAAATAATGCGCATGGCTTCATTTTGCACCTTTTCGAGTCGTTCAATCTGGGTAGCACTGACAGCGAGGATGGCCAGAGCGTATTCAATGGGGGAAAGGACCAGACCGTAGAATAGAAGTATTAGTAGTCTTTGCTCAATATTGTAAGCAGCCATAATCCTCATTGCAGATAGACCTTTGCGTGCTTTTGTTATCACATGGTCAACGTGTTCCCTGAATGACAAGCTGCGATCGAACCTCACCCCGAGAAACGTCAAAACGTCGGTTCTGATCAATGCATTATCACGCATTTTCACTTCTGGTAAGTCCGACTTGACAATGTGATTGTTCAAAGAGAACCATGACACTGATGCCTTCGAAGGATTGACATAGGCATTGGAACCATCACACCAGGCGGCAATTCGATCGAGTTCTTTGTGCATAGTGCTGGCGATCTCCTGTCTATCACGCCCTCGTCGATAAATCAAAATGTCATCAGCAAATGACAAAGTCCTTCCCTTTCCATTCAACTGCTGCTCAGTGATCATCACCGTGTAAACGTTGAATAAGACTGGTGATAGCGGTGATATTCACAAACTATGTGTTGTTAACCCTTTAGCTCGGTATTACGGATATCGCAATATTCGGCCTTGATTCCATGGTAGATACCGTAAATTTAGGATAAATTTGGCTTTACTGCCTGGGCGTGAACCCGGACCTCAAGTAGCTCGTCACCCAGTCGAAGCCAAATCACGTTTAACCAACTGCGCTAACCGGGCTAACATTTGTTAAAAAGCATCTTTATCGCACATGACCGTAAGTGCGTGTGTAAAAGGTAAAGGACCTCTCTTCCATGCCTCTAGACGTATTAGGTATACAGGGCTAGACGGCACTAGGTGGGTGATGTGGTCAGCATCACGCCGGTCGCCTTTACTTTCCAGGACTGTACCTGGAACCCATTCAAGGCTAGGTCGACCTAGTTGTTCATTTTTGAAAAAAGTACGGCCCTAAGTGCATGTGTGTGTGTATATATATACATACATATATATGAGTGTGTGTGTGTGGTACAAACAGATTTAAACGGTCAGAGAAGAATGGCGCTGCGGAGAGCTACCAGGGGATCTGGTCAACGCTCGACACTCAGGGAAAGGTGAGACGGATATACAATCAAACATCGGAATTTGAACTCTTCGCTTCCTAAAGAAGGGGACGGGGCGCTTATTGGCGTGTCCCGAGTGCTATGATGTAGATTCTTACTTTAACACGCAATCCATATGTGCTTCGATCCTGTCCTGTTGTTTAGCCTAACAACTTCCAATCTTCTTCTTCTGCGTTCATCCGAAGAAGTAATTGTGTTTTGCCCGTTTACAGCATGGCTGCAATATTTGCACCTTTCGGCCAACACATCCGACTTCTGCGGGCATTTGTTGACCGGGTTAGCCTTCCTGGTAACTTCCAATCTGATCTGGTTGATTTAAGGACGAGTGGCTTGGGCACGGTTTTCTAGTTTCGCTGCTGCAAAAGGAACACCCAGGGTGTGCAGTCTGTTCAGTGAAGAATTGTTTTCCACGAAACTGAAAGTCTCACAACGTTAACTCTCGCTCTCCCTCTTCTTCTTTCTTATTCTTCACGTTCACTGGCTGTAAACTTCGGTGGAAAGTTCTGGTTGTGCGTCCACTTCTGGTCTGCAGTCCTGTTTCAGAACCTGAGTGTTGCGTATGCATCTGTTTGACAGATCTGACTCATTTGTGTGTAGACTGTTGGTTCCTTGCCTTTCAGGCAGATGCACTCCGACTTCGAAGGAAGCTCCCATTAGTCGACTCTTACGACATGCTTTTGGGTTGGCAGTGGGTCAGTTCTTGTTTTCCCTATAATAGGACCCCGGAACCATTCTCTCTCTCTCTCTCTCTCTAACTCTCGTTCTCTGTCTCTGTCTGTCTGTCTGTCTGTCTGTCTCTCTCTCTCTCTCTCTCTCTCTCTCTCTCTGTCTGTCTCTCTCTCTCTCTCAGTTATGGCATTGATAGTGTCTCTCCTGTCTGTAGATGACCCATTTTTGATTGTGGTACTGTAGTAACTTGAAAGAAACTTACCAAGGTTTCCAGCTGAAGGCGGTAGGTTAGGACCAAGTTGTGCAGTAAAGTAAAGAACCCCTTCCCCCGCCTTCAGGCGTATTGGGCATATAGGGCTAAACATATGTTTTATAGACAAATCAGCAATCGTTGGGTTATATAGTCATCATCACGCCTTTACTTCGCGGGACTTTACCTAGTACTCATTTAAGGCTGGGTTAACAGCAGGGTGAACATGGTCGATCTTTTGTTTTTAAACGGAATCGTGAACGAGGGCCAGTCATTTTTTTAAAAGACCAGCTCCAACATGACCTTAACCCACGACCTTCAGATCCACAGGAGCTACACCAGAGGGACTCCCTAAGTTGTGCAGTATGCTCATTTTCGCCTTTTTTTTCTACTTCATCCTATGTACTGGGTGTAAACTCATGGTTTTTCGTCCACTTCTGGACTTTGGTCTTATTTAACAGGTTGAGTCCTTTTTACAGATGTGGAGAGTTCAAGTGTGAGAAATGTGGAGAGTTCAAGTGTGAGAGATGTGGAGAGTTCAAGTGTGAGAGACATTGAAAGTTCAAGTGTTAGAGGTGTGGAGAGTTTAACTGTGAGGATGTGAAGAGTTCAACAGTGAGATACATGGAGAGTTAAAGTGGGAGAGATGTAGACAGTTCAAGTGTGAGAGTGTGAGGAGTTCAACTGTGAGATACATAGAGAGTTAAAGTGTGAGAGATGTGGAGAGTTCAACTGTGAGATACATGGAGAGTTAAAAGTGGGAGAGATGTAGACAGTAGTGTGAGAGATGTGAAGAGTTCGACTGTGAGATACATAGAGAGTTAAAGTGGGAGTGATGTGAAGAGTTCAAGTGTGAGAGATGTGGAGAGTTTAAGTGTGAGAGATGTGAAGAGTTCAACTGTGAGATACATAGAGAGTTAAAGTGTGAGAGATGTGGAGAGTTTAAGTGTGAGAGAAATCGAGAGTTCAAGTGTGACAGATGTGGACAGTTCAAGTGTGAGAGATGTGGACAGTTCAAGTGTGAGAGATGTGGACAGTTCAAGTGTGAGAGACGTGGACAGTTCAAGTGTGAGAGATGTGGACAGTTCAAGTGTGAGAGATGTGGACAGTTCAAGTGTGAGAGATGTGGACAGTTCAAGTGTGAGAGATATGGAGAGTTCAAGTGTGAGAGATGTGGAGAGTTCAAGTGTGAGAGATGTGGAGAGTTTAAGGGTGAGAGATGTAGAGTTCTAGTGTGAGAGATGTGGAGAGTTTAAGTGTGAGAGATGTGGAGAGTTCAAGTGTGACAGATGTGGACAGTTCAAGTGTGAGAGATGTTGAGAGTTTAAGTGTGAGGGATCTGGAGTGTTTAAGGGTGAGAGATGTGAAGAGTTCAAGTGTGAGAGATGTAGAGAGTTCAAGTGTGAGAGATGTGGACAGTTCAAGTGTGAGAGATGTGGAGAGTTTAAGTGTGAGAGATGTGGAGAGTTCAAGTGTGAGAGATGTGGAGAGTTCAAGTGTGAGAGATGTGGAGAGTTCAACTGTGAGATACATGGAGAGTTAAAAGTGGGAGAGATGTAGACAGTTCAAGTGTGAGAGATGTGAAGAGTTCAACTGTGAGATACATAGAGAGTTAAAGTGTGAGAGATGTGGAGAGTTCAAGTGTGAGAGATGTGGAGAGTTCAAGTGTGAGAGATGTGGAGAGTGGAGAGTTTAAGGGTGAGAGATGTGGACAGTTCAAGTGTGAGAGATGTGGAGAGTTCAAGTGTGAGGGATCTGGAGTGTTTAAGGGTGAGAGATGTAGAGAGTTCAAGTGTGATAGATGTGAATGGTTAAAGAGGGAGATTTGGAGAGTTCAAGCGCAAGAGATGTGGAGAGTTCAAGTGTGAGAGATGTGGAGAGTTCAGGCATGAAAGATGGGAAGTTCAGGTGTGAGAGATGTGTAGAGTTAAAGTATGAGAGATGTGGACAGTTCGAGTGTGAGAGATGTGGAGAGTTCAAGCGTGAGAGATGTAGAGAGTTCAAATGTGAGGCGTTAAAGTGTAAAAGACGTGGAGAGTTCAAGTGTGAGAGATATGGAGAGTTCAAGTGTGAGAGATGTGGAGAATTCAATTGTGAGAGACGTGGAGAGTTCCAGTGTGAGAGTTCAAGTGTGAGAGATTTGAAGAATTAAGGTGTGAGAGATTTGTAGAGTTCTCGTCTGAGTGATGTGGAGAGTTCAGGTGTGAGAGATGTGGAGAGTTCAAACATGAGAGATATGGAGAGTTTAGGTATGAGAGATGTGGACAGCTCAAGTATGAGAGAAGTATAAGAGGTGTGGAGGCTTCAAGTTTGAGTTTTTGAATTCCAGCTGGCTGTTAATGGCACATTTTATGAACAAAGCAAACAATCCAGTTGTTTTTATGTGTAAATTTCAATAAAAGCAGCAAATGCAAACTGTATAAAGCAACTTCTAATTATTCTGCAACACATTTTATCAGGAGGACTATTTGTGTTACAGACTCTTTGTGGCCAAATAAATAATAGATCTATTTATAAGACATATAGTTTTACTTATGCTTTGATCCTTAACTTCTCCTTCTCCTTTTGTTTAAATACCTGCATTTACTACCCAAGTTTTTGTATTTTTTAATTGATATTCTGTGCTTTATTGAGAAAATACAATTGTGGTCTGAAAAATGAGGATTGAAGGAGAGATTGTAAGACAGGCAAGAATGGCCCGTGTGCCCAATTTGTAACTCTTTAAAAGTAAAGTTTATTCATTGATCTTCTTCTCAAAATCTTTTCTCTAGTTCTCTTCAACTATTTTTTTTTTATTTGCCTCCTCAGCTCTTTCTTCTTTTTTTTTCCCCTGTCTTCTGCTTCTTCTTCTATTATTTACGAAGCATGAGTCCTCCCCATTCTTCCATCTAACACCACACCCTTCCATTCTTTGCTATCTGATTTACTTCCTTCCATGTCTTTCTCATTATATTCGCCTCAGTCTATTATCTTTTCTTCTTGTGTTTTGAAGTCTTCATATATTCTTTTAATGAGCAGGCTGTTAGATTGGCTGTTGCCACTCCTCTGGGCGGTGAGCTACAATATGATAAAGTGGAGGCGGTGAAAGCTATTTGAGATCAAATGGACAGTGCAGTAGAACAGATAAAGAATCCATACACTGAAAGACTAATTCAATATGGGGGGAGTAGAGAGGTTGTGGAAGATATTCAACAAAAAGGGGGGAAAATAAGCAGTCTTTTAATCAGGTAGCAACTGGTACTCAGAATGGATAATACAAGACTTCCCCCATCAAGCTCTCATATGGATACCGGAAAGGACAAGAAAACAGGGAAGACTAAGAAAAAGCCCTGCATAGAATTATCATCAGGGAAGGCTCAACTGTGGGTCTAATAAACACTAAACACCTAAAACAGGTGGCAATGAACCGCCAGACATAGAGAGCTATGACCTCTGCCCTATGCGCCACCCTAGGCTCAGGAGGAAAGACTAACTAATAAACTAACTGGTACTATTAGCATGTCGACTCTTCATTGGCTACTGCGGAAGAAGCGGATCACATGTGGGAATGTCCCAAGTCCAGTGATGTCAATTCTGTATCCATACATTCTTTATCTGATTATGTTGGAAGTTAGTAAAATCACTTCACAATGCAATCCCTGACCGTTAACAGAGTTTAATCCCAGCCATGGCTCGTTAAGAAAAAGACTGCTCTCATGGCTTTCAAACAGTGGTATGAGAGTCACACCATGGAAGACACTGACATCTCAATAATCCCATGGTTAGCGGTGAACACATTGTAGTCAACCTTTAATGTGGAGACTGCACAATTTTTTTTAGAAAACATTCTAATATTTCTTCTTTCATCAGTTCTCGTTATGCCTAGTGGCACATGAGGCTTCACAGAGGACTTTCCATGCTTTCCTGTCCTGTGCAATCTTCAGTGCAGTTTTCCATGTCAAAGATGCCACACTTAGGTCACTTTCCATCGTTCGTCTCCATGTTGTTTTTGGGCGCCCCTGTTTTCTCTTTCCCTCTGGTGTCCATGTGAGAGCTGTTTTGGCAGGTATATCAGAAGTCATTCTCATAACGTGGCCAAGCCATTTCCATCTTCTCTTGGTAATCATACTGTCTAAAATTTCTTGGTTTGTGGCTTGAAGTAGCTACTTCAAGCTACTTCAATATTTCTTCTTTAGCATTGTTTATTCTACAGGAAAGACTCTCTAAGTATTTTCACAAAGTGTCTTCTATCTAGAACCAGCATTTTAAACACAGCTCTTTATCACAGATCATATCCTGGATATTTTGTGGCCATTGTGCTAGCCTTGCAGTTTTAAATCCTCAGGCTCTTTGTGTGTGGGTTCCAGGGACCTATTGTAGGAGGAAAAAAGGATAGACCCATTGCCCTCCATCTGCCCCCCCCCCCCCCCTGACGTAAAAGTTTACTAATTAGGGGTGTATATTTTAAAGTCAGAGCACATCTGCCTGACAGGCTAGGAATTCAGAGTCTGTATATAATTAAATTAAGTAAGATTTGTAAAATTCAACATTCAAAATTCAAGTTCTTGAACAAGACCAAAGTTCAGAAGTGAGCGAACAACCACAGCATTTACTGCTGTGAAAGTTAATGAAGAAGAAGAAGAAGAAGAACAAGGAGGAGGAGGAGAAGAAGGAATTCTCAAGTTTACCTTTTTACACAACCACATAAAATAGTAGTAAATACCAGCAATAAATAAGGTGTTTTAATTTTCCTAATCCATAACAAAATGACACCTATTTTGTCACAACATTTGAGGTGAGACATCCTCTCATGGATATCACAAAAAAAAAATATGTGATGAAAACTGGCCTGATATCCCACACATGTTCAGTGCCGATCTGACAAGGAAAACTCACAGAGGACCCATGAAATGGTTCTTCTTTTCAGAAACTCCTCTTATCCATATAAGAATTCAAGCAAAAAAAATTACTGGGGATAAACAAAATGTTCTTCACAACAGAAATTCGCCACAAATAAGATCACCTTTAGCAGTCTGCACTGTATATTGTTTAATAAAAATGTAAATTTTACTTAAAAACATTTGTGACTATAGAAGAAATAAAAACAGTATTAAACATCATCATGTGCCCCAGCTCTCCAGGCTAAAGCCATAGTTGCTTTTCGCAGAGCCTGCTGGGCATGAGGGAACTCTGAGTTCAGTCTATCCACGATGGCGGTGATCGCCTGCAGGCGGTTCTCCTGCTTCTGAGTTTCTAGCTCTAGAGCTGCTGGTGTTTTACACAGCATGGTGTACTTGCCCTCCTTCACTTGCTGGTAGTACTTCATCTTCTGCTGACGAGCCAACAGCTCAGAGAGATTCTGAAATGTGAACAATGAAATTAACAGCTTTCTTGTGTGGGTTCCAAGGCTACATTTTGGAGTACAAAGAACAGATCCACTGCTCCCTTAACAAGTGTTTTGTAGGGGGTGACTAATTAAGGGTGTTTCCTTCCAAGTTGCAGTACATCTGCCTGAGAGGTGAGGAACCAACAGTCTTCTTCTTCTTCTTCTTCTTCTTCCGTTCGCCTGAAATAAGTTGTCTATATCAGCAGTTTTGTCTCTTGTATAAATTTCACTATCGTTGTTAGTTCATTCAGTGGTCCATAGAGTTTACGATCCACTGTTGTTCTTTCTGGCCAAAAGGTTTGCCTTAATTTGTCAAATTCGGTGCAGTCCTGGAGCACATGCTCTGCTGTCTGGGGCACATTTCCACAGGTGCACATGGCTGATACACCTATCTTGAATTTTGTGTACATGTGGTTATCTATTCGGTTGTGCCCTGTTCTGAGGCGGAGGATAATGACTTGTTCTGGTCTGTCCATAATAAAATAGTCGTCTTGTGCTGGGGCTGGTGGTTTCCTGATCGATTTAATGATTCTTTTCTTTTGGTGGTATGTGACTGGTACATCCGGCTGCTCTTTTGTCGCACCTTCCCCTGCCAGTTGATCAGCTTTGTCATTTCCAGGCACTCCACAATAAGACAGTATCCACTGCATTACGACACTTCGCTGAAGGCTGAGTTGTGTCAGCAGTGTACCAACAGTCTGTATACAAATAAGTCAGATCTGTAAAATGGATATGCAGGCAAAAATCAAGTTCTGGATCAAAACTAAAGTCCACAGTGGATGAACAATCAGAACTTTCTGTTAGAGTTTACAGCCAGGGAATGATAAAAAGGAAGCAATTAACAGCTATTTTATAATTAAACAAATTAGAAGTCTTTGGTAAATGAGAATTAAAATGTTTATGTATAGGCCGGGAAAAAATCATCGAAACAACCGACCAACATGATTAAAAAATAGCACTGTTTAATTCTTTTACGTCTACTAATGCACAGTTAACAAATATTAGGTACATCCATGTGCAGAAATATTTTATAATTAGTTCAAGGTTATATCAAATTATTCTCATTTTTTTGTTTTTAAAGTTACTTGCTTCATAAAAAAAATGCTTTCATTACACAAAGTAATTTGCGTATCTGAAAATGAATGACAGTCATGTTGTCAAGAATCAGGAAGAAGAAGGTTTGACTTCATCTTGGCATCTTCCACCCAGGATAATCAGCTAAATGTCCTGTTTTTCACCCTTATTCATGAAGTAAGAATATTTGAACTAACTTTTCAGGCGATCAAATTAGTAACCACGGAAATGAGATGTCTGAGAAGAGCTGCAGGAGTGACTAGAAGAGATACAATTAAGAGTGAGGTCATAAGGGAAAAGGTTAACACAGAACTAATTCTAAATTTAATACATAGTTGCTTCTTCTTCTTTCGTTCGCTTAACACAAAGTTGCAAATCAAATGGCTTGCCCACCTAGAGAGAATGCCTGGTGACGCCCTACCATACTAGGCATACACCTAAAGAGGAAAAGGATGTAGACTAAGAACAAGATGAAAGGATAACATCAGAGAAACTCTACAACAGTATGATGTGTTTATGGTCGAGGAGGTGGCCAGAAGAGCAAGAAGAAGGACCTTATATCTCCTTCAACACCCAAGACAGTAAAAAAAAAGGCTAAGAAGAGGAAGAATAAAAAACAGAAATAAACTCTACCTTTTGCTTCATTTCAAGACTCCTTTCTATATCTCCATCCAGAGTGTCTGAGATGCTCTGAAGCTGTTGACAATTGATCTGCTTCTCCTCCAGTTTTTCACTCAGACTTTGCTGGTGATCGCGTAGAGTTTGAATTTCATTGTCACATGCATTGGCTTCCTAGAGTGTTAATTATAATTTTATTTAATATACAGTGTATACAAAAGAAATAAACTTCCATAACTCAATATAAATTTACATGCTTACTTTAACCGATTATCAATTCCTTCAAAAGTTTACAGTGTCAGTGTTCTCCTTTTACAAACACACACATGCACACACATACACATACACACATACGCACATACGCACATACACACAAATGCATGCATGCATGCACATATATACAAACGCATGCACAAATACATATGTATGTATGTTTTTGGTTCATGTTTGTCATTCAGCAAAGAGACGGGTTATGTTTTTAAAATAATGTAGATTCAAATGTCTGGCCTTGATGGCAGTGAGTTCATGTAATGTTTGGTAGTCTAGTAGTCTGGCAGTCTTAGTTTCAGCTTCATAGCAAACGGGTCATCCCATCTTGGCTCCGCTCCTGTGCCAGCGAAAAACACACAGAATGTTTATCACAGTCCCTTGTGGAAAGATTGACAGACTGCTGTCTCAGCATAGCTAGCATACACTCACATTAAAGCATATGGTAGCCATCCGAAGTGCTAACACAAACAGTCCGACATTAGAAATGCAGTTCATCATTGATGGTAGCAGAAGTCACTAACAGATCAGCAGTTGCCCACGCGATCAATTTTAATCACATACGGGCACCACCAACATTGCACGACATGCATCGCGCCATTTTCTGAATCTACAATTCACAATACCAAGTTGGTCACAGTCGAAAAAACATTCCAAATGAAATCCGCAGCTCACAGTGTCACGCCATGCATTCAACTCAGAAGCTGGGTGACGAAACTATATCCAGTCTACAAATGGAGAAAAAATACATCGGCTACCGTCCAGCAGAAGCAAAAAATTTGCCTCGGTTTCGAACAGTGTCCCTGCAGGGCGTCCATTTTGACCGGCTTATGTAATGTTTATTTGGGCGGTTAGTATCTGTAATTAAGTTAAGGGGGGCAGTTAAGTTTTTGACATAGATTCTCGCATCGATGGTGTTGAGTGTGTGTAACAATTGTTAGTTTGTTTTCTGATTCATGTTGAAATTCTGAAAATGTGTTACAGGCATGTCATGATGTCAATCAGCATCAGTAGAGTCTTCCACTGCTCTCAGTTCTCAGCATTCAAAATGAGTTTGGAAATTCTTCATCCTGTTCATTCTTTAACTGTATTAGTTCAGTATTTTATCTACTTCCTAGTCCACTATTTGCCCTCAACTGTTTAACCTTTCCTGTTGCAGGCCTACTTTTGAGAGTGTAATGAAGTGTGGCATCATAAACCAAGCAACCGCTTGATAATTTACCACTAACAAAAATGGTTCTCCGAGGTCTGTATAAGTGCATTTAAAAGAGAATTGTCTAGCCAAAATTATTGCGCTAAATTAAGGGTTAAGCTTGGTAAATTAGAACTTTATTGAAAGTAACTTACATTTATAGTCTGCTTGATTTTTTTCCTCAGCTCTCCCATCTGTCTCTCAAAAGTCCCTTTTGTAACAGTTTTCTTCTTCAGTTTAGCCTGTGCATCACCCCTGGTCACAATTGTATCTCGCCTAATTGTAATAAAACAAATTATAATATAAACAATTTATTTCTAAATACCTTCCACTATTTTTAGTTAGTTGTGTATCCTTTACAGGACGTTGCAGAACCAAACCCAGCATTTTGTGCTTTTGTGGTTTTTCTAGGAAAATTTACGTCTAGTTTGCCATTGCTTTCTGGATGGTCGGCTTCTCAATTCCACTGTCGAAACCAATGCAAGACGCAAGGCCCGCAGCTGGGATCGAAATTGGCACCCCCGGAATTATGAAGAGCATTCGCAATGCCAAACCCACAGATGTCGACACGCTCTATTATATTATTCATAAATGCAAGCTGTGCAATTCTTGAAGTCAGAAAACATAAGATAGGTAAAAAAAAAAATAGAAAAACAGAGACCATTGCTTTTTCTTCTTCTCTTTCTCTAGTCACCTCAGTGAAGTGTTGATAGAAAATATAAAGATCTTCTGCGTGGTCTTACTTTTTCTTCTTGTTCACCAGCTGTAGACTGTGGCAAAGTAGGAAGTTAGGTATTTGTACCCCACCAGGACATCACACAAGCGATAAACACCCAGTGACACAAAGTGCCACCATGCGGATGAGGATCACCCGTGGAAAGGTCCCAGAAACCCCTTTCAGCCGTTAGGCCTTGTTTATGGCTATGCCATATTTATGCCCCAGCTATATTCAGGGCCCCCTGCAGAAGCCAGGGTGGGGCTTCAAAAAACAAAAAATTGCATCCCCAATAGGGACGACTATACACTGTAGCAAAAACTCCTTGTTGTTCACCCACGTCTGGACTTCAGCATTTTTTTCCAGGACATAAATGTTGCATGCAAATCTGTTTTACAGATCTGGCACACCATCTTAAAAGGAAACGTTGATCCCATCTATGTTGCTGAGACCCCCAGTTGGGAATCTGTTTCTAGGTCGGGTGCTAAAAACAGGTCTTGACCAGTATGAGCCACAGCCTGGGTGCACTGTGTGGTAGCGCACCTCTGCAGCCCTGTGTTCTTTCTAATGTGTTGTATCGGGTGGTCTTTGCTTCTTTGAGTTTATTCTTTAGTCCTTGTGTTCTGTGCTCAGTTTATTTCTTGAATGTGCTATTTGATAAGTAAAGTAAAGAAAAGATCCCTTTTCACACCTTTAGTCTCATCGAGCATATGGGAAGAGCACCCATATTTTTACAGACCAGTTGGCACTGGGTGGGTAATGTGGTCAGCATTACGCTGGCCGTCTTTACTTCCCCAGGACATCCATCCTGGTAAACATTTCAGGCTGGGCTGACCTGCGACACCCCATACCACGATAAAAATCCACACAGCCAGCAGTGGGTTTCAATCGCAGTACAGTGGAATTACGTGTCGGAATCGCAACGCCTAAGCCAGGGATGCCGCTGTGGTATTTGGTACAAGGACATTATTGTCAGTAGCCAAACAATTTCACTTGTTGTTCTTTAATGAATTGTATAAGTGATTTCAGTTCTAATCTGTTTCTAATTGTTAATTTCAAAATTAATCTTTCTTGTTACTCTGAAAGCTTTTCTAAGATACTGCATCTCTATTATTATGATTTTCCACTCATTAGTGGCAGTAAGTATTACATTCAGAGAGTGATAATACATACATGTGATAATCACTGGGATCATCAAACTAATCACTAATCTTCTTTTTTTTTAAATTTACAAACTGTCAACTCCGGTGGTAAGTTCTGGTTGTTCAACTACTTCTGGACTTTGTCTTGTTCCAGAACTTGAGTTTTGCATGCACATCTATTTTACAGATCTGGCTTATTTGAATGCAGACTGTTGGTTCCTTGCCTCTCAGGCATATGCACTCTGACTTTAAAAAAAAAACCTAGTCAGTCGCTTTTTATGACAAGTTATTAAGTGGAAAGGCAGTAGGTATATTCCTCCCCCCAAATATGGCCCTGAACTCGCATGGAAAAAATCGAGGATAATTCATGCTGTGGTTTTCTCATACCTTCCACACCCACACAAGAGATGTACATGTTATTTATATCCTTTTTGGGTAGCTTTCTTCTCCCAATGTTTGTATAGCATCACGGCTATTATATTTTGTGCAGTTTCCACTGTCTTGGGATCTTTAACATGTACAAGGGATCTCTTATTGTCTTGCCATCCTCTAAAAGGATTGGCATTTGCATAAATTAACTAATAAAAGGAGATAAAAGGTTTTTTACTAAATGTCTGATTCACAAGCAGACAAGGGACGCAGACCTTGATACAGCCTTTTCCATGTCCTGAATCATTCTCTCCTGCTGCTTCATCAGCTGAGTGTATCGAACTTGCATGCGGTGAATTTCTGACCTCATGGCCCGCATCTCACCTTGACCTACTTCATAGTCAACAGCGGCACGTGTCTCACGGGCTAGCTGTGTCTTTTTCTCCCACAACATGATCTGGCGTCTGTTGAGAAATTATACAGCATTTCTATTTCATGATTTCTGAATGCCACACTTGTCTACAGAGAATTACTACGGCTGGTTTGCAAATAATATTAAATCACCATCTGACATCTTATGAGAAACTGAAGAATATAATGAAATACTTTGTTGTCTTTGTTCTGTACATTCAAGATTTCTAAATGAAAATCTTTTTTCACGCCTATGGCGCATCAGGCATATGGGAAGAGCACCCATATTTTTTCAGACCAATCGGCACTAGCTGGGTAATGTGGTCAGCATTACGCCGGCCATCTTTACTTTCCCGGACATACATCCTGGTACCCATTTTAGACTACCTGCGACGCCCCCATACCACAACAAAAATCCATGCAGCCAGCTGTGGGTTTCGATAGCGGTATGTTGGAATCACGAGTCAGACTCGCAATGCCTAAGCCACGGACACCACCTAAGATTTCTAAATGCTAGATCATTTTATTTTCATTTGACTATGAACTCGCTGTCTGTCCCATAAGAGTCATTGTCTATGCTAAAATGTGGAGTTGAAACAAAAAAAATCAGCAGTTAACTTTGTTGAGAAAATAAATTTAATTTATGTGTACAAGAAAAAACATCCTCCAGTGTTTTTTGTGTGTAGAGGACTGATTGGTTGGTAGGTTGGTGAATTCCCCACAAGAACCCTGTAAAAAGGTGGTTAGTGAATTCTCTAGAAGAGCCATGGGAAAAGACGGTTGGTGAATCCTCTTCAAGAGCCCTGTGAAAAGACAAGTTATTTGATGAATCCTCTACAATAGCCTTGCAAAACTTTTGCTGATAAAATAAATATAATTTTGTGTGTGCAACAGAAGCATCCTACAGTATTTCTAGAGGACTAATGGCTGACTGTTGGCGTCTGTGGCTTAGGCATTGTGAACACGCTGCGTAATGCCAGAATGCCACGTTTGATCTCTGCTGCAGAAAATTTGTCTTGTGTTAGTTTAAACAGTGGTACAGAGAGCTGATCGTTCAGAAAGCAATGGCAAACTACTGAATGTAATGTAATTTGCCTAGAAAAATCACAACAGCTAATCAATGCTGGTGTTGGTTCTGTAACGTCCTGTAAAGGATATGCAACTAGCCTATGGCCAACTGCTGAATCCTCTACAAGAGCACTGTGAAAAGACTATTATATGAATAGGAAATCTGTGCACTTTCCTCCAGACCTATATTGAAGAGCTATCTTTGGAGTGATTTGTGTTGCAGAGCTCTATTTCCTTTTTCAAGCTCACAAACCAGCAGAATTGTAGGATCTGAACTAGAACTTCACATATAAGGAAAGATATTTAAGGGTATAACCAAGCCCTGATTCTGCACTGCTCATAAGAGATTAGGTCTGAGTTGGTCATGTTTCTTCCATGAGATTTTTCCAACAGACTCCAACTCTATACCAAGAAATTTTCTTCATTATGTCCAAAAAGATGTTGTTTGTCTGCTTAAAGACTTTAGTCTTGTTCCAGAACTTGAGTTTTGCATGCACATCAGTTTTACAGATGTAGATTATTTGTATGCAGACTGTTGGTTCTTTGCCTCTCAGGCAGATTCATATTGACTTTGGTCTCCTTCTCCTTTACGTCCTCTTTTATCGCTTTGGGTGTTGAGAGAGACATAAGGTCCTGCTTTTCTGGCTGCTTCGACCAAAGACACATTGTGGTACTGTAGTTTCTCTGATGTTATCCTTCCATCTTGTTCTAGGTTTACCTCTTGCTCTACGTTCCTCTACTCTTTTGGTATATGCCTTGATTGGTATAGCATCAGAAGGCATTCTCTTCAAGTTAAGTAAATACTTCTAATTAGTCAGTTGAGGATACATTTTCAATTAAATCGAGACATACTCAGCTTCCACAAGACTATTCAGTAGTCTTTCCTTCTCTTCTTTAATCTCTTCCAGCCGAGCTTGTAGCTGAATGGATTCCAGTTCAGCATCCTAGAAACACATAAATACAAATGTAAAGCTATATTTGTTAACTACTATGTGTATTTTAACTGTTTGCTACTTTCTTATTCTTGTTTCTTTCTTAAAAATTGTCAGAAGGTCAGTCTTCTTCTTTTCTCTAGTCCTTGAATGCCTTGCGGCATCAAGGCGAGACTTCTGACCAAGATGGCAAGGCGAGAGGAAGGCATGAGTAAGTTTTTAAAAAAAATGTTTTTACAAAAAAAGTGTAATGGACCTTTTTTATGCCACTGAAGCTTCGGGCTTATGATCATCATCAAGGTATTTTACAGAATGTCACTCTCATCATGGCATGTCTGAAAGCCTTTCTTTCTCTAGCCAATTCTCCAGCCCTATGTGCTTCCATAGCCAATGCCTTGTATCCACCCTCATAAAGGTCTGTCTCTGCCTCATTTTCCGCAGTTGTATCCTCCGTCAACATTCTCTCCAGGTCACAATGTTTAACATTGCCAGATTAACTCAGTTTTTGTGACAGAATGCTGTTTATGAACCAATCTCCTTGATGTTCTGATCATGTAGGACAGGGCTATTCAACTGGTGGCCCGCCAGGTTAACAAGTGGCCTGCTGGGGCTCGAGCCTCTGGCCCGTGACGATCCCCACTTTCAAAATTGTGGCCCTTTCTTCTTTCTTCTTTTGTTAAGGAAAGATATAAAACTGAACGAAAAGTATATAAGCAAGCTTCAACATATAATAAACACAAACAAGTCGTGAACATTGTGGCAATGGAGTCTTCATCAGCACATACACAAATTAGACAATACCACACAAATACACAATATCACTTCTTCTTTTGTTGTCTCACTGATACCAGGTTGCAGACCAGTGTCATGGTCTTCTGTATTTGTCTTGCGCTTCTAAGAAGGCTTGGGTGATGGATTTGTTCATCTTTTTGCAAGTTTCAGCTTCACCATTTATCCATCTCTTTCTTGGTCTTTCTTTCACCTTCTCCCAGATGTTCTGCTGTAAAAAGTCTTATATGCAGTCTGGTCTGGCTGCATTCTCACTAGATGGCTGAACCATCTCATTCTTTGTCAATATAAGCCAGACATGATCTTATTCCAACTTTCCAACTTTCTCTCTTATACTGATTTTCATAACCCTGTCTCTTCTTCTGTTGTTAGTGAGGCTCTGAGCAAACTTAGATGAATAGCCCTGATGTAGGATGTTTGTTTTTTTCTTCTACTTGATCCACAATATTCTAAGAACTTTTCTGTATTATTTCAATTTAAAGCTCTGATTTGTTTCTACAATGACCCTACAAACATAATACTGCAGACTCAGCTCCCACATGCATTAAATAAAGATTGTACAGTCCCCACAGTGTGCCTGTCAAACAGGACCACAAACACCTCAGCACATTCTGCACACCTGCCCACTCTACCTACAACTTCTAAAAGACACCTGGCTTCAAGAGCAAAGTGTGCAGAGCAGGCTATGGGGAACCATGGAGGACCTGCTACTGATATGCAAGTTCATAAAGACAAACCACCTGATGGTCTGATCTGAGCATCTGAAACTGAACGCAAAGAAGAAAAAGAAGTATCTTCAATGACAGAGTAGGAGTCAAAGACATTTATAATCTGCCATGATACTAGACTCAAACTTGTATAGACCAACTGGCACTGGACTGGAGATGTGGTCAGTATCCCACCAGCCAGCTGGATTTACAAGAATTTATCCTTGTACCTATCGATGGTCGGGTTAACCTAGGAGCCAAAATCAATTTTTATTTAAAACAACCCATGTGAATTTAAACCCAAAGTCTCTGAGACAGCAGGTGAGTGTCCAGCTGTTGTGAAACCAAATTAGCTCAATAACATGCTTTAATCACATCACACAGATACTTCTTCTTCTTGTTGCTATTATAATTCATGCCATGTGGGGTTGGTAGTCATGTTTATCTACAACCTTCTGTCTTGTGTACTTTCAATCAAATTTGACGCAGATGATTTTCCATGCCATGATGTCAAACTGTCCAGCATCTGCTGTCTTGGCCTCCCTCTACCTCTCCTCCACTCCAGCTTTCCTACTGTCATGATGTACTCCAGTTTTTCCTTCTCATCACAGGACCAAATAATGTAGACTGTCTCTTTCTGATGATGGCAATCAGTTCTCTTCGTGAGTCAGTTTCTTTCAACTTGTCTTCATTACACTTTATAACACTGCTGTTAGAATCTAAACATGCACAGACTCTGAAACTTGAAGATAGCAAATGTACTATCTCTCAAAGTCTCAAACTCTCAAAATCACAATGTCTCTTAGTTTCTATGCTAAAATAACTATAATCGTACACACGGATTATGGGGAGCCAATTTATTCTGAAGCATAACCAGAAACCTGAAAATAAGGACACACAACAATAAATAAGAATAGTGCAAAAGTCAACTACATATTATATTACTAATAAAACCCTTCCAAAAGTACTAATTTTACAGTTGAGTTATTTTCATACATTAAAATTTTTGTCAAATAATTTTTCTGGAGCCTCATTTGGTGGTTGGAGAGGTGGAAAAAAGGGTTGGGGGGGGGGGGGGTATCATGTACACACCTGTAACACTCTGCCCTGTAAATGAAGAGATTGACAGGCTGGCAAATGTAGATATAAGACTACCTCCGCTGACGGAGAGATAATCTATAATGAGGACTAGAAGCGTGAAAGAAGTCGTTACAAAACAAAGTGGGAATCTGAGCATCCAGATTATCAGAATCATGATGGCTGCTGCTAACTCCTTCAAAGTAAAGAAGCAGCCGTCTTCAGGCCTTGCCCAGTACTTAACATGCTGGAACACCACTTCTTAAATAGGCTGAAGATGCAAAATGCTGATGAATATAACAGTATAATTAGTAAAAGACAGCTAAACATTTGCTGCAACATTGTTCAACATATGCAGAACAGAGATCCAATTTTTGGCCAAGAGAAACACCGGTGCAAGCCAAACTTTACGGGTCGCTGTGTGAACTACAAAAGACGGTGAAGTTTATACTAGAGACAACACTGCAGATAGAGATAATCTATTTCAAGCAAACGAAAGAAGAAGAAGCAGAACAGAGATAATTATTTTGGGCCAAATCAGAATCTTCTGAGGACACGTTCTACAGAAAAAATCAACTTATTCGTATTCAATGTTGCATGTTTCAGACATATTAAGGTTCACACTTGGAGGCATACAAAGTAGAAGAATAATATACACACACTGAACTCTCACCTTAAGGCCAGAAATGAAAGCATTTTCCATGAGTATGTTTCCTTGTTCAAGCTCTTCCCCCACATTCTTTTCTTTATGAAGGATGGAGTTTAACTTGATGATATCGTTGCGCATATTGCGAATGTTGCGCTCAATGGTGGTGATTTCAGAACGCTGACCTTCAATTTCATCTGGAAATTATCAAGAAATTAATCTGTAATCATGGAGAATGTTCATGAATGTTTATCAAGGATTATTTCTTTACATACATTTCCTTTTTGCATTTCAGGTCATACATTTTTCTTCATATATCTAACTTCATAAATCTAACTTCATACATTTCATTTTATTCACTTCAATTTATAAGTTTCAATTAATAATTTTATTTCATAAATTTCACTTGATAATTAAACTGTATAAATCTTGCTTATGCATCTGTCTCAACACATCCCCCCCCCCCCCCCCCCAACATATTTCACTTCATACATTTAACAAAATCAGTAACTAATTTACTGGCCTCAAAACAGTTTCTCTGTGCACAAATGAAATGTCATCTCCTCTTCTATGTTTTCACATTGCAGTGGTAGAAATGCTTGCTTGGCCTAATGACACACGCTATTTTTTAAAGTAATTTTAGCTGTTGTTACAATTTCCTAAGTCGGGTCAAAGGACCCAGTCCAGAGACTAGACCATGTAGAGTAAGGACTATAGTTTTTTACACCAACTGGCCCTTGATGGGTGATGTGGTCAATAGTATACAGCCAGTTTTACTTCCCAGGGCATTTCTTGATACCCATTTTAAGGCTGGGTCAACCTGGAAGCCTAGGTCAATTATAAAAATTCACCTTTGTGCAGATTTAAACCCAAGACCTTCAGGCCGGCAGGCAACAATTATTAGATTTGAAAGATATACAACCTAAATTGTTGGCAGACTAATGAAGATTCTGTATTTACCCTAATGTCCTGAGAAGCTAAGAAAACTCAACTTCTGGTTAGGTCCAATCCTTGTAAATTTTACTTTTCCTACTTATCTATACAGACCTGTTTATGAGACAAATAGTTAATTAATGCTATTGGCTAGTTTAGCACCTACGCAAATGATTAGGTCAGGATATGAATACATTAACAAACAATAACTTTATAAAAGGAGGGGAGGGGGGGGGGGGTGGAAAGTGTTTCCTTTGAGCTAATAAGCTTTTTTTTTAGAGCTAAGCTGATGTCAGTCTCCCTAAGACTCAGTGATGGAGGTCACGGGGTCATAGTATGAGTCACCAACATATGTTGGGATTTTTAAAGCCCCGAGGGGGATGAATTCCATTGAATGCTTCACCCGGTTCGTATTTACTGATTACTCCTTTCATACATCTTTATACATTTAAAAAAAAATTTTTAATGATGATAAATAGACTTTACTAATTTATTACTGACCTGCGTTAATAAAAATGACACATTTTTTAAAGGATTATTTTCTCGAATTATAAGCGTGATCATTTAACCGGGACAAAAAGGTTAATTATTTAAAAAGCAATAGCAAATTACTGAACGTAAACATTGCCTATTGAAATCACAAACAGCCAAAAATGCTGGGTTTGGTTTTGCAACATCCGGTAAGGGATAAGTAACTAACTTTAAAAAAATTTATTTATGTCAAATAATAGTTGTGATTGTTAGATACACAATTTTTAAGGTTTGATCATCTGGAGCCACTGAGATAGTCTTTCACCCTACAGCTCAAATGACAAAGGAAATATTAAGTTTCCAACATAAAAGATGTGTTCTTCATTAATGTCCGATTGGTAAGCATTGCAAGAAATGGCTTATCTGCCGGCTGGAAGTGTGAAAGAAGTCATTACAAAATAAAATAGGAATTGGAGCCGGCTTATATTTATTAGAAACAAGCAGAAATTTAAGGAACAGACAAAAAAAAAAAAGACTGGTTTATGGTCTAAAATGAGTACCAGAAAATGTTATGGAAAGTAAAGGCAGCTGGTGTGGTGCTGACCCTATTACTCTTCAAGTGTGAGTCGGTGAACTGGTCTATAAATATTTGAGGTCCCCGTGTGGGTTCTGGGGCCCCATTGTGGGGAAAACAAGAATAGACTCACTGCCTCCCCAAAAGCATGTCGTAAGAGTCGACTAATTGGGGAGCTTCCTTTGAAGTCGGAGTGCATCTGCCGGAGAGGCAAGGAACCGACAGTCTGTATTAAAGAGAATGAGATCTGTAAAACTGATGCACACGCAACACTCAGGTTCTGGAGCAGGACTGCAGTTCAGTAGTGGACGAGCAACCAGAACCTTCCGCCAGAGTTTACAGCTAGTGAACGCGAAGAAGAAGAAGAATATTTGAGGTTGGAGTCAAAGCTTTTTTCTAGGGAAAAAAAGGGTCCTGGGTTTCACAGTATCTAAAATAACAGGTGTCGGTACTCAACACAAAGTGTTTATTACAGCTGCATTGAAAAAAATTATGCTTCCAAAAAAAAAAGGTACCGGTACTGTAACTGCAAGAAAAAAGCCCTGGGCTCGTACTATATACCCAATGTGCCTCTAGGTATGACAGGGATTCTTAATCTCTTTTTTTCTTAAGCAAAGAAAAACCTTTTCTCAAGTCTGTTTACTGAACACAGACAGGCAGGCAACTTACTCTCAGTCCTGATCTTCTTTTGTGAAATAATTGTCAGCTCTCTCTTGCAGGCGACTAATTGTTTGTTCTCCTCCTCCCTCTCCTCACAAAGCTTGACCAGGTTTGTCTGTTGCTTGAGCCAAATTTGTTGCAGTTCCAACACTTCTTGACTGCGTGCCTCAATAGCTTTGTTCAGATTATTGACTTGAATCTCTAGCGGCCCTAGCTCAACTCCCTGAAAAGTCAGGCAAATTTAATACAATTCACCATTTTAAACACACTTGTACAGGATAGGCATAAAAGAATCTGCTGCCTGTGATTGTGGAGCAGAAAGACAGACCCCTGAGCATATATTACAGTACTGCCCTAACCTCTCCCAGCAAAGACTGTGGATCTGGCCCAAGGGAGCCACATTGCTAGAGAAGCTATGGGGGACCGGTGGCGACCTTAAACGCACAATCCTATTTGTGACCCAGACGGGACTCAATGTTTAGCATGACTGATATCGAACGCAGAAGAAGAAGAAGGAGAAACCATTTTAAAGCTATGTTACACTTGTTTCATAAGCTCTATGGTGGATGGCATGAACAAATCAGTGGAGACTTGATTGAGGATTTGTAAAGCCTAAAGAGAATCCACTGGTTCATGATGTCAGGAACAGGATCTTCCTTTATACACATCATAATAGCCTTAACTTTCCCTGTATGTGACCAAAATCACCACACTATTCTTAAATGTTCAGTAATAACTTAACACTGTCTAGAATATGAATTCACTAGCAGAGTGTTTCAGGTTTGGTAGTCTACAGAACAATTTTAAGGAGACAATTATATTATACATAAGAAAAAAAGCCTCAACTTAAAATGCAAACTTTTTCTCGATTCTAATATTTATAAAAAATTATTCTGAGTCCTTCAATATTTCTATTAAAAATGATGGGGTCAATGCCAGACCTTGGAAAAAACAAAAAACAAAAACGAGAAGGAACTTTGGATCATAGCTAACTGAGAACTACTTCACTATAATATTCAGGATTCTTGCACTCACATTTGTAATCTTACAGCTATCTCTATGTTCATGCTTGGTGTAGTTGTCTCATTCATGCCACAGTTCTCTTCTATTGTTTTCCTCAAATGATGCCCTTTGTATGCCCAGCTGACCTTTACCTGGTGTTGTGGATCTGTCTGTGTAAATTGTGATATCTTCTGGGGGTTAATTCTGCTTTGTCTGTGCCCTTATCTCAAATGTCCATGGCAGTGGCAATATGTCCTCTGCAGTACCCCCTAAGTGTAATGACAACATAAAAGTGCCTATGCATGACTAAGATGTATATCAATCCAAGACAAAATCTAGCCAATGAAACTGTTTCCTCTTGTCTTTAAACACCTTTGTATATACACATGTCTTTATGTATAAATGAAATCTGTACATAACAAATAATTTATTGCCATTTCAAAACCTAAAATGACAGGATGAATGGGGTATATAACTACAAAAACCTTAACTATTTGAGTCCCAAAGAAAGCACGATGTGTGAATCAGCCTATTGGCTGAATCCCCTCCTCAACTTAATATGCTCTCTTACATTTGTATTTGGTCAGAACACACTCAAGAAATCTAGTATTCACAACTACTGTTATATTACCACTTTGACAGTAATTTGTTGGCAAATTTTAATCACACATATTTCTTCATTGGCATGTCCTACTAAACTTTCTTCTGGTACTAAAAGAATTAAGCATGTTGAGACAACTGGAAAGATTTAGAAGGCACTAAGAGAAGATTTTATTTTTTGACCGCCCGATTTTACAGTCACCAAAGGATGCCAAAATGTTGAAACACACGTGGCGATGCACCAAGACCAGAGTTCAAACTGGTCAACACCTATCTCCGCCTCTTTGTGATCATCCTAGAAGCAGGTTCCCTATTTGGAGCCTGACCAAACACAGGATCAGTATTCCCTTTAAAGTCAGAGCACAACTCTCTGAAAGTGAGGAACCATCTGGTTGCATACAGATAAGCTAGACCTGTAAAATAGATGTGCACCCAAAACTCAAGTCCTGGAACAATACCAGAGTCCAGAAGTGAATAACAACCATGACTTTTCACCAAAGTTTACAGCTGGTGAACGCGAAGAAGAACAAAAAGATCTAGCTGGCAAGGCATGTGATGATAATGACATACAAAAATAACAAAAAAAAACTAATATAAAAAATAACTTACACCTGCTGCTGCAATCAAAGACGTCAGCTTTTTATTGATAACATCCACTTGATTTTGTTTACGTTCAATAACTGCGTTCCTCTTGACAATCTCCACTTCACTTTTCGTGATGATTGCATTCTGCTCGCTAATGTTTGCGTCCAGGCCTGCCAGAATTTTTTTCAATTGCTCAATCCGAGTTCTGATGTTAACCGTTTCCAGCGAGGATGTAGCAATCAAATTTTCACTGTCAGCAATTTCTTGTTCCTGGACAAAGAAGACAATGAAATATTTTGATGCATAGAATTTTGAGAACCTTAAAACAGCACTTGGCAAACTGTTGTTGTGGTTTACTGCTAGGCTGCCTTCTAGCCCAACACATCCAATTTCAGCAAACTTTTAAATTCAGGGCTACTTAATTGGCAGTTTAAGGGCCAGCAAAGGCCTAGCAACCAGCCTGCAGATCATTGCCAGTTGTACAGTGTTAATGATATTTCTATGCTGAGGCTCTGGTCTGTGACGATATTCATTTTCATAATGTGTGACCTCTGAATAAATTTAGTTGAATAGCCCTGCCTTTATTAGTTGTCTTTCACAACATGCTGTTAATTCATTCGGTACTAAGTAAAGTCCCATGTGTTTATTGTTTTATATTTACACGATATGTTTTTCTTCACTCCCTGTGACCTGGCCAGCTGTTACATGAACCCACTGTGGCCCATCTGTCACTTTAATATCTTTTGTCTCAGGTATTAATGATTTAAAGAAAATAAAACCCACACATGCATTAGTAAAAGTAACAATTTTATAGGATAAGGCGAGTAAAAGTAACTTCCGACTCAAAGAGTAATGTTCTAAATTCTAGTCCAACAAATCTCAGACACAAACTGTATGAAAGAGTTGTACTGAAGTATAAGTAAAAAGTAGGTAAAGGACCCTTTTCCACGCCTTTAGGCGTATAGGGTATATAGGGCTAGACCTATATTTTATAGACCAATCGGTACAAGATGGGTGATGTGGTCAGCATCATGCTGGCCGCCTTTACTTCCCAGGACTGCACCCGGTACCCACTCAAGGCTGGGTCGACCTGGGAGCCAAACTCACAACCTTCCGATCCGTGGCGCATGTCTAGCCGCTCTGCCATGGCGACTCCCTCTACTGGAGTACCCAACAGCTACCATGTCAGTCCAGGGCAGCTGGAAAGGGTCATATTAACAATATAGCACTCTAAGCACAAGCTTAGGGCATCACAGGGTTCCCACCACATATGTTTTGAACGGCCTGGAGCTCAGCGTTCATTTTTTCTCAGCTGAAGTACGTTAAACAAGGCAGGGTGGATACCTTATCTCTATTAAGCACAGAATCAGATGTATTATATAAGATTAGTTCTGAGGATCTGATTTAGGAGTCTGTAATTAAAAGAAAAAAAAGTATCCCCGTGTGGGTTTCGGGGCCCTGTTATAGGAAAAACAAGAATAGACTCACTGCCTATCCAAAAGCATGGCGTAAGAGTCGACTAATTGAGAGCTTCCTTCAAAGTCGGAGTGCATCTGCCTGAGCGGCAAGAAACCAACAGTCTGCACACACATGAGTCAGATCTATCAAACGGATGCACACACATCAGTCAGGTTCTGGAACAGGACTGCAGTCCAGAAGTGAACAAATAACCAGAACTTTCCACCAGAGTTTACAGCTGGTGAACGCAATGAAGAAGAAAAGAAAAAAATTTGAGACAATTTTCAAAATATAAAGTAGAAGTATAAAAAATAGACATTATAGACATTATTTTCCATCGGTGTTGGGGGGGGAGGGGGGAGGGGACAAAATCAGGTAGGTCCTGGGAAGGTGGAGACACCAAAAACCTTTAAATGCTTAGGGCATTAAAGGGTTTTAATCCTGCCCTGCAGCTGGTGAGATTCTGACCACATCACCTACAAAGTGCCAGTTGGTCAATAAAAAATGTGAGTATAGCATCGTATACCAAACTTGCCACTGATCTAAACAGGGTCCTTTACTTACTTACTTACTTTGCTTATTTACCCTAGACCCAAAATGTCTCATGTGGTGAAAAGAGTACAACATTACAAACCTGCCCATAAACAGGCAGGTGTACTAGCCAGCGCACTCTCATGACTCTCACACATTCCCAATGGTTTGTCTTATTTCTGCTTCTTCTTCTTGTTCTTAGCTTTCCCCTGCTGTAAACTCTGGAAGAATGTTCTAGTTTTTCATCCACTTCTGGACTTTGGTCTTGTTCCAGAAAGTGTACCTCCAGTTTACAGACTGCTGGTTCCTCACCTCTCAGGCAGACAGACTATATTTGAAGGAAAACATCCCTAATAAGTTGATTTTTTTTGTTATGTTGATTGGTGAGGGCAGTGAATCTATCCCCCCCCCCCCCACCCTCCCCTTTCCAAAATAAGGCCTCAGAACCCACATGGGGAAGTCAAAGGAAATTAGAAGGTCTGAACCCAGAACAAGCAAACACCTTGGTCCTGTAACTTTTTAATTAATACTAACAAAATATTTAGTGCGCTCTCGTGTCTTAGTGGTCAATTTCTTGCTGTACTGGGAAGCCTTCTCAAGAGTTAGCTGTGTATTCCTGTAACTTTTTAATTAATACAAGCAAAATGTTTAGTGCGCTCTCGTGTCTTAGTGGTCAATTTCTTGCTGTACTGGGAAGCCTTCTCAAGGGTTAGCTGTGTATTCCTGTAACTTTTTAATTAATACTAACAAAATGTTTAGTGCGCTCTCGTGTCTTAGTGGTCAATTTCTTGCTGTACTGGGAAGCCTTCTCAAGGGTTAGCTGTGTATTCCTGTAACTTTTTAATTAATACAAACAAAATGTTTAGTGCGCTCTCGTGTCTTAGTGGTCAATTTCTTGCTGTACTGGGAAGCCTTCTCAAGAGTTAGCTGTGTATTCCTGTAACTTTTTAATTAATACTAACCAAATGTTTAGTGCGCTCTCGTGTCTTTGTGGTCAATTTCTTGCTGTACTGGGAAGCCTTCTCAAGGGTTAGCTGTGCTCGCATGCGGTCCATGATTTCATCTTCTAATTTTACCCTGGCTGCATATTCTTGTTCTATCAGTTTCCTCAAGGAAGTCACCTCAGCAATTCTCAAATTCTTGTCCTGAGAGGATTTTAATTGAAAAAACATGTTAAAAAAAATTAACTTTTATTTATACGTTTCCTCATTAATTATAAATTGTTATAACTGACACCTTAGGTAGTAAAGAGTACGGAGAGCTAGTGAGAGACAACGTTTCTTTCAGGTAGACTATGAGGAGAGTGATGTTATGGAAATGACCTGCTACATGATGATGATGACACAATGGTTATACTGGGATGATATAATGGTTATACTAGGATGATGTAATGGTTATACTAGGATGATGTAATGGTTACACCAGGATGATGTAATGGTTATACTAGGATGATGTAATGGTTACACTAGGATAATGTAATGGTTACACCAGGATGATGTAATGGTTACACTAGGATGATATAATGGTTACATAAGGATGATGTAATGGTTACATTAGGATCATGTAATGGTTACACCTGGATGATGTTATGGTTACACTAGGATCATGTAATGGTTACACCAGGATGATGTAATGGTTACACTAGGATGATGTGATGGTTACACCAGGATGATGTAATGGTTACACTAGGATCATGTAATGGTTACACCAGGATGATGTAATGGTCACACCAAGATGATGTAATGGTTAGACTAGGATCATGTAGTGGTTACACTAGGATCATGTAATGGTTACACTAGGATGATGTAATGGTTACACCAGGATGATGTAATGGTTACACTAGGATCATGTAATGGTTACACCATGATGATGTAATGGTTACACCAGTATGATGTAATGGTTACACTATGATGATGTAATGGTTACACTATGATGATGTAATGGTTACACTAGGATGGTCTAATGGATGAAGATAATTTTCTAATAATCCTCATCATCCTTAATAGTTCTATTCCATTCACTATGATCTCTTCATTTTTTACTCCAATTTATGATTTCAAAATAACATTTTTTTTTTGCTTAGGTTTTTTTTAAATGCATTTAACATTATCTCCTTACCTGAATTTCTTTTTACATTATTTAATGAAAACTCAATTACATTTAACAAACACTTTTAACTGCCAAAAACATTTGAAATTCTAATAGGTTTTCTAAGCTTAAAGTTAACAAAACACTAACACTGATTTTTGTGCCAGAAATGTATCATCAATACATTAACTACATGTATTCAGTTGAGATAAAGGAGACAGATTATCTTCTTCTTCTTCTTCGTGTTCACCAGCTGTAAACTCTGGTGGAAAGTTCTGGTTGTATGTCCACTTTTGTACTGCAGTCCTATTCCAGAACCTGAGTGTTACGTGTGCATCCATTTTACAGATCTGACTCATTTGTTTGCAGACTGCTGGTTCCTTGCCTCTCAGGCAGATGCACTCCGACTTCGAAGGAAGCACCCAATTAGTAGACTCTTACGACATGCTTTTGGTTAAACAGTGGGTCTATTCTTTTTTCCCCTATAACAGGGCCCCGGAAGCCACGCAGGGAAGACAGATTATAAATGCCATCTTTATTCCACCTTTAGGTAATCAGTGTCAGACTTAGGCATAAGCCAAAGAACACAGCAGAAAACACAAGAGAAAACCAACAACTTGGGAAATGATTGTTTGAGAAAGGCTGCTAACAAAGCCGGAAGAGATCGTGTGAGAAATAAAGAGATTAGAAACACCATTGGAGCAATACCCATCATTCAATTCAGTGATAAACAAAGACTGAAATGGTTCAGCAACCAAGCCTCCTCTCCTTTTCAGCAATTACTAGCTGTAAACTCTGGTTGAAATTTCTGATTGTTCATCCACTTCTGGACTCTCTTGCTCCAGGACTTAATTTTATTTTTTGGCGTGCGCATCCATTTTACATATCTGGCTTATTGGTATTGCCTCTCATGAAGATGTAGTCTGACTTTGAAGGAGAACATCTAGTTAGAATAAATCTCATGATGCTGGCAGCAAGACTGTACAGCATGAAAACGGAAACCTTAAGAAGCAAAGGGAGACTGAGAAGAAGGTGGATTGAGGAAGTCACTGCCAGTTTGAGATTTCCCAACATCAAAGCACACCAAGCAACCTAGCACAGTCTGGATCGGCTATGTCTCATCAGTTAAACTGCGACAACTAGCAGCACACAGCTGATATAAACAACATAAATAAATATACAGTTGAACACTGAGTTCTTTCAAAGCTAGACTGCGTCTGCCCAAAGGGTGAGCAACCAATATAAATAAGCCAGATCTGCAAAACAGATGCATATGCACTTTTAAAGTTCTGGAACAATACTGAAATCTAGAAGTTGACGAACAACCAACATTTTCTGCCGGAGTTTACAGCTGGTGAACACCAAGAAGAAGAAGAAGTTGTATATAGAATTTTTACTAAAACAGATTTAGGCTTAACTTTCTCTAACACTTTCTTTCCCTGTGAGTCTCCACCCCATTTTTATACTCTCTCTCTCTCACCCCCCCCCCTCTCTCTCTCACCTTCTTCCTGCCATTATTTATACCTTTTCTGACATTCTCTATTTCTACTTTTCACTCTCCCTCCTTCTTTCAATCTCTTCTCTCTCTCTATTTCCCTGACCAGCTTTAATCCTCCCTTCCCCTTCCCCCCAGCTTTTCTATTTTTCCCGTCCTCTGACAATCCCTTTACTTCCCTCTCTTTCACTGGCCTGTTTGGCTTAAATAATGGTGTCAAACTCACCAAACTGCATATGAGACTTTTCACAGCAGAACATCTGGGAGGAAGGTGAGGGGAGGACCAATAAAGAGAGGGATAAATGGTGTAGCAGAAACATGCAAAAAAGTGAACAAATCTATTACCCAAGCCACCCGAGAAGGGCCAGACAAATACAGAAAACCAAGACACTGGGCTACAACCTGGTATCAGTGAGACAAGAAAAGAAGAAGAAAAAGAAACTCACCGCCAGAGCTCTATTGAGAGCCTGTTCAGTCTCGTACAGCATTCGGCTGTATAAGTTGTACTCAACCTTTAGTGCTTCATGTTTTGCTTGAACCTGAAAATTCAAAGCATAAATTAATTCACAAACCAAAGACAATAAAAACTCTTATCTTCTGATAGCTCTTCTGATTTCTTTTGTGTATTTCCTATATGCATGGCTATTTGTTTCTGTACCTACTTCCTTTAAATTTCTTCTTTCTTCTATCAGCTTGAAAGTTTTTTTCTGTAATGTAAATCTGTTTCTTGTGTCGTTTTTTAGGAATCATGTTCTGAGCTGTTGTGATGATGATATTTCTACTTATAAAGAATTTTTTTTTTAAAGTAAAGGTCTCTTTTCCACGCCTTTAGGTGTATAGGGCATATAGGGCTAGACCTATATTTTTATAGACCAATCAGCACAAGATGGGTGGTGTGGTCAACATCACGTTGGCCGCCTTTACTTCCCCGGACTACACCCGGTACCCACTCAAGGCTGGGTCTACCTGGGAGTCAAGGTCATTTTTGAAAAAAAAAGTCCGGCTCCGCCAAGGAGTGAACCCACAACCTTCCGATCCGCACGAGAGCGTCTAGCCTCTTCGCCACAGCGACTTCCTTAAAAGTAAAGTAAATGAATAATCAATGGGATGCAAAGTTGCTGAAGCACTTGTGGTGGTGTAGGAAGACCAGGGCTCATACTGGTCAAGGCCATACTGCACCTCTCTGTGGTCTTTCTATAAACAGTTTCCCAACTCGGAGCCTAATAAACTACAAACATTCATTAACTGGTGCCTGCACAGAGCAGAGGGAATTAAATCATATGACAGAATCACTGTTGTAGAGCTTTGGGAGAGAGCTAAATATGTTCCAGTGTGGACTAAGCTGAAATAGTTTGGTCATAACAAGCGCTACGACGGATTGGAAAAAAATTATAGCAGAAGGCATGGTACCATGAAGGAGGGACAGGGGCCGACCGACCGACATGAAGATAGGCACAGATAGAAGTGACTCCTTGAGTATTAAAGTACATGAGGCGGGAGAACTGATGAGAGACTGAGTTTCTTTCAGGCAGACCGTGATGAGAGCGAAGTTCTGCAAAGGACCTGCTACATTATGATGTGTGGACTAAGAGATGAAAAAAGACGCTGGCTTTGGATAGGACACACAGTGAGAAAATCTGAGAACAATATAACTAGAATGTCTTTGCACTGGATCCCACAGGGGTATAGAAATAAAGGAAAATTTAAAAAAATAGAAAACATGGAGAAGGGAGCAAGAGATTAAAGTGAAAAAAAAAGATGGGGGGAGGACATGGGAAGAGCTGCATGCGATAGCGAAGGACAGAACAAGTTGGCTTGAGCTGGTTGAGGGCGTTAACTACTTGAGGGCCTATGCTTCACGGAGGGTTAGAAAGGTAGAAGAAGAACTGGAAGCATGCCCAACATGGATAGGATTGACATTTCCTTCCAAGTCAAGGTGCATTTGTCTGAGAGGCAAGGGACCAATAGTCTGCACACTAATAAGCAAGACAAAAGTCCGGAAGTAAATGAACAACCAGGACTTTCTGCCAGAGTTTAGATACAGGCGGTTTCTTTATTCAGATAATATCATTAGAATGAATAAATAAGCATTAGTCAAACCTGGGCCATGTGTTTTTTAGCCCATTCGATTTCTCTTTCAGTTTTGCCGAGGATGAGTGTGAGCTTCTCATTTTGCTCCTGCTCCCGAAGAATGGATTTCTTGTATCCTTCAATCTCTCTTACTTGAGACAGGATATGCTGCTCTTGTTGTCTGCAGGTACAGAAACAGAAATATAAGTTTAAGTCAAGGGAACAGGAACCTGGGAACTCAGACCATATGTCCCCCCGCCTCTCCCACAATATAGGTGAAAGGGGCCCCTAAAGCTCCTATCCCCATCCTTCTGTAAGAATGCTAAACAGCCCCTTCTAACTATGTACAGAACATTTCTTCAAAAGTATTGGATTATATATTTTGTATTATTTCAAATTAATTTAATATTTTTTTAAACCATCCATTATAGTGCTATTATTATTATGCTCTTAAACTAGGATTAGCCACTTGATGCTCCCTCCCTTTTGCTTAGATAATATGTATGGTCAGGGGGAAGAATCAGGGTGAGGGTGGGGGGGAGGGGCGAGGGGGAGCAAAATTGACTGGGTCAAGCACACCGAGTAGTCTTCTTCTTTGTTCACCGGCTAAAAGTTCTGGTTGTTTGCCCACTTCTGGACCTTACTCTTGTTCCAGAACTTGAGTTTTGCATGCACATCCATTTTAAGCCTACAGTAGCGACTCCATAGTCAACTGCTGCCATTTTGAGACTTCATATGCCACTCATACACTTGCTGGATTGAAAGGCATGCATCATCTTAATTCGCTGATGAATTTCTATTAGTTTTGCTCTTCAAAATGGGCAGCCATTTTAAAACTGTCATTATGATGTCACCATGTTCGTCTGGGAACTGTGATGTCAAGTGCCTAACATTCTTGGCATTCCTAACATTAATACTGACAGGCTGCAAGACAATGGCATGGTTGTTGTAATTTCTATAACACTTTTAACGTTTTCATTTGAAGCTACCTCAGATTATTCATTGTATCATTACTGTATTACTGAACTTTCACCTGTCTGACAAAGTAAAGTCAAGGACCTTTCTCCATGCCTTCAGGCATACTGGGCTAGACCTATATTTTATAGACCAATCAGCACTAAATGGGTGATGTCAACATCACACGAGCTGCCTTTACTTCCCAAAACTTTACCTGATACCCGAGCACAAGTCCCAGAAACCCTGTTCAACCATTATTAGGGCTCTGGACAACAGCCAGGAAGGGGCTTTCGTAATCACAAAAAATTGTGCCCCGTATGGGATTGTGGAAATTACTGTTAACATAAAATATTGCTATGGAGAGGATTAACTTCTTCCCTGGCCTTAAGTGGTAGTGCCATGGGCTGTGATTCCCATGCCTTCACAGAGCACAATGAAACACTTATCTTCTTGAAGGTGCCAACAATGAAAGAAACAGCACACTCAGAAAATCTGGCATCTCTAGTGGTCACTTCCACTGCAATATTTAGCCTTTTTGAAATAATACACTGATTATTTTTTTCACAGTAGTTATTTACCTCCTGAAGAAACTGCTGCAAACCTTGTGAGACTAAAGGAGTTAACTTACTCTAATGCTATTTGCATTGCTGAGTGAGCTTCATCTCTGCGCCTCATCCCAATTAGTGAGCTGTTCCACTTGTGATACAGTTCCTTCTTCTCCATATCAATAGCCTATGAAGACAGATGATCCATATCATTTAGATAATGACTAGCCAGAAAAGAAATTTAAAAAAAATAAAAATTGTTTATCCAGATTCAACCCTGTTGGCTTGAGAAGTAGCAAAACCGAGACTTCTGGTTTGTCAAAATCCAAATGGCTTGTTCAACCCTCTCATCCGCAGGAATACTAAAAAAATCAGTCATGACCCAGCTGGAATTCTAGAAAATATCCTTTAAAACAATGCAACAATTTTTCACATGGTTCATGTTAGAAATCATCTTCATCGCACATGAGGATAAATGCTCTGATCCCCCCTCCCCTGAGTATGTCTGTAAGTGTTTTTAGGCTAACAACTCCCATTCTGTTCTGGTTGATGTAACGCCGGGTGGCTCCCGCATGGTTTTCCTGTCTTGCGGCTCCAATTGGTACACCCATAGTATGCAGTCTATTGACTGAAAAATTATTTTCCATGAAACTGAAAGCCTCATAACATTTAGTCCCTAGTATGGCATTGATGTCTCTCCTGTCCATAGAGAGCCCCGTCTTGATAGTCGCACTGCCAGCCAAAGAGTCTGCTCTCTCATTGCCTTTCACATCAGCATACTCTGGGACAAAAATGAAGGTGATTTTTGCAAAATATTTTGTGCTGAATCTGATGGAACCACTGTTTCCATTTGTACCCCGCCTTTAAACAGGTCATTAATAAATTTATTACAAAGTTATTTATAAAAATCTTTTTTCTCTGAAATTTTAAGAGATATGTAAAGGGAGTAATCAATAAAAACAAACAGGAATGTTGAATGTTGAATTAAGAATCCACATCACAGCACTTGGGACACTCCAAAAACAAACATAAACAGGATAAAAAACTAAATGGAAAATATTATCTGGGGGTCTAAAAAACATTTATTATGTCGTGAGCCTGGTACCTCTATCACTGAGGCTTCAAGATAAATTTGACGTCGACTTGGCTTTAAAAAAAATTATTTGGCTCAAAGGAAAATCCCCTTAAATGGTATTTTTAGTTAATGCATTCATATTTTGACAATGAGTAGTGCAAAGGTGGGCAAAGGATAATGAAGGCATCTTAGGATGAAAATACATGAGACAGCGGATTTGGCAAGGGACCATGAGACTTTCAGGTGAGAAGCAGATGATCAAATGGTTCATTCATCTCGCTAGACCACAACAACTACCAACACAGACAACATCTAAAAAGCTCTAGCAAGAAAACAAAAGGGTGCCTAAGAAGAAGATGGACTAATGATTCAAAGACATTTTTCATCGACATGGAAAAACAATATCTAGTGATATCCATCGAGCAGAGGATCACAAACTGTTTCTCTCCCATACCGTTTAATGACAAATGTGGAAATGGATGATGATGAGGATAAGAGAGTAGCCGGAAAGGCTAACTTGGACAACAAATGCCTGCAGAAGTCAGTGTCACAGCTGAAAGGCACAAATACTGCAGCCATGTTGAAAACGGCCATAATGAATGGAGGCAGAAGACAACGATGAGAGGGTAGTAACATTGTAAAAGAGATCTGCTGCATGATGATGATAACTATATACTCAGATTGCCATACTGCATCGTCATATGAATGCTGAAGAAGTAGATATTCCCAGATCTTCTGCCACTTTCTGGATCTAAATAAATATTTCCAGTTACAACTCATTCTGGATATAGTACCACACTGACTGATCTTTTAATATATTTTGCCTTCAATATCATGGATTTGAACATGTGATCTTCAAGCCAGAAGACAATTTCAAAGCCAGGTGACCACTTTACAATTCTAAACCTGACAAGAGATTTAAAACAACTAGGCTGAAAGGCATGTGTACAATCTAACATGCCACCTTGGCTCTTGCGACTGATGTGAATACCTCAATTTCCATATATGCCTCCATGAGACTCTCTTTGGCTGCTTTTGTCTCCTCTGATTGAGCAGTGATCTGTGCAACATACATGGCAATTTCTTCCTTCAGCTTGTCCACTTTCTCTACAAGACGATCAACATACAGATCCTGGAAATATAAAGTCAAAAATTAGTAAAATCAAATAATGTGTTGAGTAAACTAACAACAAAACCAGTAAGCCTACAGCAGTATCTGATATGGGGAGTATCTTTTATGAAACCTTCATTAACCCTGTAATACCATTAGGATGGTTTGAAAACCTGTGAAATGGCTAACCCCTAACTCTTTAAATATAAGAAATTTTTTGTTTGAATCTCATTTATCACTCAATGTGTTTCTTCACTTTAAAAAATTCTCCACTAATTGCACATTACTTTTAACAAACCATACACATAATAAACCAACAATTTCACACCACAAATGAAAGGTCTTTTTTGTAACCACATTATATTATGATGTGCAATATAAAGTGTGAAAATTGTTTTAATTGTCACATAGACATAAATCACCCCTTTACCTGTTTTTGTTTTGCTATTTCTGCACGAGCCACTTCTGATTCTACTTTTCCTGCAGCTTGCTTCATGACAGCAATGTCAGACCTCACATCTTTCTTTGCATTTTCCATGTAGAAAAGTTTTAAAGCAAGATTCTCTACTTCCGTCTGAAGTTCTGACCCTGTTATATTATTCAAGAAATTAGTTTGCGTATAAATATTCAATGTACATTGTTCATTTTAAAGAGCATCTTCATTGCACATGAGACATAACCATAAGTGCACCCTCTCCTTCTGCGTATGTGTCTAAGTGTAGGCTAACAACTCCCATTCTGTTTTGGTTGATGTAAAGACGGGTGGCTCCCACATTGTTTTACTGTCTCATAATAAATATTTAGTCAATACATATTCAGTCAATACTGTGTGCAAAGTTTTTATTTTCTTCTCTCTCCATCCCATCTTGTTTTCTATAGACTATTCCTAGTCTGCATTTTCCGGGCAAGAGTGTGAAGTAGCAGTATTAGTCAAATATTTAGGATGTACAATAAATGATAACTGCATAATAACAGAACAAAGAGCCAGACTGGCCAGACTGACAACTTGTTTATACTTTCCGTCCTTTTTAGGATGAAACTTTTCGTTATTTGAAGCCCTACTCTGGCTCTTGCCAGGGGCCGCAATATAGCCTGGCCATAAATATGGCCTAAAGACTGAACGTGGTTTCTGGGACCTCTCCACGGTGATCCTCACCTGCATGGTGGCACATTGTGCCATCGAGTGTTTATCGCTTATGTGACTGACTGACAACAGTTCTAGCCAAGTAATTTCAGTCAATTAATCTGCGTGTGTTGTGTTTCGTGCTGTTGTTCTGCTGATAAAGATTAATCACTGCAACAGACTCTGTATGTTTATTCAAGTGGTTTTGGTTGAAACTGAACTACACCTTAGGCTTTCCTTACCATTTTCTATCTTTTCTCTTCTCTAGCATTTGCATTTCATTTTTTAGATCCTTTTAAGAAAATCAAAGCAACTGCCTGTGCTTTCTACACAACAGGGCCCCAGAGCATGTGACTTTGGTGAAGTGCCAACTACGTGCTGTTGCAGACAGCAAGATGTGAAAAGTGTGGAAAAAAAAAAACTGGCCAGTCAAGACATTTGATAACTAGATGAGTTCACAGCAGCTGGTGCTAACCTTTCTTTCTTTCCTTGTTGACAATGATTTGTGAATCCTTGTACAGAGCTCTGACACCACTGAGTTCATTTTCTTGTTTCTGTCGTGTTTGTTTCAGTTGTGCCACCTGGTCGTGTTTCTGTTCTAGCATCATCTGAAAAAAAAAGATATCATTAACACAAGGAGGGAGTAAATGAGGAAGGTGTGAGAAGGGGATCGGGGTGGGGGGGGGGGGGGGGGGGGGGGGAGGGGTGTGAGGAGGAAAATAAAATATGTAAAAAAAAAATTTTTCAACGCTCCCCTCTGGGATTTGCTTCTTCTTTTGTCTTACTGCTTATGCCTCACAGAGAAGAAAGATATAGTGTCCTGTCTTTTGCTAGTTGCCTAGCATGTGTTATGTGAATGAGGAGGAAAAGAAAATATGTACAAATAAAAACATTTCCCTCTGGAAATTTGCTTCATCTTTTTGTCTTACTGCTTATGCCTCACAGAGAGAAGAGATATAGTGTCCTGTCTTTTGCTAGTTGCCTAGCATGTGTTAATGTTATACTGCATTTCATTTGTGTTGTCTTTCTTTTATGCCTTTTACAGATTTCTTTCTTGGTCGGCCTCTTGCCTTGTAGCCTGTTGTTCTCCTGTAGTACACTCTAGCTGCTGGATGATTTTGTTCCATTCTGTCCAGATGACCAAACAAATGGATTCTTTTGTTCTGTAAAATCATTTACTGGTTCTGTGCCTGCCATTGCTTTTAGTTCTTAATTGGTGACTGTGGTCTCTTCTTGTTGTTCTTATATATCTTGTCTCACATGTTCTAATCTTAAGTTTTTGTTGTCTAGGACTGTCCATGTCTGGCACTGATAGCACAAAGTTGGCACAAATAGTATGTTTATCAGCTGCTTCTTTGTGTGCAGGCTGAAACTGTGATGCCACAACATTCCTCCAGGATTACAGCCTGAAAGAATGATACCCAGTGACAGGATTGCAGCCTGAAAGAATGACACCCAGTGACAGGATTGCAGCCTGAAAGAATGACACCCAGTGACAGGATTACAGCCTGAAAGAATGACACCCGGTGACAGGATTGAAGCCTGAAAGAGTTCCAAGCAATAACATAGACAGCCACTTTTTAGATGTAAATCATACAGGCGGAAGCCTACGGTACCTTGTTCAAAAAAACAACAACAACAACAAAGAGTTATATTTAGACACCCTACAGTTAGCTTGTAACCTGCAATCTTATGGGGTGGGTAGATATCGGTAAAAGAAGATGAAAAAAAAAAAAATCAAATAAAGAAGAGAGCTTTCTAACACTGTTTCTTCTGTTTATTGATTAAATATAAGATTTCATAAAAAGATGGTATACCATTTTGACTGTTCCCTGACAAAATAAATGCATAGATGCAGGCTGGCACTTGTAAATGTAGAGGAATGCAGATAGGGGACATACTTAACAACATAATTTAAATCTATAGTGACAATACCATGACAAAAGCACCTGACTGTAGGAACAAATTTACTTCATCATATGTCCGCTACACATCACTAATAAGATGTTATCCAAACCAGCAAATATGAGATATGGACAGAATTTGTACCTAGCCATGAGTCCGTTTTCTATCCATTATATCGCAAACACTGTACATAGTTTATGAGTTGGATAATGAGGGGGCAATACTTTCTGAATAACCCTTAGACACTATTTTACATTTCGTCCTAATATGGTCCCCGTGTGGGTTCCAGAGATTCATTGTTGGGGGTGGGGGGAATAGACCCACTGTCTTCCTAAGAAGCATATTGTATGAGCTGACTAATTAGGGATTTTCCTTATAAGTTGGAGTGCATCTGCCCTAGAGGTGAAGAACCAACAGTCCGCATACAAATAAGCCATATCTGTAAAACTGATGTGCACACAAACCTGAAGTTATGGAACAAAAATAGTCCAGAAGTGGATGCACAACTAGAACTTTCTACCAGAATTTACAGCCAGTGAATGGGGAAAAAGAAGAAGGTACTAATGTGGTTACTTTATTTCTAGCTGTTGGTGAAACTGTGGCAAGGACTTGGAGAGGTCAGACTATGAAGTATCTAGGTATAAAATCTGATAGATGCTTATTATTTAAAGAGCACAGAGAAACTATTATCAAAGCTAACAAAGGTCTATTGGTAATCAAAGTCATGACTGCTACGAACTTCAAACTACGGCTGCTTGTAATGCTATACCAGGAATTAAACCTCTCCACAACTGAGTATGCACTAACCATCTTGACACTTAGGGCCACACAGATAAACAGACCGGAACAAACTGAAAATGAGGCAATGCATGTTATTCTCAGGTGCACTATGGAAACCTCCTGCCAACTGACGTGATAGCTGTTAGATTTCTCACAGTGAACAATAGAATCAAACTTTCCAGGGCCTCCAATTTCCACAAGCTGAAATCAAACCAGCAACACCCACTCCATGGCAATGTATTCCTGCCAAAACAAAACTGACTTATAAGAGGCATGGGTCATGCCAAGGATGCAGCCAGAGAACAGATCCCTAGCATTGTGGATACTTTAGTCAAAATGTTGGATTGATGAGTACACAGATGTCAATAATGCTGTGGGTTTACAAGGATAGATCAGTCACCTGGGGCAAGTGAAGTGCAGGGACATTCACGGTGAGTGCAAAGGAAGAAACCCTTAAAGAGATGAGTGGTGCCTTTGCTGTTATAACCAGCAACCTCACAATGGAGATCATGGCTGTAACAAGGACTAGGTACTCAAGAATTCCCATGTGTGCATTCTGAGCGATTCAAAGAATGTGTACCAAAAAAAAATCTAGGCCAGCTTCATGGACATGCATGGATTCCCTCATTAAATACATCATGAAAAAATTTTCCTAACCTTATCTTTATACTGGGTCTATGCAGGTGTTCAAGGCAATGAACATGCAGATGTATCTTGCAGACAAGGTGGTTACCACAATGGCCTGGCACTGAACCGGAGTGATGACATTAATGCCATGTGAGCTGCATTTCACAAAGAAGATCATGACAAGCAGCAGGACTCAGTATCCTTGTCCAGGTTGAAAGACATGGGGTACAACCTCAAGTAGCCAGATATGAACAATTCACCACAGGCACAGGGCGTCTAGTTAATCAACACAGAATGGATGTGATATGTTGTTTTATTCTTGTGGAGGAGATCAAAGCTCCTATGGATCTGTCCAAAGTGCTGTGAAGATAGTTGTCACTAATCACTATACATTTGCTACAAACTTATTTTTGCCTTTTATACATTTTCCGATACAAAAATAAGCAGAGCTAAAATATACCTGACCTAACCTGAAATCTTGCAAGCTCTTGCTGAATGCCATACAGCTCAACACCCACATCTTCACGCTCTTTTTTCTTCATTCTCAGAGATTCCTCCTGCACAAAAAAAGAAGACAGTTGATTGCTGTCAAAATAGCATCTATTTTCTGCAACATAGACTTGATACTCATAAGATGAGAGTAGTAGCCGTTTTACAAGTTTTTTTTTTTTTAAAGGTAATTTTAAGATTAATAGAAAAACTACAATGCATTTGTTTCAAATACTTATATTTTAAATTAAGAATGTTGTTGATTTAAATAAATTAGGTAATGGGTTTTTCTGTTGGGGACAAAAATAAAATACTAACTTGCAGTCTGTGATGACAGCATTAACCACATGGCTCTAAATACCCATAGTCAAGTACCTCCACCTACAGGGCAAAAGTGCTCAATGCAGGCAGTGACAGCTGGTTTTTAATTATTTTTTAATATAATTTTTGTTTGGCAGCTAATTTAAAAGAATTAATATCATTTGGTCACAATCTGTGACCATATTTTATTGCACACAAAAATTAGCCTAACTTTAACCTTACCAACTCCATTTACAATGTTGCAACAATTTGTAATGTATTTCCTTAACCTGACATGTGTATACATGAATGGATAATAAAGTAATAGTTTTTGATAAGTTTTAAATAACTGGTCTGATTAACTGCATTTCTTTCTCTCACCTGTTTGTGTATTTTTTCATATAAAGCAAACAACATGACTGCAGCTGTATTATGAGCAGTACAACTGATGTTAAAGTTAGGCACTTTATGTTTACATTTTTTTTTTTTTTTTGTGGGGGGGGGGGGGGGGGAGGGGGGGGGGGGGGGGAAATCAGTATTATCCTTATCACATGTTGTGCTGAAAAGTGTTGACTGCCATGTTTCGCCATCCCAGATCAGCAGAATCACAGATCAGGTCAGTGTTTTTATTTTGCTCCATCCATATGGCCAAGCCATCCAGGTATTTACCTCTCTGCTTTCCTCCATCCTCTTTTTCCACCTATCTTGCCAGTTGTTATCAAGTTCTCATAGTCCATTGCTAACATGCTTGTTAGGAATCCACGGTTGTAAATTCAGTTTTGGAGTTTATTGTTCAGTTCACAAGTTCAGGGATCCATAGGGGTCATCACAGGAGCTACAGAATTCTGAGCTTTCTGTGATACTCAAGGGGAAAAAAATAGTTCAAATTTGAGGCAACAAATTTAAATAATTTCTAGAACATACCAAATCTCTCAGTTCCAGAGCAATTTTCTCATTTTGCTTGGTTAAATGTGCATTCAAGGCAGCTTGGAATCTTTTCATCAAGGGCTGTGGAAAAAGAAAACAAGAATAAAAAACAGCATATGTTACTATGATTTTCGTACATTTCGTTCAGTTCTTGCTTTTCTCCTGTAGGGGTTTAAATGGAACTAATGGTCTTGACGTATTTTAGCGTAACTGGACATCATCATTATATTGATGTTCCATTATATATGTATAGGGTTAGCAATCTATTCTTCCATTACATTATGTCCTGTAGAATTCCTCTGATATCGTGGATGGAGTCAAATAAAAGTCCAGCACCTTTGACCTGACTTATCAACATTCGTTTTAGGGTTTCTTTTTGATGTTCTCGCTTCCTAAATCCCTTTATTTCTCATTTTAGTGCTTGACGATCGTCTACTCTTTTCTTTTCAGGATGTGTCTAATATAGCACCATCTTCTTTGTGTTATACCCGTTGGTACCAGTTGTTGCCTAGACATTTATCTTATTTCTTCACCCCCTCCTGAATTCATCCCATTTCATCTAAATGGACAATCACTGTCTTTAACCTTCAAGTTAAAAGCCAGATCACTAAGGTTAATAACAGAATATGCATATATTCCATGCATGAATAGGCGAACAAACACATACACAAAACAATAAACATCATTCATAGGGGGAAAAAACAACCATGCAGTTAATTGCTGAAAACAGAACTCTTATACAGGAGAATTTCAGTGCAATGCACGTGGCTCTGTAGTATCTATGAAAATTCTGCAGACATCTAAACCACAGAAACTCACTCCAAATTATTATTTTTAATTTTTTGTTTAATAAAAAAAAAAAAAAATCAATTTACTGTGGTAAACTAACTACTGCTGCAAACTACTTGCCGCCAGGTCACCATCTTGCGTGATGCCAACCAGACTTACTCAGGGGGAGATCGGAGCACTTATGGTCATAACTGATGTGTGATGAAGATGATTTTTAAATGAACGATGAAATTAGAAAAGCTCTCAACCTCCTTGTGACATCCCCAGCAAAAGTTGAAAGTAATTGAAGCCAAAATAATTGCTCAAACTTACTTATTATATCAATTATTTAGCATAATCTAGGGAAAGTGAAGAATTACCAACAGATCAGACAGAAAGTATGTGGTGAGGCTATCAAAGAGAGAGGTTATGAAAATTAAATAGACCAAGAAAAACGGCCAAGAAAATAATAACTATCATTTTCAATTTTCACTTCTGCCGTTAAGTGTTGCGGAAAGGAACAGTTTATGATCCACTGCTGGATGGGCAGCAATGGCTATTATCATTCTGTATCCATTTAGAAGCTCTTTAATGTCATCAATCCATAATCTCCAAAGGCAACCTCTTGCTTATTCTTCAGATATTTTCATGTGTAGCATCTGCACCGGTAGTTGTTCTGGCAGTATTCTTACTAGATGACCAAACCATCTGATCTTTTGTTTCTCAATGAACTTGCTGCATGGTTTTGTTCCCACAGTCTGCTTGATAATGTCATTTAAGACTTTGTCTCGGATGGTTAAGTCGGCTCTTTTCTCAGGTATCTCATTTCACAGGTGTTAATTTTACATGGTTAGCCTTTAATAATGTCCAAGTCTGGCACTGGCAGCACAGTGTTGGTATGAATATACTGTTTATAATCTGTTTATTGGCTTTAGTATTTATGTTTGAATGTCTTAATAACGTTGTCAGTTGGTATCTTGTGTCTATATTCCCTATCTATTCTCCCATCCTCCAAGAATACACTAAGGAAATAATACAGCTGTGAAGAAGATTTTCCTAGTTATCATAGAAGAATAGCCACCTACCCCTATGGAAAGGGGGAACCACTGTGGTGTAGCGCTAGACCTGCAGATCCGAACTTACTTTTTTTTTAAAACTAACTTTTCTCCCAGGTCAACCCAGCCTTTAATGAGTACCAGGTAAAATCTTTGGAAGTAAAGCTGGCAGAGGTGACATTTACCACATCAACCACAGAGTGTCGACTGGTTCTAAAAAAAATGTAGGTCTAGCCACTTTATGCCCAGTACACCTAAGGCGTGGAAAAAGGTCCTTAACTTTTACTTATGGAAAGGACCCACCTCAATGTCCCAAGTCAGGCTGGACATATTATGCTAGCTCCATATTTTTTTTAATGGACCAGTCAGACACTGAACAGATAATGTGGTCAACAGTATGCCAGCTGCCTTTTCTTGCCAGGACATTTGTCTGGTCTCCAATTTTATGCTGCGTCAACATTTGGAGACCTGGTTCATGCTTAAAAACTGCCCTGATGGGGATTTGAACCAATGGTCACCAGGCAGATAGGCAAACACATTAGCCAATATTACTGCTGATGGCTGCCCCAACTCAAGAAAGATCTTAATTGCTCAGAAACTCACATGGTCAGGATCCAAAACCACCAAGTCGGTTTCATTTTCAATGTCTTCATCACTCTCCAATTCTTCCTCCTCCTCCTCCTCTACCGCCTCATTGATGACTTCTGACGGATCCCTATCAAGATCTCTGGGTAAATTCTGACCTCCTCCACCACCACCACTACCACCACCACTAGCAGTCCCTCTGATACTGGCTCTGTCGCTAACACCTTGTCCTGATGAACTTTCTCCAATTCTGAATGTGCTGCTAACTTGTCTTCCAAGTACGGTTTGCGACTGCCTTTGCCATTTATTGGCATCTCTGTCTTCATCTTCCTGTGAATAACCTGGAGAATAATAAAGCAGTCGACAATTTTATTAGATATTTCTAACTTCTTTATTTAACTCTTTGAGTCCCAAGGAACGCATCATACGTATATAGGTCCTGCCTAGAGGCCCAATGAACGCAAGATGCGCATATCAATCACATCTCTTTTGACTACCCCTTGGGCCTCTGATGCTAAACCTCCTGGGACTCAAAGAGTTAAAAATATTCATGGGATGGAAAAAAAAACATTTATACTGCCTGTTTGTTTTTATCACTTTGTAGGACAGTCTTGAGCCTTATGGTTTAGGATCGAATCGCTAGTACGAGTGCCATGGAATGTGCAGGTAAGGACATTATTTCCTAATCCTGACAGAAAACAATCCATCACTTTACTAAGTATTCTTCTTCGCATTCACTGGCTGTAAACTTCTGCAAAATGTGCTGGTTATTCGTCTACCTCTGGACCTTAGTCTTGTTCCAGAACCTTAAACTTGCGTGCACATCCATTTTTCAGATCTGGCTTGTATATATGCAGACTGCTGGTTCTTTGCCTCTCAAAGAAAAAAATAATTTAAAATGTCTTCTTCTGATAAGGGTAATCCATTCGCTTTGTAAGTTAATCTTTTTCATGACATTTTCATAACACTTTTTTTCTATTAAGGGAAATACTTTAATGTTTAAAATCAATCTCTTTTTTGTAACATTGTGAAAAAGAAACAACAAACATAAACCAAAGAATCAGAAACAATAACAACTTTAGCATGCAAACAGCATGATAACCAGTACCATCAATAACAGCTAAAGTAGGCACAAAAACGTTAACATAAAAGTCAAAGATGCAGTAACAATAGCATGAAAAGATACAAAAATAAGCAAAAAAAGAAGTGGTCAGCTGATGTAACCACAAACACAAATGAGCCTTCAAAAGCACATTACTTAGTGTTAGTTGAGGTTTCACATTACAAATTCAAACAAGAATACTTAGGTGAAACATATCCAAGAGAAATCCATAAGTCTGGCCAGTTTAATCACTGGCACAGATGTGATACACAGAAATAAGTACTAGCCAGAAAAAGGCTGTGAATAGAAAGGGCCATAACTGAAAAAAATTTTTTTTTTTATAAAACTATGTTTAATGTTGTCCCTTTTGCAAATTGGAGCCAATTAGATAGATAAGATAAGTGCTGAGATCCAAGTAGAGATACCTTGCAGTGGCTGCTGCATGAGAGGAGTAAGCACTCATGGGATGCCCACTGGGCAGATAAAACGGACTATGATAACATAACATACACAGGTAATTCTTTCAGGTTTGCCTTCAGATGTACCCAGTTTACAAGCAAAATATTAGATTTATGTATCTTTTTTTTTTTTGAAGACGGAGCCTTCAGGAAGGGATTCTCTTAATTTACACACACAAAAATGTTACAAATAAAGCACTTAAACTATACATTTATATAAACAAACACACACACACACACACACACACAAATTATATATTCTTGTAGGAAATGAATAAACTTACACGATAGTTATAAATCACACTGAAACCTCAACACTGATTTTAATTAGCTACATAATTTGACTCATTTTCACGCATTTTTTAAAAATTACTTGGAACAAACATGACTAAATAATCAATCTGACTAAATTTTCTGATGAATGAAGTCAGAATAAGTCCTAACACTTGTGTTTTGGGTTTAAAAAAAAGGTCCATGCAGGTCCTCCAGACACCTCAAGTACATGGTTCTTCTCCTTTTCCTGCCTCCTGCTATGTTTTGGTTGCTTTGACACAAGTCCTTTTCACCATTCTGGGCCCAGGTAACTTCCCCCAAAAAATTGATGTGAAATTACAGAACAAAACATTTTCATGAAAGCTGTCACTAAACAGCTCACATGTGCAAGAAATACGAGAAGCAATCTGATTGGCTGGTACAAAAACCTGCCAGCTAGTCCCAAGGCTTGTATTATTGGGCCAACGGATTAGCCCAGCTGTCTTTTCAGCCATTTTGGCTGTTTGGCCGATAGATCGGTTGAGTCATTTTCAAAGAGTTTTTAAAAAAGTATCTTATTCACTACTTCTTCTTCTCTTCCACCTTTTACCTCATCGAAGTGTCGGGGGGAGATGTAATGTTCGTTGATGAGCTCTGTCAAGAGCACTATTAGGACTGATGTTCATTTCTGTAAGGCTGTTCTTAATGCCATTACTCCATATTTTCCGAGGTCTTCCACTCGCTCTATACCCGTTGAAACGTTTTAGTGTGGCTCGCTGTGGCGGATAGTTCCAGGGCATTCTTGTTAGGTGTCCAAACCACTTCATTTGTTGTTCTTTAATGACCTGTATATTTTTTTTTAAACCACACATTGCTTACAAACATGATTTGATCATTATAAATATTTATCTCACCTAATAATAATGTTTCATATAATGTAACCACATTTCATGTATTTATGTTTTTAGTGTGGTTATTACATTACATCAGAGCCCTCTATGAAAAAAGTGAAAGTGCAGTAAGAACATCTAGTGGTCTTTCTGAATGGTTCAAAGTCACAACTGGTGTCAGGCAAGGATGTGTACTGTCACCATTACTTTTCATAACATACATGGATAAGATCACTGTAGAAGCAAACCCAGACGTGTATGCTATAAACGAATTACTTTTTGCTGATGATCAAAGCATACTGTATCAAAATGAATATGATCTACAGGAACATCTGACTACTCTCAACAACAGCTGTTTACAACATAATATGAGAATCAGTACAGAAAAAACAGAAGTTATGAAGATCAGCAGAACACACAGGCCACTGAATATAAATGTTGGAAGTGCCAAAATCAAGCAAACCAAAGAGTTCAAATACTTGGGCAGTATATTTACAGAGGATGGAAGAATGGACAGAGAGATAGAAACAAGAATACAGAAAGCAAATGCTGTCACATACCAACTATCACCTCTGCTTAAACATCCAGATATAACCATGAAGACCAAAAAGACAATTGATAAACACCATCTTCATTCCAACACTCTGCTACCAGTGCCAGACATGGACAATCAACAAGACCCATGAAAGAAAAAAAAGAAGTCTGTGAAATGAAATGTCTAAGAAAAGCAGCGAATAAGACCAGACTAGACAGGATAAAGAAATATAGACATTAGAAACACTGTCAAAACTACACCATGTTTAGACTACATAGAACATCAAAGAATGAAATGGTTTGGACATCTAACCAGGATGAAAAATGATCAAATAACATCACAAATTTTCAACCAAAGAAGCTCAGGATATAAGGCAAGAGGAAGACCAAGGAAATTGTGGATTGACGGGGTCTCCGAAACCTGCCAAAAGCATGGCCTCAGAACATCAGATGCTGCCCGCCTTGCTTATGACAGGAACTTGCATCTCCCCACAACGCTTAGCGGCATACGTGGAAGGAAAAAGTAAAAGTAAGTATTACATTACAAAATCTATCCACAGGAATAATTAATAATTTACAATATTCCCTAAGAATGTAACATTATATTACAATTGAAAATACTAATGCCTTATGAATTTCATAAAATCTTTTACTCAGTATAAACAAGAACATAAATTCAATCAATGAGAACCCATAAACAAAGAAACTGTAAATTGAAGTGTTAGACTTTATACAGACATCCACAAAACAAACACAAAAAAGCATTACTGGTAAGACATATATGAATATGAATTACCTTGGTTCCCAGGTTGATCCAGCCTTAAATGGCTACCAGACAAAAGTCCTGGGAAGCTAAGGTGGCCATCACGATGCTGACTACATCATTCACCAAGAGTCAATTAGTCTACAAAATATAGATCTAGCCCTATAAGCCCAGTACGCCTGAAGGCAGGGAAAGGGATCATTTACTATGAATATTTTAGTGAATGTATATTTTACTTTTAAGCTGTTATTATTGATAATGGTTTAGCTGTTAACTATATGTTTATTGAAGCCAAAGCTGTACAAATAAACAGGCAAAAGAGCATTATAGCTGAAATAATATTCAAAAAACAGTCCAATCAGGAACAACAACAAACAAACAAAAGTCAAGACAAATTAATAATACATAAAACTACAATCATAAGTACTGTAGTGCAAAAAATAAACCCCTATGACACCGCTATAACTTACATTTATAACAAAACTTTAGAGATTGGGTCATTTCTCATTACTCTCCACAACAGTAGTGTAAAAAAAAAATTCTTCCTGGTATCCCACTATGTTAACTGGAGTCGCCGTGGCGTTGGCAGCTAGATGACCGCTTGCGAATCGGAAGGTCGTGGGTTTGTGTCCTGACGGATCCAGACTTTTCTTTTTTAAACTGACCTCGACTCCCAGGTCGACCCAGCCTTGAGTGGGTACCAGGTGCAGTCCTGGGAAGTAAAGGCAGCCAACATGATGATGAACACATCAACCACCAAGTGCCGACTGGTCTATAAAAATGTAGGTCTAGCCCTATATTCCTAATACGTCTTAAAAGCGTGGGAAAGGGACCTTTACTTACTATGTTAATCAACTCATACTATGCTAAGCAGTGTTACTTTAGAATAATACATGCTTGGGTACTAGGTAACGCCCCATCTGGGTCCCAGGTCCCACCTGAAGAATGGAGGATGGCAGAGTCCATAAGGACATCTTCTATGGTAAATTAAAGAGGGGTAGAAGATGTCGAGGCCAACCTCTACTATGATATAAAAATGTGTGCAAGCGGGACATGAATGATACAGGAACTGAGGTGGACAAAATGCCAAGGAGCGCGTTGTGTCGAGGAGACACATCAGGAAAGGATTGAGAATAAAGGAAGAAATGATTGCGGCCCTGAAATCTCATGCTATAACTGCGGAAGACTTTTCTTAACCTGGGTGGGTCTGGCTAGTCACACACGCCATCGGCATGGGCTGTGAGCCCCATCCTTTCTCATAGC